GGAACAGTGACCGTTCTAGAGGGAGACCAGTTGATGGTTGAGCTTGAAGATGTGCAGCTAGTAGACGAAGTGTCAACAGGAGACACGGCAACGGAGGAGACTCCTTGACCACCACCTGAGCCAGCTGGGGTGACAGTGACAGTCGAAACGATGGTAGGCTGAACAGATGGATACACAGTGATGAAGACAGTCGTTGGGTCAGGAACTGGACAAGTTCCTTCTCCACCAGCAGGGTCTCTTGGAGCAATGCTGCCGTTGTCCTTGGCCAAAGCAGGACTCAGCAATGCTGCTGTTCCTAGGGCGCCCAAGAGGGCATTCCCACGCATCTTTGCGGTGTTGACTGTCAGTCCAGTGGGTGGGAAACGAGTGGGAGGTGATGAGCGAGAAGAGAGAGGATGGATGAAAGAGCAAAGGTCAAGATTGGATTGAGGAGAAGCCCAAGTCTTGAATTTGAGAGAAAATCTTCTAGCATTTTGAAACGCTCTGGCGTGGTGCCTTCCATCTTGGGTGACTATACTCTAATATTGGGAAGGAACTCTTGAGGACCAAGCCCCAACCGATGATCAAGTGGATCTTTTGACACATCACTCATGTGCAGCTTCCATACAAATACAAATGACCTTGCCTATGCGAAACCTCAATTTCCAGCGCTTCGAGGTACCCAGTACTCCTAATTACCGCCTGTGTATTATGTCAAAGGTACTTTGAGATGTAAACTAAAGCTGTCGACCGAGGGACCGTGACTCCCTTGGTGCATTCAGGGAAGCCATTGAGGACTTTGAGACAGGCTCCGTCATCTATAAACCGGTTGTTTGAATACTCATGTGGCTGTCGTCATAGGCTTATCATTGACTATACGACTATTTTCATTCGAATACCTTTCACCCAGAAAATGCAAGTCTGGCAGCAGCATGTGAAGTCACTCCTTGGAGTCAATATCAACCACCCTTGCAGAATGCAACTGCCCAGGTATGCTTCAAATACCCAACTAGGCAACCCTTCTATCTTCGCCGATTGTAGCCGAGTACCAACACGTTTTGGGAAACAGGACTTCGTCAATGTACCTTAATGAGACATGGGTTGAGACACCCGCTCATTTATTTCAGTGGATTGAGGCTCTCCATATCTAAAGTGCGAAGTCGCCAAGCGAAGTTCTTTGACCAGATCCTCGGCGAGTTCTAGCATAGTTACCTACCCTCAGTCAGTGCCCTCTACATTATCTATCCAGGTATTATTGTGTGAAATTTATACTAGTGTAAGCAATTTGATCATAGAAAGCCATTGAAATCGTAATTCACATATATGCTATGTTTCAGTAGCATTTTGTCGTTGCAGTGAGCTGAGCCTTCGCAAGTGCAGTGCACTTAAAGCGGTTCATGGAATCCCCCTACCGCCGGAATGTACTCAACTATTGGAACTGTAACGTGCTTACACCGGTAATTTCATAGGCCGGTTGTAAAAGCAAGATACTTGGAGCGTTGATGAGAGATCCGAATGGCGTGAGTGGTGAACGAAGTACAGTACCTGTAATCAGTATATATAATCTTACTCAGAGCCACTAGAGAATAAACAATATCTCGAAACATAACTGGTTTTAAATCTATTTCCTAGTCCCTACATCTATGAGTCTGCGTTCGCCATCAGCACCAATAGGAGCCACATCATCTGGTTAGCTTCTTCCATATCCCCGACTCTAACCCTACCAGTGAGACTCCCATTAGTCTTTCCTAGATAGCTCTGATTATGTTTCAACTACCAATCATCGTGATATTCGACCTATTGATCCTGAACGTCAAAGAAATCCCTGGAGCTAGGGCATTAAGCACATCCGCCACCTGTCAAGGCCGTTATCGGTCGCTGGGCCGTATAACTTGCAGAGCGTTACGGCCGTCATTGGATGACCATTTCCCTCCGGGATCCTTTTTCTTGGACTGCCCCCCTGCAATCAAAATTCTGATTTTCGTCGTCAGAGCTCCTACGGTCTCCACAACCGCCTGTGATCTCTCCAGGGCCAAGTGCTTTGCTCTCAACTCCGGGCTCAACATCTGAGCCTGTGATGAGCCAAGTCAAGTTTTGATGCAGCAAGATAAGGGCGAATCGGTCTAATTAACACGTCCACTGCTAGTTATATTCAGCTTATATCCTATGGGAGGAGCATTACCTGTAGCAAGAGGCTTCCCATGATCCACGCAGAATTGCTTGAAAATATCAAAAGCTTGCTACGGCCGATACGGAGTTTGTTACTGCACATTAAAAACTTTTATCGATCGCGTTAGAAATTCTCTATTGCAGCACGCGCCACAGGCATAATCGTAGTTGTTGACGAAGTTGCTCGTGTAATCAGTGCTTTCGTAGCCAAGGCAAGAAACGGCAGTCAGACCCTATATGCACCCTATGTTTTCTCAGTGAAGATAACTTAAAGCACTTCAGCGGGTCTTATCCAGTCTATCTTCTCATCCGCATTGGCTATGATAACTGTAAAGACAATAAAGCCATTACAGGACTGATTCTAATCTTTCAAATGGTAGAGTTCCCTTGCCCTTTCATATTGCCTCTTCCTCTCAGGTTACAACTTGATTTGCCGTTCTAGATCCAAGAGAAGCTATCTTGCATTTCGTACCGCGGAAAATATGTGCTTAACAACTCAGATGGTGGCCATCAAGGTAACTGGAAAGGCTATTCGCATATTATCCTGCACATAAATGGACTTCCATGTCCCAAAAAAATGAAGTTTGGAGGGTAATAAAGTGAGTCGGCATTTTCTCAATACATATTTCCCCATCGTTCGTTTTTTCGGAATTGGGCCATGTCCACCCTGGAAAATGACACCAGCAACACCTCCGACGAGCAAAATACTTCAACAAGAAGGGTCACGCAGAGAAAGCCGAGGCTAATATCTTTTGGAAGTCGAGAATCACCTATATGGGGAATACGAGGTACAAGTGATTGATCCTGAAAACCATACGCTAACAATGCTGTTACCAAGTCTGAGAATTGTGTTAGTGTCGAGGGGTCAACATGGAGTGACAGGTGGGTGATAGGTGTGCAATGGAGACCTACTAAAATGAGAGTTTCTGAGAAATGGAGGTTTGGTTAATATCCCTGAAGTCTTAATAATCGCGAAGGAGGCACCTAGGTCACTCGACCAAGTCTCAATCAACAGTCATTATTAATGTTGCTTGATTACAATCTGTAGGCAAATTTGTCCGTTACAGCTATTTGACCTGTACTTAACATAGTAACCTTCAGAATTTGGTGGGCTCTTCCTCAGTCAATTCTCAATCAAATAATCTAGGTACTTCTGCAAAGGTTCTTTAAAGCGTGCACCCAAATAATATATATACTAGCCACGGGCCCTGTGTACTACTGCGGTCCTATAGGGGATAGACTGTAGTAACTGTAAAACTAGGTTCGGATCTAACTCTACCCACGCTATCTGAACTCCTGTTAACAAATAACAAACGACATGCGGACGTAGGTAGGCGCAATAACTCGTTCCCTACAATAGCTGTTATACTAGAAGGAAACTTGGCCACCAAACACCCTCTCTGTGATAATTCTAGTGAAGTACCTTCTTCCTCTTATATAGATAATTTAAATGTAGCAGCGCGTAATTCGGTTACGCTTTAGTGGCCTGATAGGTAGTTTAGGTTAATAGGGCATTATAGTATTTTTTGTATTTTCCAACTGTGTTGGTGGCTTGCAGCGGAGAAAAAAAGCTGATTAGTGCCCATTACTGTAAGCCACCTCAGGGATTCTCGGTTCTAAGATGTAAGCGCTTTGTGGTTGGAAGACGTTATATCGGGTTTCTTCACATATATATCAATATATCAAGAAGCATTACGTCACGGAAACTAGATCATTTCCTTAGAATTTACCTCAATTATTCAGAACCAATTTCCAGCAAGTGAAACACACAATGGCATCTTCAGGTTTCGCAATCCCCATTGGCGCTGGTGAGAAACAGACAATACGCGCGACCGCCATACACAGGTCCCACATCGGGTACAGGAATCACCCGAATCCTCCCCAACCAGAACATGGCAACCTCGCCGTCACCCTCTCAGCCCGCAACCAAAATAACCTGACCAATCTCTACAACTCTCTCCGCCAGAGATTCTCCGCCGACGCATCCTGAAAGCTTGAGTCACTGTCAAGTGAGAGTCTTGGGCGAGTCGGTCTATTTGGCTGACAATGTCGATGAGGTTTAAAAACGGTCAGGGCTTTGCTAACCGGCGACTCAGTCACCCACTATTCAGAGTGGCTGTACCAATATAACATATACGAGAAATGGTCGATCTTGGAACCGAGAAGAGCAAAGCCCGGTTTCGATGATATACTTGTGTTACATACCACCAAGTTCTTCAGTGTAAATGAGTGACAATGAAGGCCCAATGAAGCAATGTGATAAAAGTCCGCATGCCATGAGCCGGATATCGCATTTCCACTTCCATGCCTCTACCATAATCCGACACCCGCACTGCGCAAGCCATGTTATTCCCCCTCGGTTCCCCATCGAATTCAGTCCCATCACATACTCTCTGCCCAGACTATAGATCACTCCCTTTCGTAAGTCCTTCTATCATTCCAGTCTACCTATCTCCAGCCTAAGAAGATCTCCATTAATCCATCGAGAATTGATATGCCAAGCCTCTGACAGCGACCCAAGAATGCTCCCGGCGTCGCCCGCCCACGCTAGGCTCGAAACAAATCTTGGCTCTTTCGATAAGCCCTTAATAGAGTTTTGCCCCCATGAACTTGCCGGGGTCGGTTATGTGGAGTTGCCATATTCATGCGCCATTTTGGCATCTCCTGGTTTTATCTTGCGCTTTCGATTGGCTACCGGATAGCAGCTCCCGAGGAATGGGATAATGCAGCTCTGTCATCTACCGCCGAATTAGAAATGATAGTGCATACAATCCCAGGGTTGATCACGATAAGAAAGGTTTTATTGGGGCAACTGTCCGCGGTTGTTAGTCGAGCCGCGTAGGTAATTCCATGGATGGCTTGATAGTCCCTAGTACGGTCGGGTCTGATCATGTTGATCTGCGGGCCGGCAGATAAGTCGCAATGAGTATAAAAGAGTTGTGTATCCTCTCTGGGGTGGTTAAGGGCGTCGTTGCGACCAAACACCTTGAACGTCGTCCCCGGACTAACCAAACTGCCCACCATGGCTCAACCTCAGGATCGTGTCGCCGACGCACTGCCGTCAAACGACCTGGAGAAGAACAGATGTGACTCAAAGGCCAGAGATTCAATTGAAGCCGCCAAGGACCACAGCAATGGGCAGATAAACGCCTTCAATATCGACCCCAAGGCAGAGCGGGCGCTCGTATGGAAGTTCGACTTACGACTACTCCCAGTACTGGCAATTATGTACCTGTATGTGTGTTCCAGAGGCACACCAAACATAATCAATACCAACTCACAGTCCACAGATTCAACAGTTTGGACAAGTCGAACCTCGGAAATGCCAAGACGGCCGGATTGGAGAAGACAATCGGTCTTGTTGGAAACCAGTACAATACCGTTCTTTCGGTAAATACTTATATGTCAAGAGCCATGTAGAACAAGTAACTAACTGTTGGGAGGTATTCTTCGTTCCCTACGTTCTTACGGCCCCCTTTCTGGGGTTGTTGGGAAAGAAATATGGACCTAGCAAAGTATTGCCATGCATGATGTTCTGCTTCGGCGTCTGCACTCTGATGGTCGTGTGCGTGTCCAATTTCGGAGGCCTGATGGCCATCCGATGGTTCCTCGGCATGAGCGAATCCGCCTTCTTCCCCCTCGTCATCTACTACCAGACTACGTACGCGCACCACCACCCCTTCCCCAGAATAATACAACCTGCAACACGACACTAACAGCACCCGCCAGGTTCTACCGCCGCGGCGAACTCGCCCGTCGCCTCGCCATTTTCTACGCCGCCTCCAACATCGCCTCCGCATTCGGCGGCCTCCTCGCCTTCGGTGTTTTCCAAATCCACAGCGGCGCCATCGCCTCCTGGCGGTACCTCTTCGTCATCGAGGGCGCCTGCACGGTGCTCTTCTCCATCTTCGCCTTCTTCTACCTGCCTAAGTCGGCGTCGGAGGCAAATTTCCTCACCGACGACGAGAAGCTGCTTGCATACCACCGCATGGCCGTCGACAGCTCCTCCGTCGTCAACGAGAAGCTCGATATCAAGGATTCGTTCAAGATCTTTAAGCACGGTACTAGCTGGGTTATTCTGCTTATTGAGATTTGTCTGGGTGTGCCGCTGCAGTCTGTGTCACTTTTCTTGCCGCAGATTGTCGCACGGCTAGGGTATGGCACTGCGAAGACGAATTTGTACACTGTTGCACCGAATGTTACGGGGGCGGTCATGTTGCTGGCTCTCGCGTTTGCGAGTGATCACACCCGGCTGCGTTTCCCCTTCGTTGCGCTTGGTTTCTTGTTCACGTTTGTGGGCATGGTTATCTACGTCGCCATCGATGTGGAGCAACAGCTGCAGGTCGCCTACTTCGCCTCATTCATGATGACCTGGGGCACATCGGCGCCGTCTGTCTTGCTCGATGTGCTTTATAACAACAACATTGCACACGAAGGACAAAGGGTGGTCTTGACGAGTATTGGCGTTCCGGTTGCCAACCTGATGGGTGTTGTGAGTTCCAACATCTTCCAGAACAAGGACGCCCCCAAGTATATTCCTGCGCTGGCCACGACGGCTGCGTTTGGTGGAGCGGGGTGTGTTATTACATTGCTTCTGGGAGTTTACATGATTGTAGATAATAAGAGGAGGGATGCAAAGCAGGGCGTCAAGGTCAAGGCGGAGGACATCCCGACAGAAAAGCTCAGGGATGGGCCAGATACTCCCGATTTCCGTTGGTTCTTGTAGGAGAGTATATATGAATGGTAGCCAACTTAGAATATTCTATTAGACATGTTCTTGAAACAGTGATCATATAATTAATGATAATTGAGCAAAGTGTTGGTGGTGATAAGCGAAAACTCTTGAAACAAAGTTCCATCGATCCATCCTATCCAGTTGTGGCATTTGTGACAAAACTTATGAACTCCTACTCATAATCTGTGTAACGTTCTCTGCGCGTTTTCTTTCAATGTCAAATGCACTGCCGCGGCGTAACGTTTAGCATTTGGACGTAGGTACGATCAGGCAAATCTTCGAAGTGCTCGGTCATCCAGGACACCACATTAACCTGTATAAAGTCAGAGTATCTGCGAACTTGCAGCTTGAGGATGACCTCATATGGGCGTAAAACAAAGGAGGAAAAGCGATTGCTTGAATAATGCAACAATGCAGGATGCTACGGGAAGGCTTCGAGACATGCATGTAGCTGCTCCGCCTACTTCTTGACTGGAAGGCATGGGCATCAGGCTTTTCTAGCATTGTTTTCTGGCGTCATCTGTTCTAACTCCCTTTCTCTTAGAAACAATTGCATTCTCATCACTCTTCTCTTTCTCGTCAAGCATACGTCCTTTCTTGCATGTGGGCTTAGCACAGGCCAACTTCTGTTCGGCCTTATACTGTGCAAGCAAGATCTCGAATGTCTGCAAAACGGATCTCAGAGGAATACTCTGAAGGCATTCCTCTCCAGTGTTAAGTCTCTGCAGGTTCTCAGTACTACAGAAGTCAGCCCACTGCTCCGGAATCTCGTCCGCGAGCGTAGTGTCGATGTTGAACTCCCGCAGGAACAGCATGAGCTCGCCAGATAACTTGCCCCGGGTCTGCTTCACCTTCCCTAAACGCGCCGTGTATTCTTCCACCTTCTTGCACATCTGCTGCATTCTCTGGCTTTCTTTGAAGGTCCAGGCAAGAGGGACATCACCGGGCCCCGGCATAGCCACAATCTTGATAGGTTCCAACTCCCATAAATCCTCCAACATGTTTCCCTGGTTGAGATGCTGTCGTATGCGCCCGTAGACTGCAAGATGAATCTTGCGTTGGACGACGATGTTGGGCGGTTCGTCAAACTTGAGGTCGGCGTGGTACATGAAGATGGGTAATTGGCTGCCCGTGCCAGCGAAATTGTTGTCCATGCCGAGGAATGTGGAACCCGTGGCGTACCCACAGGGGGATCTAAATGTACCGGCCCTTGGGTAAATCTTCCGCTCAGGGGATTTTGATTTGCTGGACGGGGACGAGGGTATGTTTTCTGTCTCATTGCCGTCGTTGTGAGTCGCGCCGTCGCTATACCGCCCAGGTTGGGGAGTATTCAAGCGCGCTTTAGCCATATTTGCGAGTATGCATAGATGACCAGGAAATATGACAAGGGAATAGGGATTTGATTGGCGAAAGTCTTGAAAATACGATAATAGAAGGAGAAGGCTGCAATCTCGGCGAGTGAAGGAGGCAGCCTTATATGCTTACAGGTGGCTCCTGATGGAAGGACGCATGCTGACCGTGCGTGAGTCTACATTCAGACTCCCCACTGCCCGAAACTTCCATTAAAGCGTAGAAATCCGCGGCTCTTAAAAACTATGCTCGCAGATGCGACGTTTACGTGCCACGGCGACTCCAACGTAATGATGCAAAAGTATAACGTACCCCACAAGCAAGTTGGCCACTTTTTCTTGGCACCGTACGAACAACCTTTTAATTAACATCTTTACACATACCAAGATGGGATCGAATTGGAAAGAAAGCGACATGATTCTAGCGTGTCAGGCGCTTCAATCGAAACCCGAATTAAGCATCCGACGCGCTGCCTAACTCTACAATGTCCCTCGTACAACTCTAGCTAACCGAAAACGCGGACTACTATCTCGACGCGATACTCGATAATCTAGTTATAAGCTTACGGAATCAGAAGAGTTAGCGGTCGTACAATACATACTTGACCTAGATTCGCGATTATTCCCTCCCCGGCTCTATGGTGTTGAAGCTATGGCTAACCGACTGCTCCGTGACCGTGACGCTGGACGCGTCGGCGTCAACTGGGCCTCGAACTTCGTACGACGACAACCAGACCTTCGGACGCGTTTTAACCGAAGAATCGACTACTAACGAGCCTATTGCGAAGATCCTGACGCGTATCGCGCGTGGTTTACGCTCGTACGAAATACAATTGCGAAATATGGTATCCAAGAGGCGGATATCTATAACTTCGACGAGATAGGGTTCGCGATGGGCTTAATCTTATCCGAGATGGGAGTTACAAGTGCCGAACGACGCGGAAGGCCTCGTACAGTCCAACAAGGCAATCGAGAATGGGCTACAGTAATCCAGGGTATTAATTCGTCCGGCTGGGCTATCCTGCCGTATATTATTGTCGCGGGTTAAAACCACCTTGTTACACTCAAAGGTGGTCAAAGATTTGTGAGGTTGTAAAAGCATGACATTCTATCTATGATTGATTGATTGAAATTTAACGTCTCATCACGTGAGACGTGCCGGGCGCAGTGCCGGCATGGTCTATGCTAGTCGAATCTATGTTACAGGGGACTGTCTTCATCTAACATTCCTGTTCAGTGCGATGGGCAGATCTCAGTAAAGAAATTGGTCTCCTCCGCCCATTGGCAAAAGTGACATTCTATCTAGTCCTATGGAGCACGAAGGTTGGACTTAGTCCCAAAGAGCTAAGTCACGTGGTAACCTTGGTGGTCTTAGCAAAGCCCACCAAGGTTGCCTAACACACCTCTTATCCTGGTATGAGAATAGCCTATTCCCGTCCGATTGGGTAATCGCTGTAACTAAAAACGGTTGGACAACAAATGAGCGAGGCGTAGACTGGATTCAGCACTTTGATCGCTATACGAAGGATCATACGAAGGGTGTTTATCGTCTTCTTATCCTCGACGGGCATGAGAGCCACCACTCGACTGACTTCGAGCTATATTGCAAAGAGCATACTATTATTACACTTAGTGTGCCTGCTCATTGGTCACATAAGCTCCAGCCTCTCAATGTAGGCTGTTTTAGGGCTTTGAAAAGGTCGTACGGCAAAGAAATTGAAGACCTAATACGGGCGCATATAACCCATATCTCGAAGGAGGATTTCTTTTCGGCATTCTATAGGGCGTATCGTACGACTATAACTAAATCGAATATCCAGGCAGGTTTCATGGGGACAGGACTTATTCCGTACGACCCGGAATATGTGATTTCACAGCTGGATATTAAGCTACATACGCCTACACCTCCTGGGAGCTCGTCTGGCGCCCCCTTAATCTGGGAATCAAAGACTCCAAATAACCCAACCGAGGCGCAATCCCAGTCTGAATACATTAAAAACAGAATCTTACAGCATCAGAATAGCTCCCCGACGACAATACTTAGGGCTATTGACTAATTTTCACGTGGTGCGACGGCTGTTATGCATCGGTTAGTTTTACTTTAGGATGAGGTTACTACACTTCGGAAGGCTAATCAAGAGCTAAGCCGTCGTCGAAGGACTAAAAATCGACAGCTACAAGATGGAGGATCTTTTAGTTTACGAGACGCTCAGGACTTACAGTCTCAACGGGATATTTAACAGCAGCTATAGGATGATGATATACGTGTAAGTCGTCGTCGTACGAGACCGGCCGAACCACGCCGACGGCGCTGTGGGATCTGCGGAGAGCCCGGACATAATGCTCGTACTTGTGAGAATGATAAAGATACGTACGAGGAAGAGGATTCCGATTAGTTTGAATTATTATTTTTTAGTTTAGTTAAGTTATTGAAGTTATTCATACGGTGCCAAGAAAAAGTGGCCAACTTGCTTGTGGGGTACGTTAGCATTTGTGTCCAGAACATCAAAGTAACAACTAAAGTCATCAAACAGCCTGTCATGCGCATCGGGGTCTTCTATCAGATCCAACACCTCTACACATCCTCTTAGTGACCTTCTAAAGACAGAATCTGCCTCATGACATTCAATAGCATGCGGTTCACCGAGTCTTCTGCGCCCAGCAAGTTGCCGCAACGCCAGGCGACGAACCTATCCGGCCGCACGAGCACACACCCCGATTCTTCTACGCCCCGGAGACGTGTCCAGTCAAAGTAGGCATCTTCGTAGTCTTGGTTGTAGCCAATCGAAATGACGCGGATGGGTACACCAATGGCTTCGGCGACCTTGGCTGCCGCTTCCTTCCACGGCATGCCGCCAACTCCGGTGAACAGGGTGAATGCTCCTTTCCCAGCCAAGTCGATGGTCGATATGAGTCCCGAAGGGATCGCCGTGTTGAGCCACACGTGCGGCAGACGTCTTCCCGGCTTTGTACTAGGGTTGTGATAAAGAACCGGATCAGGGTTGGTGGCATCGGGGTCGGGGCCGCCATCGGATATGACCGCGGTTGAGTTATAGGATTGATTCATCTCGATTCCCAGACCGTGAAATTCATGCTCTGTCGTGGAAATGGCGACTCGCAGCTGCTCGCGCCTTTTCCGGCCTGCGTCCGTATCGGCCTCGAGTTCTTTGAGCACGGCTCTCCGGTCTGTGACTGATGGTAGAATGGTACCCAAGGCATCAAAGATTGCAGCGTGGTCTCGGAAGGCGTCGTTGGCACTGCCGGAGTGGCTGTGATTAGGGAGTCAACGGGTTGTTTGGGATAAGGGACACACACCGTTGCACTACCCCTTTGCCCACTGGCTGTCTCTCTTCCGAAAAGGTGTCAAGAAGCTGGGGTCCCGCCTTATCTTTTTCCCACGTATTTTAATAGGTTACCAAGACGATTCGGACCCAGGGGGCTTACTCTTCATGACATAGGCCACTTTCCAAGCTAGGTTGAATGCATCCTGGATGCAAGTGTTGGAACCAAGCCCGTTGAAAGGTGGATGGCGATGGACCGCATCCCCGAGACAAAATCTTCACATTATCAGTCACCAGGTTCATAAGGATATAGACCCGCAATACTTACACGCGTCCCACTGAGTACTTATTTGCACTAATCTCATTTACATTCCAGGTATTGACCCGCAGGATCTCAGCCGGCGTGTCGTCTCCAATCACTAGGCGAATCTGTGACATATACTCGTCCTTGGATGGCCGCCTTTCGAATGTGGCTCCAGGATATGGGAAGAAGATGAACATCCACTACCCAGGAGTCTCGGTTAGTGAGGGTTCTACATAAAATGGTGCAGTGTGATCAGCAGTTCCTGGTCCCGCCTGAATTGTATATTTGCGAGTTTCTTGCTCTCAAGGCAGGTCACCAGGATAGGGGCCAAGTGCTTCAGAATTACTCACCTCAAACCACGGCTTCACCATCCGCACAATACACGCCCATCCAAAATCAGGGTGCTCTCGATCCGGCTGCATTACCCAATGCAAATTCCCAGCCCGATGAGCCATTAAGTGTGACAAATCCGCCTTGACCAATATATTTAGCGCGGGCCCTCCTCCAGGCTGCTTCGTGAGCGGGATGCCCAACTGCGAGACAATTTTCGAACGCGCGCCATCAGCTCCAAAGACGTACTGTGCCTCAATAGAGTACTGCATCTGTGTGATCTTGTCCAACACCCGCACGGTCACACCCTCGGCCCCCTGCTCCAGCGCCAGGAACGCGGTGTCCCAACGTATGCGGAAACCATGCAACGTAGCGTAGCGGACGAGTTCCGGTTCGAGCAGCGTCTGCGGCAGGTCGCACGGCGTGCAGGGGCTAGCGGATTTGTACTCGCCCTGCATATAATGGTCAGTAAAGCCGTTAGTAGAGAGTAGAGTCCAACTGGAAGTGGTGTTTGTGTGATACCATTCTTCTCGGATCATTGGCCCAGGAGTAGATGCGGGCGTATTCCCTCCCTGCCATACTATGACACCAGCGGGTATGCATCATGCACTCGCCCTTGGTCGCCAACTTTGTCACAACGGCGTCCAGACCTAGATCTCGGAGGCATTCTTTGCAGCATGTGTTGGTAAGCTGTTTATTTGCAGAGAAGGGGTGTGGAGCAATCACCCATTGCAGCCATGTTGGTGATGTGTGCTCGTGGAGTATCGGCGCTGGTCGAGTTGACATCCACGATGATTCCTCGGATGCCTAGACTAGCATTGGTCTTCATTTCTCAACTTCGTTTCGACAATCTGTCTCACCATGAGAGCTCAGGAAGCAGGCCAGCGATGCCCCCGCAGGACCGGCCCCTACAATCACCACATCAACCTTAGCAGGCTGGTTCTTGGTTCCTTGACTGGTTTCCATGACGGCGAATGGGCTATCACGACGCATAACACTGCAACGCTGCGAACTTGATTGAAGCTACATCGATTACGATGCCCACGATGGAAAAGCGCCGCAGAAAATGGCTCAGGACCAAGCAAACAGATGCCGAGTATCTCCACCGTGACAAACAACGGGTATTAGAAAAAGTGGGGCAGCTTAAACTTTAATTAATTCACATAGTAAGGGAGGGTTTCAACTGTTGAAATGCTTGGGTACGTGTGCAGGAAATAACTGTTTATACAGGAGTGTGCGTTGGCAAAGTGTAGGATGGGGATGCTCGCGTATCTTATGCCAGTGTACTTTGGAGGTGCGGGTTGGACGTGCAGATAATGACGAGGAAACCGACCGTGCCATAATCTTGCTGCCAAGCCAGAGACTGCCCAGTGGGTAATCTAGCAATGGCAAAATCGTGTATGGAGACGTGATGGTTTGTGTTTTAGTTTTTCAAACTGGCGTAACTGGTACTTCACTGCTGGCTATTTGGGGCCCCGGAGCTGGGGCCGGAGCTGGGGAGGGTATTGCCGAAGGTGCGTCGTCCTGGCGCCCGCATTTAACCAGGGCATCTCTCTTGAGATGTGAGCCTTCATGTGTATACCTTGGGGCTTTGGGACCTAGGATCACCTGGTTTCGATACAGCCATAGAATTCCGCTATCAACGTGAGCGGCCAAGTCCTGCTTGGGTATCCCAGCTTCTTCTTTGAATATTGTATCTGCTCTTCTCTACCCCAGAACCTCCTCGGTCTTCCCATCTCCTCCCGTGCTCTCTCTGCATGGTCCAATAGATCCGAGTTAGCCCTTGACTCACTCACTCGCTCTCATTCCTTCTCTCTTCCGCAAACTTCTTCCACTCCTCCCCCATCTCCTCCCCAAACGTACAGTCCAGCCCCATCCGTCCAAAAAACTGCACCAACTCCTCCGAGACCTTCCCCATCTCCGTTCGAACCCGCCTTAGCCTATGCGTATAGTACTCCACCCGATTAGCAATCTGCTGCATCTTCTGTCGCTGATCAAAGGTCCACATGAGCTGGCAGTCGTTCGGTCCCCCGGCCATGGCTACCACTTTGAACGGCTCCAGCTGCCATAGGTCGCTGAAGCTCTGTCGCTGGTGTGTGATGAAAAACGAGATCAGGCTGAAGACCGCGAGGTGGATTTTGCGCCGAGCGACGCCGTCCGCGGGCTCGTGAGAATTCAGGTCCCAGGAGAGGATGTGGACGGGAAGTTCAGTGCCTTTTGGTGGAACGGCTACGGGATGCTTTGCGTAGGGGGCTGGGTGTTCGTGGATGAGTAAGTTAGTGTCTTTGTTGCGATTGGCATTCTCGACCGTCTTCGCAGGAAAGAGCTCTGGTTTCGGCTCCAAGCCGCGGCTGGGAGATGGAGCGACGAGGGCCTCGATGTTCCAGTCTTCCTGTGTGGGTCGAGGATAAAGAGTCTGCAGGCCGAATTCAGTGTGATGACACTTGAGGTCAGAAGCATCACTGATGTCGCCGTCGTCAACAGCTTCTTTCAATGGGAAGTTTAGGACACCCTTGCTATAAGGGGTGGTTGGAGGTGCTCGAGTACGCCGTCCACGAGGAGCGGATTTTGCCATTTTTCTTGCACGAGATCCAATATTAGTCTGTTTGAGATAAAAATACTGAGCGGAGCAGGTTTTCCTTGCAATTTCTAGAAAGTATTTCTGTGTTTTAGTCATCTGTCCGTGGATACTTATATACGTGTGTGCCTTGCATGCAGCCCTGTCCACGCGTGTAAGTTGCGATATGTCTGGGACAACCCAATGTTGAATAAAATAAAACTTTGTTTCTTAATCTTTCCAGTAGAATAATACTTTCGCTGCCCCTCTCCACTGTCCAGGAGGTCCGAAAGTACTGTCATATGCAATAGCATGGACTTCGTACAGGATAGCACCCATTTCCGTCCGGGGTATGAATATAGGACGGTGTAGTAAGGCAGTTGGGCATTAGCGAAGATGGACAAAGCCTGTAACATCAGCATAGCCTTAGCCAATTCCGTCTGGTTGATCCGTCCACCCTACCCGAACTTGGAATCATCAGAGGAGGCTGAGATGCTCACCAAAACCAAGAGCAGCCTGCTCCAAAGCGTACAGGTGCTGGACTATGCATCACAACCCGGAGTTGACTTCGAGGCCTCATGTCACCATCAACAACCGCAGCTAAAATTAACTCCCAGAAAATGGGAAAATGGCCGAGGATGATGGAAAAGTGACTAGATGTGTGAAGTTTGTGACCGAAACTGAACCCTATCGAGGCAGCTTACGGATCATTCGGGTGTCTAAATATGGTATAATAAGACTTTAATGTGGGTTTAAATCTGTACCTCACCACCTCTATAAAATGGAACTAGGCAGACTGTCAAATGTTGTGTCACATAAATCTCTATTACAGGTTGAATAATTTTATCTTCCAATGTAGGACTTTCCCAACATTTGAACCGAGTTTCCTTGCCCCTATATTTTCTTTCTCTAGTTCTTGCGTATTCAGCGGAGGTGATGATCCCCTTGAGGAGTGTCAGGGTACGGCTAGGCCGAAGGCAATAGTACAGAGTGATGGGGAGTAACGGGCGTCCCTCCTACGTAGCACCGGGTGGTCACTTGCGGTCACTGGCGGTCTCAGGTAGGGGTGCCCACAATGATGCATTGATCTATGCTCCTTCCCTATCCTACTTCGAGATGGTCCTTATATAGATAGCTAGGCCGCCGCTTGGACCCGGCATAACAGCAGGGTCGGCGATGCCAAGGATCTTGACTCTCGTCATCCCAAAGCTTCACATAGATTGTAATCATGACTCGGGAGTCTTTTGTCCGAAACACCCCTCCGGCGCCCCACCGGTGTCTTGCGTTCAGTGTCCTGACAAGGAGCCCAGTGTAAAACTGCCCCTTTCACGAAGCCAGGAAACACAACTACTTGGACCTGAGGACTGCAAAGCAAGTCGAGTACTGACGAATACACCGATCAAGATGTGTAGTGAACGATAATTTATTTTGTTTGCGTGGATCATATAGCATCTCTAACAGAATGAAAATGATTTGAACTTGTTTATTCTAATTGCGAATATGCTTTCGTATCTAGTATTTCTATTTCTATGCAGAGTGGTAACCAATCCAAGCCTTCAACTCCATTAACCCAAGATGTATTCCGAATCATGATTTCATTCCAACCATGCCATGCAATCCTTCCAGACTCATCTCTTACTATATCGTCCCAGCTCATTTATTAGCTATCCTCCCACGAATTTCGCCAAAAACAAAAGGGGCGGGGGATGGGGGGGAAGAATCTATTCCCGGCGAGCGTTGTTCTTCGCACTGGCCTCGGCCGTCAAGCGCAAGCTGTTGGGGGCGTCCATGCGATCCATGACGACCTCGACGAAGCGCATGCCCTTGCGGTCGTTGAAGTCCTGGTCGTTAAGCAAGGCGTCGAGCTCGCCCTTGTTGTTGACCCTGTATTTCTTTGTGCGCTGCTCCGAGCCGCCGAAGACGGTGACGAGCTCCTTGTACTTCCACTCCACAACGTCGTTGTACTCGGCCTCCTCGCCGTGGATGAAGCGCTCGATAGTGTATCCGTCGTTGCAGAGGACGAAGCTGGTTCATAGGTTAGCGGGATAGTTAAACAGAAAACAGAAAACAAGGGTTGCTTTAGACTTACAGGATGATGTTCAGGTCGTGACGCATCATGGTGCTGACCTCCTGGGCGGTTAGTTGGAAACTGCCGTCGCCCTCGAATAGGATGGTACGGCGGTCGGAACCGGCATCCTTGGCACCAAGGGCGGCACCCTGGCATGCACCGACGGCCCAACCAATGCTGCCCCACAGCACCTGGTTCAGCCCTGTGACGCCCTTAGGGAACTTGGTGTCCCAGATGCCGAAGTTGGCGGTACCAGTCTCGGTGACCACGATGTCGTTCTCCTTGAGGAAGTCACTAACGCGGGGCCAGAACCACTTCTGGTCGATGATCTGGTCTGCGCCCTCCAACTTCTCGGCCACAGCCTGAGGTCCAACGTGGGCAATTTTCTGGACACTCAACTTGCTCATGTCCAACCTCTCCGTCACCTTGCGCAGGACACCGCCCATCTTAACGCCGGGGTACTCGCTGTAACGAACGACACAGTGGTCGCTGTGCAGGTCAATGGTGTTGAGCTGGCTTGTCTTGTAACTGAAACCGGCCGTGTTGAAGTCACTCTTCAGGCCACCAACAGCGAGCACCACATCAGCGCCCTCAACGAGGGCCTTGACGTCGGGGTGCGAGGCGTCGCCAGCGTATACACCACCGTAGTTCTCCTTGGTCTCGTCGACAGCGCTCTTGCCCATGGGGGTGACGAACACGGGCAGGTTCGTCTTGTCAAGGAAGGCCGTGAGCTCAGGAACGGCACGGTGGCGAATGGCGCAAGCGTCAGCAAGCACCACGGCCTTCTTGGAGCTGTGCAAGGTCTTGAGAATGAGGTCCACGACGTAGTCCTCACGCTCGGGCTCGTTCTCGACGATACTGAGGTCAATTTCGGTGTCGAGGCGGGCGCCCTCGACCTGGTCCTCCACTACGTCCGAGGGAAGCATGATGTAGACGGGCCTGCTCTTGATGTAGCATTCGCGCAGGGTGTGGTCGATCTGGGCGGCGACCTCGGCAGGGTCGTTGAGCTTGGCCACGGCGCAGGAGACGGACGCGCTCATGTCGGCGAAAACGTTGAAGTCGCCGTTGCCGAGAGTGTGGTGCAGCAGCATGCCGTTGCGCTGCGATATCGTGCTGGGGCAACCAACGATGTGGACGACGGGCACCATCTCCGAGTAGGCACCTGCGATACCGTTGATGGCAGAGAGCTCACCGACACCGAAGGTCGTGATGAGGGCCGAAATGCCCTTCACGCGGGCGTAGCCATCTGCTGCGTAGGCTGCATGTTGGGTTAGCTTGCGGCTGCTTGAAAAGAATGTAGAGTGGAAACGTACAGGCGTTCAGCTCGTTTACGCTGCCGACCCACTTGAGGTTGCACTCGGGCAGGTAGTCAAGAGCGACCAGGTTGTAGTCGCCCGGAAGACCGTGTACTGAACGTATTCCGATCTGGTATAGACGTGTGAAGAGGTACTGAGCCACGTTAACGGGCTTGCTCAGGCTCTTCGTACGGATATCCATGGATGCCGACATTTTCCGTGTTGGGAATGATCTGGCTTCGTGTGGGTGATGCGAATGCTAGAGGGTACAATGTTGAAGATATGAATGATGTAGTGGTTGATAGAGGTAGCAGCCTGGAACCAAGCACTGATGACCAACCGTAGGGTTCGATCCTATATTTAAAGCTAGCTGCAAGAATAGACAGCGCATACCCGTAGGACGTTTGCGGCAGACATGGATATGCAAAAGTCGAATGAGAATCATCCCACCTTCTTTTTCCTTCCAGGCCCCATACAACTTTCACAAGTCATGTCATGTCAACTTTCTGCAGGTGGTGATTCAATGACAAGGTGCAGTAGTGGCACCATTCTGTGCTCCACCTGCCGCAGGCCGGGCTGGGCCTATGCAAGTTACCAGGCAGAGTTGTGGCAGAGCTCGGCTGTCGAAAACTCATAATGGAATAGCCCGGCGCTACCGGCCGCATTGACCCAGCGACAAGTCCGGTCAACGGGCAGATACAGATACGATTTGCTTGGGTTATAGGCCCGATTCGCTCGGCTGGCCCCGACCTTTGCGACCCCCGGTCAATCCCGAACCCGGGCATCTCACCACTTTTGAAAAATTCGATATCGCTTTCTCGCCATCGCGAAATCTTGCGTTCGCTAGATCGCCATTGACCGCGGATGGGACCTTGTCACGATAAGCCCACAATACTTCTATGCATACGAACACTACGGCACTACGAGCCACGTAAATCCACGTGCGGACATGAATGATGATAGTATGCCATTTGATCAAAGTGGCTCTAGCTGTTTCAATTAAGAAAAAAAAGGCCTCACACATCTGTGGCTCAATCCTCGGGAAACATTTCCCTTAGGTTACTGACAAATACTCCAGCCTCAGCATCCCAACGTTTGAAGAATTTGCCTGCCATGGGCAACAAATCTCGTATCTCCGTCGGAAGTACCTCGACGCCTCCTTTGACGTCCACGACTTCCAGGTTCTCTTCCGCATAGATGTGATGATCAGATCCATCAGTGCCAAGCCTGTGTTAAGTCAGCAGGTAACAACAGCGACTTCTAATGTGATTGAACTGACATGCAGCGATAATACGGCTGGAGATGTCTCAGGTGAGAACCGTCGTCCCAACCCATTGACTGCACTCCGTCTACAGTCCAGCCTAGGATCAGACCGTAGTAATCATACCGCCGGTGCTTAAATACCTGGCCCACACGATATTTGGGTTTCAGCGACCCGGTCAAGACGGTGCGGCGGCGAGGTGGTTTCTCGGACAAGTCGAGGCGTCGTATTTCCTTGATCTGGTCTCGGACCCTCTTTGACGGCAGCTCCCAGATATTTTGGCGGCGGCCGGGAGCTGCAAATGTGTCGTACATTGGACAGATGTACTTCTCGATAAGCCACGAGTCTTCGGGGAAATATTCGTAAAAGTACGTGAGCAAGTCTCTCGCATCTTGCTGCCAATCCCACCGCACGTCCTCGTTGTCTGGCATGATAGGAACCATCATGATGCTCGCCCAAATCATGCTGTACAGTGCCGGCTGCAAGTTGCGCGCCCAATCACCGCGGCTCAGCTCGATCATGGGGATCAACTCCGACACCGGTCGCGTCCGAGCTCGGAAGCTGGTGAAAGAGGAGCGGATGTTCTGCGCGGTCCGAGTAACAATCAGATCGGTAGCAGTAGGAGTCAGCAGATTATCGTGACCCGTGGTAACGCCGCATCGGTACAGGAACATGTGCAGGTAATCCTTTGAGACTTCGTCTCCAGTCGCGAAGGGATCAAGAAACATTTTTTGCTGCAAATCACCGTCCGACAAACGCTGGCCGTCTAATGATATGCCCGTTGGGGACAGGACGATAGCGTGCACCTGATTTGGCAGGGCGCAGCAGTACGCTTCGACGCCAATTCTTTCGGCGAGGACCGAGTATATCGCGCAGGATATGATGGGGAGAGACGGGTGCCGGTCATCCTTGAGGGCTCTTCCGATGAGGCAGTTGCGTAAATATCGATAGGTTTCTTCGGGATCGTCCAAGCCAGTCATGTCGTTCTCATGAAGCCACCGCGCCAGAGTGACAGCCTTCTCACGCGTGGTCATGCCTTCAATGTTCGGATGAGCCTGACGGAAGTGGTCGGCCAGCGCATCCAGCATTTCGGTGATCTCGTCCATGTCGCCTTCGTTGTCGTGGAGCATGAACATATCGAAGGCTCCTAAAGCGCGCTCCAGTCGCATGCCGCATTTGAGCTTCTCGCTGTTCGGCGTTTTCATGTCGGTGTAGTAAGCAGCGTGCTTCTGGAATTTTGCCCATTCTGCAATGGCAAGACTTCGATGGATGCTGTCGAGGACGGTGCATGAGTAGTATCTTCGGGCGAGGACGTCTTCGGCATCGTCGCTCGTCCGGCACTGGGTTAGGAGGTAGTCTTTCGCATCGTACCCAAATTGACAAATCTCCTCGGTCCTTTGTAGCCTTGCAAGTCGTGACGCGACAATTTCATCGAGGAGTTCGGCGACGCGGTGATTGCGATGGAGTCGAATGGTAAAGAGCCGTTTCCAGTCGACGCCCGATGCCCTGGTTCGCAGCTTGTCCTTGAACGCATGGTCGGATTGCCAATATTTGAAGGACGTCTCGCAGTAGTATCGCCATAGCAGTGGTGTTTCGGCGACGCGGTTCAAGCGTCTCGACAAGCACGATATCTTCAATAGAGTCTCTGCGGGGGGGATATACTGCAGGATATGATGGATTAGTTCATCGGGCAGTGCATCGAAAGGCGCCATTTTGGTGGGGGGTGGAGGGGGAGGATGATCAGCGGGAGAGTAGGTCGATCAGTGACATTGAGCGAACAGGTTGGATTGAAAGATCAGAATATAAGGAAGTGAATAATGCGAACTTTAATTGGCCAGCAGGCAGCAGGAGCAGATGTCGCGAATGCTTGCGACAGTGAAGCAATGATGCGGCAACTGAAAGGGGCGCCTCAATGCGACACGAGCTGGAGGGTGTCACTTGACAAGCCGAGGGCATGACGAAGTAATGGAATATCGATAAGTCGCAATTGGGCAATCCACCTCCGGTGCAGGCCGAAGTTTCCTCAAAAAAGTGGCAATTCCACATCGGGCAACGCGTTTGCGGAGAAACGTTGTGCCTTCTCCAGCTGCGCAGCTCGTCAGCGGATTCGGAATCCACTTGAACTGCACACTGCTACCTGTGATTGGCCAGAGCTTCCAAAGTAAACATTCAGCAAGTAACGCGCTTAGAACCCAGGTCGTTGATCGCGTTATCGTCCCCCGCTACATTTTGACTTACACGCATTTTTGGAGCATGCGAACCGTCAATTGTACGATTCTGCATTGGCTTTCCTTCTCATAATATTCTATTGCTCCCTCATCATACCCCAGGCAACGCGCATGGATGAAGTGGTCCACGACTTGCCGCATCGCACCATTTTCTCTTCCCTCAACACCACTTGCAGCCGCTCAAGATGCCCGAATTTGGCGGCGGCCTCGACACGCCTCGCACCAACCTGGGCGATGCAACATATCTTAGCCGGCAGCCCGACTTCGACATGACGCAAGAGCCTTCGTTTCAGTCGCCCTCGAAAGACAACAACCTCCTGCAGCAACTACGGAATGGCCGTTCGAACGCTGTAAATCTCAGAACACCACGCGCCTCACGCGCGCCGCTGGTCGACAGGCGCAATCTGCCCGCTGGCATCGGCGGTGCTGAGTTCACACCTATGCTCAAGTCGGCGACGCGAAATAGCGCACGACGCCGCAGCAATGGCAAAGAGAACCAGAACGTCTTGGCCACGCCTGCACTGGGCAGAATCGAGGAGGATATGGATATGACCAACATCCCTGTGGAATCGTCGCTCTACGGCCCCACAAGGGGCAACAACTCGTATATCAACGCAACGCCAATGCCTGAAGTGGACAACAGCAGCGACGCCAGCACTCCCATAGTCCTGCACCCGCGCCGTGGTGGCGATAAAGGGCCGCTCAGCGACGGCAACCAGCTTTCGCTCCGGGAACAAGAAAACGTGATCGATAGAATCGAGAAGGAGAACTTCGGGCTGAAGCTCAAGATCCATTTTCTGGAAGAGGCATTGCGGAAAGCGGGACCAGGGTTCAGCGAGGCGGCGCTGAAGGAGAATACCGAACTTAAGGTGGATAAGGTCACAATGCAAAGGGAGTTGCACAAGTTCAAGAAGCATTTGGCCAACGCCGAGAAAGATCTCGAAGCTTACCAGCAGCAAATTTTGGAGGTGCAGCAGAAGGCCAAGAAGAAGTACGCCGATGAGAGTCAAAGGATCGAGATCGAACAGCTACGACGAACCTTGGAGGACAAAGATGCCGATATCGAAGATTTGCAACGGCAATTAGATCAAGGAAATCAGGATCAGGACAAGGTGGATCGGCTACAAGACGAAATTGGCGACCTGGAAGCGGACATTCGAGCGAAAGACCGTGAACTTAACGACCGCGAAGACGAAATTGACGAACTAAAGACGCGGCTGGACGCGAGTGAAGACAAATGGAAGTTGACGGAGAAAAAGATCGCAGAGCTCCAGGAAAAGGCCCAGACTAGCGAGGAGCTTGACGAAGCCAAGGAGACCATTGAGGACCTGGAAGCCAATGTCCGGCGGCTCGAGCAGCAAATCGACGACGTAAAGGACGAACTTCAACAGGCGCTATCTGACAAGAACCGAGCCGAAAGAAAGCTCGAGGAGCTCGAAGACGAGATGTCCAACAAATCAGTAGTCCCCAAGGGAGTATCCCGTCAAGTCGAAGAGAAGATCGCCCGTCTGCAAAAGGAGTTAGAGCAGTCGGAAGAGAAGTACGCGTTCCTCGAGCAGCAAGCAGCAGACAAGGAGAAATATACCAACGAGCTGAAGGCCAAAGCCAAGCAACTCCTCCAACAGCGGGATTCTTGGGACTCGGAAAAGCAGGCTCTCAATTCCAAATTGGAGGACGTGCAAAAGGATTTGAGTATGCGGACGGATGAAAAGAATCTGCTCCAGCTTCGTCACGACGCATTAGGTGACGAGTCTGCTTCACTACAGCGTGACGTTTCACGACTGCAGAATCAGGTCGAAGATTTGGAGGACAGTCTCGACCAGGAGAAGGCGCATGCCTTGCAAATCGAACAGGATGTCAGAAACCAGTATAAGACTGACATCGACCGTCTGAACGATGACATCTCTGATCTTCAAGCCGAGATCCGTGAAAAGGACAATCTCTACGACAATGACAGCGAAAAATGGGAGAACGACAAGCACAACCTGGAATCTGAACGCGATCGGGCCGAAGAACGGGCCGCCGGACTCCAGCGCACCATCGATAAGCTCCGTGAGGCGGAAGGGTCCCTGTCCAACAAGGAGACCAGGCTTCAAGAAGCACTGGACAGCGAAGCCGAGCGTCACAAGAGCGAGGAAGCGGTGCTAAGCCGCCAAATCGATGATCTTAGACAAGACCTGGAGGCAAGGCAGGCTATGCTCACCGACCTGCGCAACGAGGTGTCGACTGTGCGAGACGAGCTTCGTCAAAGTCAGCTTGATCACCAGTCCCAAGCCGACAAGGTCGAGGAGCTCGAAGATGAAGTTGCGGTTCTTCAATCTACCTTGGACGAGGAGTCTGAACAAGCAAACAAAGAACTGGCTCAAGCCAGGCAAGAATGTGATAGCCTCCGGCGGCAACTCCACGCACTACAGGACGACGCTGAAATTGCGAGGGCGGCCAATTCTGCATCCCACCGGACAAGCCAAGAAATTAACGAAACAATCACTCGCCTCCAAAGTCAGTTATCTGAAGGTACGGCGCGACTCAGCAAAGCAGGAAAGGAAAAGCAGTCCCTCCAGGACCAACTGTCGAGTCTCAACGCCGACCTCCACTCTCTCCGTGCGTCCCTCGCAGAGATAAAAGCCGAGCGTGAGGAGCTGGAGGCAGAGCTTCAGCGACTTCGCGCCCAAGACAACGACACTTATCGCCTCGATCAAGAACGCATCGACCTCCGCACCGCCAAGGTCAAGCTCGACAGCGAGGTCCGCCGATTGCGCGAAGAGAACCGATCCCTCGAGTCCCAGCGCGAGCAAATCGAGAGAGCGCTCGAGGACGAGATTGAGAAGGCGACGGCGGAGGAGGAACGACTCAAGATGGAGATCATCCAGCTACAGGCCAAGATGCGCCAGTCCAGCGGCAACGAGAGCCAGGAGCTTGTGTCTGCGCGGCGCACAATTCGAAACCTGGAGCGGAAAATTGATGAGTACGAGGTCCAGCTTGCCACCCAGTCCATGTATCCGCTAGGCGCGGCCGCAGGTACCGAAGGCAACTCGGAGCTATCTCTCATGCGTCGTGATCTTACATCGGCAAGACAGAAAGAGCTCGAGCTCCTCAATCGCGAAGCAAGCCACAAGGAGGTGGTTCGCCGTCTCAAGCGGCAGATTGCGGATCTGGAGCGCAAACTGCACGAGGCGGAGATGACACGCTTAGTGAGCAATTCTCCCAATGCCTCGGGTGTGTCGGATTCCGCCTCAGCGCGCAAGCAGGAGGTTGTCGAGCTTCGCCACCAGCTGGCCACAACGAAGCAGTCCCTTCAGGATTCGAAGCAGAAGCTGCGCGATGCTGAACGTGTGGCGTCCAAGAAAGCAACCACGCAGAATCAGGAGATAGAGGGCCTGCAGGCTCGACTCGATGAGCTTGAAGACCAGAATGTGGCTCTCGAGGGAGAATTGGCCGATGCGCAGCGGTCAGCAGCCGAGACGAAGAGTAAGTATGAGAAGGCGGTACGGAAACTGGAACACCAAATGCATAAGATGCAACGCCAATCCTCATCAAAACGCCGCGGAGATGAACAGGATATCCTTGCGCCTAATGATCGCAAAGAATTACACAGCATGCTACGCGAGTCGCAGGACGAAGTGCAAGCATTGGAGCACGACATCCGGGAGCAAGCAGCCGTCATCAAGTCGTACGAAACGGCCCAGGCCTCGCTCCGCAAGAAGCTCGACAAGGCACGCAGTGAGGGCGCGGCATACAGGGCTAGCGCGCTCAAGTATCAGAACGACTGCGAGCGTCTCGAGGCCGGGGCCAAGGACGCTTTGGCATGGATCAAGACGCACAACAATGGCTCAGGGGCTTCCACCAATGCTGCTTACAGACCAAACAAGAACTTGATGCGTGTTGCCAGGACGAGCATCCGGTACAACGGCGAGAATACTATGGATTTCGTCGACCAGAAGGACCACGAGGCCGTGATCCGGGCTGCGGACGATGCAGCGCGCCGGCACGAGAAGGAGATCCGGGGGTTGGCGCTGCAGATGCAGTGGATGCAGGCGCGCTGGGAACGCGAAGCGAAACTGCGCAACGACGCAGCGTTTGCGAAGAGGTTCCTGGAGCTGCAGTTGAGTCTGGCAGAAGCTTGGTGCGTTTCCTCCTTTCCCTCCTCCCCCCTTTCCACCTGTCAAAAACTTCCCTTCCGCTACCACAAACTACCACACGATAATGCTAATACAATCCCAACAGCAACAAAGCCGACCTGCGCATCCTCTCGCAAATTCACCAGAAACTCGGCATCAAGTCCCCCGACGCCTTGCTATCAGCCTCGAAAGCATCCAACCCCGAGTCGAAATCCCTCACTCTCCGCAAACATCAACCCCCTACCCGCGCGCAACATAATCTCATGATATTCGCCACCGCCGTCCGCGCCATCGTCCGGATGCAAGTCAGTGCCCGTGCGTGGGGCAAGCATGAAAAGACACGCGTGCGGCTCGTGGAGGCATGGGAGGAGACGAAAAGGAGAGAGCCGGCGGCGAGGAAGTGGGATGGGAATGAGAGTCTTAACCGCAGTAACAGCGGTAGAGGCGACGGCAGGGGTAACAACGGCAGTATGCATGCTGAGAAGAGGGAGGAGAGGAAGAGAAGCACGGCGGAGACGACTTCGGACATGGATGATGCCGATCCTTGTGTTGAAGTCAGAGTCTGAATCGTTAATGTCCGTTGGGTTTAAGTTTTCCTGGAGTGGCAGCTGGGGAGTATTGGTTGGGCACGGGGTTGCATTGTTCCATTGTTGTTCAACTCGACTTCTCCAGTTCCTTTCCAAGGCGTTGGGGGTCAAGGGCTCAGGAAGGATTGTTTTTCCTTTTTGTCGCCCAGCCAGGTTACGTACACATTTTCATGTTGGAGTTATGTTTACGATCGGCTGGCATTGTGTACAACGCGTTCTTTGCGTTTATAGGATGGCAATGATCATTCTGCATAAGGGGTCGGCGGGCGGTAAAACATTGGTCTTACTTTATTCGAGACTGATATAATGCATTGACGAATCCACCTACATTAGCATCCTTTCCTCAAAGTGATTTCATTGGGCCGTGTGCTAGTAACGTACATCACCACGTTACCTTGGTTTCGTCGTCTATGACGAGTAAGGTCAACTCCTTGTGGGGCTTTACAGCCTATGTTGGGAGCTGTCTCTGTGTTCAGCGGTAAGTGAAGAAACTTCAACATACCTCATACAGACCGTCACATATAATAGTAGACTTAAATCTATCGTCATTGCACTGCATCCCAATAATAAACATCTGAACCCTCGGACCATGATCCCCCTTTTTGTGAGCCGAAAACGGATCCTATTCCAGAATGCCTACCTGCCAGCCTACCCACCCATCCCTTTGTCCATTAAGCCTCCACCTTATCTTTGTCATCCAACTTATTCATTACAAGGGGCGCCTCCGACCCGATGCGCCTACACGACATGGAGACACCTTCGGAGGAATTCGTTTTACATTACAAACAGCAGGTTCGTGTCTGCTCCCAGGGTTAATCATGTTAGTATGTTATGCTGATGGTCAGGGATCCAGATGAGAATGGCCGGCTCGGGAACTGGTACTGACTAAGAGGGTGGCTGCAAGAGAGCTGAGGTTTCTGAGAGTAGCGCGTCGCCAGTTCGTCGCGGATGCTGTTCAGGAGCTGGACGTAGCTCTGCTGAGGGTTTTTCTTGAGGGCCGTGATGAAGGCCCAAGACATAGCGCCCGTTGCTTGAGAAGCAATGTTAGCATCCGCACTGAACGGCGTGTTAGTATGTCTCTTACAGTGATTTGCGAGTATCCCGATTGTAATGAAAGGAAATACCGCTACACTTGGCCAGCGATCCAACGTGACCCGTCGCTCTAGACGCAAAGCCACAACGTAAAGAGTTGTGCTTTAGTCTAGAGCTTGAAAGGAAACAAAGCAAAATATAACAGTCCACCATATGTACAAATAGTTTTGGTACCCGAAACTCCTTTTCCTGCTCTAACGCCTCCTCATGTTCTCATATGTGAGACTTTTGAGTAGTCAACCCAAACCCTTTCCTGAAAAGAATATTTATATACTTGTCCGTATGCGAGGAATTCGCGGTGAGTGACTAGCGTCACCACAAGTCTATCTTGCCCATGACCAGAGAGCAACACAAAAGAAAAACCGGGGGAAGCCTATCAATATGATGAAATAAAAATGGAAGGGAATACGAACGATGTTTGGTCGTCTTTACTCCCAGAGAACATAATAACGTCGGCGGCAGATGTCTTCGTGGCCATAGCTTTATTGTGTGCATCCTCGCCACTTGTGGCCTTTTTGAAAAAGCCCATGACCCCCTTGGCAACACCGCCGAGATCACCTTGACTGTAGGAGGAAATAACACCGAGAAGACCTTGACCAGCCTCTTTGGCCAAGTTGGGCTCCTTGAGCATGCCCTGGGTGGAATAGATGTAGGGTAGATCGAGAGCAGTGCCCGAATGGCAAGAATCGAAGATGGCCGTTAACCGTACTCCGCACGGTAGAGGTTTCACCATGATTCTGTGCATCTCGTCGTCGGTGATGTGCCCCACAGACCGGAAGTCTACAGGATAGATGACCTCGTCGTAGCCGTCGGGTTCATCGCCATCCAGGTCTTTCGTTTGACCGCCATGACCTGCGGATAATTAGCAGAGTATGGCACAGGTAGTAAAAGCCGACTGACCAGAGTAGTGGAAAAACAGTGAATCGTTTGACCGGGCATCTTTCACCAGCCAATGCATTGCGCGCAGAATGTTTTGTTTCGTGGGCTGGCTCATGGGGTTCTGTTGGTCGTCGGTGAGGATCACCATGTCTTCGCGCTTGTATCCGAAGTGCTCGACGAGGTAGCCCGACATGTTTCGGACATCATTGATGCATCCTCTGAGTTGACCGCGCTGGCCAAAGTAGTTGATACCAACGAGCAGGGCTTTCCTCCTGCCCGTGCAGTTACTGTACTGGAAAGCGTATCCCTGAGGGGCGCCTTGACCGAACTGTTGCGGGCCAGGGGGAGGTGGCGGCGGGTGGTTTTGGTTGCCGTTATTATAGGAATTCGAGTTCGCTGAGAGGATTTCGGTTAGTTGCTGTCAGAAGCCGTGGGGTTTCGGCAACGCTGAAGTTGTTACATACCAGGTCTGCCATACTGACTCTGTGGTGGTTGATTGTAGCCGGTGTACTGGGGTTGCGGAGGACCCTGGTCATGTCGTATCAGTGGGGTGGCGGGTGGACTAAGACAAGACCCGTTGGCTTTGTACGCACCTGATTGTATCCATAGGGCTGAGGTTGAGGAGGGGCCTGGCTGTATGCGTATTGCGGTTGCGGAGGACCGTAGCCGGGATTGTATCCCTGAGGAGGACTAGGTGACAGTTAGCAATGGTGATTTTTTCGTTTCGCCGTTTCTTCGTGGTCTAAGGCATTCTTGAAACATGACATGGATCATCGTACGGGGTATAGAAGTTGCCCTGGAACTGCTGGGGTGGCGGTCCACCGTATCCTCCTCCACCTGGATAGCCGTAGCCCGACATGATGGCCGGACTGTACTATATATCGGTGGTGATGGTCAGTGTTTTATTGCGTCCGTGGTGCGGGTCGGCGCCGGCAAGGCGATGGGGTAAGGGCGTAGAGAGCAGGTATGATGGTTCGGATGGACACGGGGTAATCTTTATAGGTGATACCTAGGTTAGTCGTGGGGATGCCGAAGAAGCCTTGTTGGCTGTCACGATATGGTAGCCAGAGGCAAAACGCAGTTCTTTGACGTTTCAACGAACTAACGGCCCAACGTGGTAAGCTTGAAGTCCCTCTCATGGTGGTCAAGTGTGATGGCATCAAGCGCCAAGAGCAACAAAAAGAAACGCTCTGCACTAGCCCAGCGGAGCGGTCAAGTACCGTATGGATCCAGGTTGTATCGGGTCTTGGACGCCACTCACCTGCAGGGGGTTGTTTGGGTCGAGGTTCGCGAAGCTGTTGCTACGTTGGGATTAGCCACAATAACAGCCGTGGTCGACGTGGACGGGACGCGTGGGATAGAGCAATTTGGTGGAGGTGAAGCACTTTGAGCAAGTGCTGGCGGAGGTTCGGGTGTTCGGGCAACAATGGTAAGCGTGGTGTAAAGCGAAATGTGGAGTTCCAAAGCTGAGAGCTGGGGCTGCAGTGCAGTGTCTAGGGTGTCAGGGATTCGTCGTAGCCCGTGGCATTATATGGCCCGTGCATGCTTCACTGTTTGGAAGGAGGGGTCATTCTGCTGTCAAACTTGCCTAGCTGCCGATCCTTGGTAACCTCGTGCTAAACCGAAGACGATGCCACGCAGGACGTGACAACCCGGCGCTTACCATCCATCTACTATGGTATCATGGATAAGTTTTCAATTGTGTGTTTGTACCGTGCTCCACCTAGGCACGAGCCAACTCTTAGCTACCTGGCTTGAAGCGACCTTAACAGCTGTCTTAATCAGATTAAAAGAAAACGTTGTAGTAGTTTGAATTTCCGCTTTCGATTTACCCCCGTCGAAATGGAGGGTTCGAATTCGTTAGCGATCTGCTTCTGTAAGGTGTTTAGTCCCCTATTGTAGTTGCTACATACGCGATAATTAGGACGCGTTAACAGCAAGTTGGAATCAGAGGTGGAAGTACCTTTTCGTTAGTATGAATAGGCTAGGTAAGAATCGGTAAGAATCAGTATAGCGTTACCTTGGCAGTGGTCCACTGGTACTTGTCAAGGCGGTGAAAACTTTGGCCTGATACCGTAGTAGACCGGGAAAAACTCACAACACTCTCGATTTAACCTCGGAAGCCCATTTTGACATCTTTGTCATTGAACTCCGGAGTCTCGACCGACGGTAATTCGATCAAATCCGACTCCGCATACTTTGCCTCGGCATGCTGCAAACCTGCCTGTGCCAGGCAAATTTTATCATGGTCAAGCTAATAAAGAGCCCATTGGCGGTTTATTCCCCTTCCCCTGTCGCCTGAGGCTGCATTGACAAAAGTTGGACGCCACGGAGGCTACCAAGTGATCGCCTAGACCGATGTACTCAACGGCAATGTCACGACGGATGGGAATTTATGTTTCAGCTATCGTCCTAGGCTGTTTCCCGTAGTCGCCAACCTTGAAACACTATTTCGGATTGGCAGTACTAGTGGGCTCAACGGGGCATGCAGTTGCAGCTTCGTCCAGCCACAAGACGTTCTACTCTACGCTTTCATTGCAAGGCTGTGAAGCTCGCTGTAGGCCAGTTCTGCCCACTCATCGGCAATTTCCAGTAATTATAACGTTGACCTGGCGGTAACTGGTGCCTCGCAGCTGGTGCCTCACATCTGCAAAGTCCACCGGGTACCATTGTCAGACGCTGATAGCCAGTCGATGGTCTCACTGCACAATACGAACCCGAGCTGGTATCTACTTCTGAGATGGCGATCAACGCGATGCGTCAATCGCATTCATTCCGATATCCTTGTTTCTGATGCTGCATTGCTCACCACATTGTTACTGGCTACTCTCCGACTTTGGCGAATACTATCGGTTGGCTTGATTGCCTACCATAGCAGTCACCTACCTCGTTGTTGTCTTCTTCAATATCATTAAAACGTACTTGAGCCGGCACGCCTGGCCGGTCAATGGCCGAGCCCCGAAGTTAACGCCACTTCGTAATGAAAGCCGTTTTGGTTAGAGCACTCGATTTTTCAATCCAATTGACACTTGCCAATACCTTCGGCAGAGTCCGGTTCTTTATTAGACTCTTCTAGCCTTTCCATTCTGCTACCATGCCTCGAAGACGGGAACGATGCTTTCCTTTGATGCAAGCGTTCCTAGTAAGGTAAGGCGACGGGGTTCCCGGAACTTGTGGCGGACCTGAACGATGGTCCCCACTAGTCGCTGGCATTCCATGACGATGTTCTAGCCCATCGCGGTACCAGCTGTGCATTTTCATCTGGGACATCATCGACATGGCCTGGCCTTGCGATGTATTAGCCACCGCATCGGGTCCTTTCCTACTCCATCTACTCCATTCACACGTGCGTTGGACCCACTTGCCGGCATTTATGTAGTCAATAGCGCAAGGACAATGCCTCGGATACGGAGATACTCGCGAGGCCTCACTGCTGCGATACGCTTTGCTCCTGATTTGCTTTCCTCCCGACGAATTGAATGAATTCTGCACAGGTTGCCCTAAAGCCAGGGCCAAGCTGCTCCCCACATTGAGCGCGTAAAGTCATTCTACATCCAATTGTCGCCGTTAGACCCAACTGTCCAAATGTGTTACTTGTACCAGAGCGGGCGGTAATCATCAGGTACTGGGTAGGGCAGTCTTACCTACAGACGCCGTCAGGCACTTTGCAAGCTGTAGTATAGCCCAGCAGCCAATCGAGAGTATGCCGATCAGCCCAACCACACAGTGCATCACTCCTCTGGAGCCAACATAATGCAACGACTTATAAATGCAAAGCCTGGACAGCGGCCCGACGAAAGCTCACTGCAGCCCATTATCACGATGTTTCGAATCTGACGGCCAGTCAAGTTTTTCATCACTTCATTACCGCTACTGTGACCCGTCTGTGTTCAAGCCACCTCCTTACCAAGTCCACACTCACGCTGTGGCTTTCCAATGGCACATGTCGGACTGTTGCATCGTCCACCGTCTCTCCCACGATAGGGCTATGCTTCCACGATCTACTCACGAAGGTTGGAACGTTCCACGGCCTGCAACCCACCACGACTAGTCAAAACCCTAAGATTCCCCTAGCTCAGCTTTCGGGGGTTGGCGGTCAGACATCACACTATTCTCTTTTCGTCGCGAACTGGAAGCCCCGTCTGCATGGTTCCCCACGATATCCTTTTTTGGACGGTAAGCTTCTCAGCCGTTCGAAAGAGGCTGTCCCAATACATTGGCTCACTGTGTAATATATGTATGCATGCATGCTTATTCACGCCCATGTTTTGAGTGAACAAGGAAAAAAACAAAGCGGCAGGGGCTCCTTGATGCCACCATCTATCTCTCCGCAGCCCATGCCACGTGGTCTCTTACGATGTTGATGAGATGTACCGACCAAACTCGTAGGGACGCCAAGATCCTTTGCGGGTTGCACCGTGCCACATGCCACCGTACAAATTTAGCAGAGCTGGGACGGAAGTCCCTGCGGAGATCCAGAATGATGACATCTGTGTCTAAGAATAAACATGATTTCATGCTTCGCGTTAAAGCAAGCGGGTCACTTGTTTTCGAGATGCCGAGAGATGAGCGGAAAATGGAAAATATGATATCTAGTTGTGTTACAATCCATCATAAACCCCTGCTGTGAAGTATGTTATCACTCCGTTCGCCCAAGAGACAACTGCCATCGTATGCTGTTTCCTTACATGTCAAGCCTCTAACTCGGCAGTCCTTCACGAGTAATGTTCGTTTATAAATGGAAATATAATATAAAATGAAGGCTCTGCAGCCTTGTGGTTCGCATCGGCAGCGTTCGGGTCGTCGTCAGAGCTCTACGATTCTGCACAAGACATATAGGTACGGCAATATCGGCGGTTCTTGCGTTATGAAGGAAAAGTCACGAAAGCTGCCCTTTCCTTCCACTTAATTCTCACCAGAAAGGTGTGATCTCCAGTATGTTGAGAGTCTAAGCATGCTATGCAGATGACATATTTGGTCGTGATATCCCGGTACTAAGTCGTCATCAGCCAGGAGGTCAGCACTAGATAAAGGACTTTCCAGTCAACCTCACTAGCTCATCGATCACAACTGTTTAGCTCCTGTTTGAAAAATTCCTATCCTGGGGATTCCGATTTACTAGCTCATATTCCGGGTCTCTTGCCCGGGACTTGTATATGCTCCCCTTCTAAAGCGAAGGATGACTGAAATCCAACACACAAAACAAGGAGCATTCGATATGCTCAATCCACTATGCGCTGAAATCCAGTCATGAGAGCATGCATCTGCTATATCCACACATTCAACCTACCACCCACCCCCCTTCTTCAACCAACCTCGACCACATTCCGTCATCTCCCTTTCCACCAACGACGACCTCAAGTCCCCTTCATAACCAGATCCTCTCCATCCTTCCCCTTCTTCTCACCCTCACCTTCACCCTCCTTCCTCATCATCCACGCCATAACTCCCCAAACCAACCTCAGTGCCTCAAGCCGCTCCTCGACGAGAAACAAATCAAACCACCTACTCCGCCACATCTCGACCTTATCCCAACTCCTCGCCTGATCTTCCTCAGGCGCACCGGCCATAACATCGAGTAACCGCGTGGGCACCCGCGTTCTTAGCACGCAGATGTGGTGGAACAAACTGCTGACCACAAATACGTCGTCATAGTCGGCGCCGGTCCGCTTGCCGATGGCTCTGTATCGCGCCTTGCGGTCCCAGTTAGAGGACGGCAGCCGGACCATGCGGTAGTTGTCGTACATGCTCATGTTCTTACGGGTTTTCTTGTTTGGGGCTAAGCCGCGCATGGGGAGGCCGCTTGAGTGGGAGATGGGGTGGACGGGGGACACATGTCCTAAGCCTGGGGTGCGAACCGCTGGAGGGTTTCTGCTACTGCTGCCACTGCTGCTGGGCTTCGCAATAGCGCCGTCGCTGCTGGCTTTTCCGGACGACGAACCGCCGTCTGGTCTGGCGTCCTTATCGCCGACCACCCCATCGCTTTCGATTTCGCGTCCTATTAGCCCGCCTTGGCCGCCACCCCATCGCTTGGCTGTTGCCCACCACTCGCCATCGCCAAATCTCTTCTCCTCCTTTCCTTCCCTCGCGCGGTGCTGCGCCGCGACCAAGGCAGCGACCAGTTCGCGGGCAAAGTCGATTTTGTGGTCGGCAGGGGAATTGAAGTTGATCGTATTGCGTGCTGAGACGGCGAGTATCGGTCCCTCGACGATGCCGGTACGTGCAGCTTCACGGGTTGTCGGAATGCGGAAGACGAAGACGCAGCCGGAGGGAAAGTAAGAGGCTCGCTGGGGTTGGGAGACCGGTGTTCCCTTGATGGTCTGAACAGCAGGTGGTTCTAGTAAGTGTAGCCGTGGCTCTACCCTAGACGGCGAGACGTTGCAGCCAAAATCGTAGGATACGAGCTTAACAAACGCGGTGATGAGGCTGTGTCTTAGCTCAGGGGGCATCAGGTTTCCAGGAGCAGTTCGATAGGTTACTTGCTGAGGCTTGGGTTTCTCGTCTGGTGCGTTTCGTGAACTGCTGTTTGCCTCTGACTGTGTAGTAGAGGCACTAATAGTGCGTGTGGTTTGCTCTAGGCTACCGTCAAGCGACTGGTGCCGCGGTGGTGATGCAGGCTTCTCCACGTTCAAGTGGCCATCTTTGCGCTGTGACAACGACGTATCATCCCAGTAAGCTGCCATCAGCTCCAACTGCCTGTAAAACTCATAGCAGTTACCCAGTCTCACTGGCGTCGTTCCCGGGTCCGGCCGAATGCGTCGTACCGTTCTGAACGCTGCTTGGTTGTCCAAGGAGAGTTCATGGCGCCTTTCCATGAAGACCCGCGCCTCTGGGGACATGTTGCCGTTCGACAGCGGACGTCGGAAGGTGGCATCCTTAGACGGCGCCTCATCCACCGTCAATCTGTCCCATCCTGAGGCTGATGGAGCGTATGAAGGATCTGGCAGCAAGTCTTCAACAGCGACATCAGTGTGCACGTGTACACCCAGAGCGGCGAAGTGAGCTTCTCTCAATTCGGTAGGCCGCTGTATTGACTGGAGGAACTTGACTAGAGACGCATACTCCGGGCTATATCTTGAGTCGTCCTTCCCGCTAGACGCCCCCGAGTGTTGAGGGTTGTATCTTGGCAAAGTGAGAGGGGTCGGAGGAGGAATGTCTTCAGGTGGTGGGCCGATGGTCGACGGGGTGACTAGAAATTACCATAAGAAAGTGATGCAAAGAAAAGAAACCGGTGGATTTCCTAGATTGAGAAGGTTGCAGTGGAGTGTTGAGATGTTGAGATGAGATCAAGTACTAAAAGGGGGTTATATCATGTGGTCTGGGGAAGTGGCAACATCTGACAGGATTTCAAGGTCGATCCATGCCATGGAGACTTGAAAAGCAAGAAGTCCCCCACAGTAATTCAGTCTAGCTAACTTCGCGTCGTGGCCATGAGATGTTCGTAATGACTGGAGAAGAAGATCTTGCCCAGACCAGAATTGGTGTGTTTGCACTCGTGGAGAGTGGGTAAGGGTAAATGGGTCCGGCTTGACCCCTCATGAGATCAGCAGATTGAATGAAGGAGAAGAGACTTACTCAGATTTACCAGCCCGCCAAACATTGTGACTGGCTGGGATGAAAGTGCAAGAAGAACGTCAGGGACGAGCTCGTGGCCTTGCACCGGTTAAGATTAAGGCAGGTGAGTGATGGATTAGCACTTCGTCACCAAGCCAGTTTCGACTCTGGAGGTTCGAGATGCAAGTGCTCTTGTGTCACGAATGACGTTACGAGCCCGGCTCAGGAATTATCCAAGACGCGTGGTTGGCATCAGAGAGCGTTGCCAATTTAGTCCCGCAGCGTGCCAACTGGTCTCGTATTGACCCCGCCGATTGCCAGAGTCCTGAACTCAGGAACGCGTTGAGTTGAGCCCGGCCGCTGGAGATGGCGTTTCCTAGGGCTGTTCTTTTGCTTTAGAGCTGTCTGGGGAAATTCAGGGGAAGCGCGGCGGCAAGTGGGGATTGTAAAGATCGACGTCCGTGCCCATTTACCCCACCACTTACCGAGCCGCCGGCCGCCGAGAACGCAACATAGAATCGCAGAATGAAGCAGGCAGTGAAATCTAGATGAAAAGTTCATACGAACAACTATCTGATTCAGTCCCACAGCACTGGAACCACGAGGCTATACCAATGTATACCTATCAACTGCATTGCAATATCGGGCCATCCCGTCTGGTACTAAACCTCTCGGTGCATTGCTACTCTGTTATCCCATGGTAGAGCAGCAGTCAGACTGTCCTAATCACGACAACTAAAATCGTCGCGCCATCTTTCTCCGGTATCTCAAACAAGCATCTCCAGTAAGAGTCCTCTGTACGCGTGATTTTATACTCGCGATAACATGTCCAGCAAGACAAGCCTTTGCAAGTAGAACTAGCTGTTTGCGTCGCGATGCTGGTTATACATCAAAGTCCTACGTACTTCCTTTTACTAATCATTGCCAGGCTGGTTCCCGCCACCAGGTCGTTGTTACTGCCCGTCTGTCACTCTTCTAGGTGCGAAGCAGCTTGGCGTGCTCGGCTTTCGTCGTGGCGTCCCCTGCGATGTGTGCTACACCCAAAAGTTCCATTAGAGCATATATTTCAAGCCCAACACCCTGCTTGTGCGTGTCTCTAACTATTCTCTTTGGCTTCTTTCGTGGCCAGACTTGAGATACCTTCGGTATACGGCAAGCTATCAAATGATCCTTTCATTGACTTCTCTTTGGTTGTGACAGGGACGGATTTGGTCAGAAAACCCAGCAGTATGCCAGTGCCCATACTGTCAACTGGATGAGTTCTCAGATAATCTTTAAATTGGAAGTGATAGCTTATTTATTTCTCTCATGCGACCAGAGATGTTCCTCATGTTTCATGGGTGACTTTGATACCGAATCATTTAACATCTGCTAGTACTTTATAAAGGTGACTATCAACCTGTAAACGTAGAGGATCTATGAGACATAGCTTGTGTGTTTGTCTGTCTCGGATTTTGGAGTAATTGCGTTTAGCTATGTAAAAAACGTGGCATTATCATAATTGGGCCAAAGCTATCATCAAGAGACTATCAACTTGTAAACGTAGAGTATTGATACGAAAAGGTAGGGGGACCCACTGGTTAGGTGAATCCCATTCAATTAGATACTATAACGTTGCGCACTGCTGCATTATAGCATCCTCCCCCCTAGGTGCACGCATCAAGTATCTACCGACATAGCTTCGGTCCCAAGAAACCTCTAGAATACAACGGCGAAGATAAAGGCGAGGGCTAGGCGGCAGAAACCAAGCCAAATGTGGTATAGTATTATTCCTGGGCAATAGTGCTAGATAGGTGTATTTGCAAATGACCCGTAAGACCTACAAATCCTTCGCCCCCTCTATATCTTCACTTGGCAATGATTTCTGCAGGTCTTCTCTCACAGAGCATCTACCCAAGACTCTATGAACGCACCGTGATTTTCTCCTAGCCAGAAGCCTCAACACCTTAACCCCATATATTATTTCCTCCCCATCCTGGGCATGGTTCATATAGTCACTCACAAGATCCCACAGATAATCAACATATCCCTAACCCCCTCCCCCTTCTTCCCCGGATTCCACTTAATCGTCAACCATTTCAATACAGTGCAGTGGCTCAAGCCGTCTTGGGCAATTTCTCGAATCTGGTGTGCGAAGTAGGGTTGCTTTGAAATCATGGTGTCGACGATATAGTGGCGGGTTGAGAGCGCGAATAGCAAGAGCGGTATTTGTAATAAACGCACGCAGTAAGTGCCTTTCCAACATACTTGCGTGTCTCTGTTGTTATCAGCCCTCTATTTTCATATTTATTTGAGGCCAAAGGTGTCTTCGATACTTGGTCCCTCTGTGTAGTACCCGCATTTGTACCGTAGACTTGGAGTTATAAAAACACTTTATATGGCGGTTCCGCTATAGTCTAGTTTTAAGGGAAAGCACGAAAAGCTATTTGGTCTTAGATAGGTAAGGTGCATCTATATCTTCGTTCCCCTCTACACTGAACTATCTTGCTCATAGGAGTTGAAATATCGCTTATCTGGCTTTGGAGGCAAGGCTATGAGGTCTAGATACCCATTAAACTCGCCTACTTGTCCGACTCACCATCAACTCCAAGCTGAAAAAAAGGAGATGTCGCAAAAATGACAATGACTAGAAAAGAGGTAAATCCTATTTGTTTTAGCTATTTCTGGTTCCGAAGCGAGCGTGTTATATGAAACTACAATCTTATATGTGAAGGAAACAAGGTGAACATTGACTCTGGCGCAATGTGAACATGTATAGCTATATTCTAGACTTTATGAGTGTTTCAGTCCCCTTACTCAAGTCAAGTTAGTTCATTCTTGAGGGTTTACCTGATAGGTATAGGTTCTGTACTAAGGTTAGCATAGAAGAGCAAAGCTGCAACTAACCTTTTCAAGGCTGTCGATAGTTATAAAGCTTGTACTTAAATTTATACTCTTGTTTTATTAGATACGCAACTTATCTTGCAGGCTTACGTATATCTAGCATATTAAGTTTGACACCTTGTATTTCCTCTCTGTTATATCGTAACAAAGTGAGTTCGTTTCCATTGTACTTTTGTTCTGATGTACAGTCATTACATAACCGTTTCACCGGCATATCCTAAGTACTTCCAGCTTTCTATTCCGTGATCATGCTTCCCCCAATAGCCCAATTTATAGCCACATTCGCTCTCTGCAGAGCATCCCTGATATCCGCCACCACTCCACCGAGCCAAAATGGCTACACCCTCACCTGGTCCGATCCCTTCACCGGCGACCCGAACTCTCTCCCCTCCTGCTCAACTTGGACCCTCATAACTGGCAAGCTATCCTACACCTCCGAATCCGAAACCTACACCTCCTCCCCTTCCAACGTCCACCTCAGCTCCACGCAAACCCTCCAAATCGTCCCCCTGAGAAACTCATCCGTGGAAACAGGCTGGACCTCAGCCCGCATCGAAGGAAAATCCACATTTACTCCCAAGCCCGGTTCCAAAACCCGCGCCGAGGCCTCGATCCGGTTCGGTGATAATGCACAATCGACTAAGAAGGGATACTGGCCCGCGTTCTGGATGCTGAGTAATGGGACGGGGACGGAGAACGGGCCGAGCTCGCCGTATTGTGGGGAGATTGATGTATTGGAGGTTACGAATGGGGAGATGACGGGGTATGCGAGTGTGCATTGTGATGTGGCGGAAGGGGGGATATGTAATGAGCCTACGGGGTTGTCGGGTTCAGTTGATTATCCGGATTTGAGCTGGCATACTTGGGGGGTCGAGTTTGATCGGAGGGCGGACGATTGGAAGGGGGAAGCTATGAATTTCTATATAGATGACCAGAACTACTTCCAGGTGACGGGCAGTCAGATTGGGGATGAGACAGTTTGGACTTGTCTAGCGCACAGCCCATTGTTTTTTATATTGAATATTGCGCTGGGTGGTGATGTAAGTAATTGCCGTTGTTCTCACCGGTTCCACGCTATAACTGACAATTGAGGGTCCCTGGATGCCGATGGAAATTTGCTAACATGTTGTATAGGCTGGCAAGCCCGACAGCTCAACCCAGGACGGAAACGGGGCAAGGATGGAAGTGGCTTATGTTGCGGTTTATGAAAGCTGATTGAGGCAATCAAGGCAGCGTCCCGCTTCAGGGGCTCCTTTTGGCTATATATATGTACTCAAGTGGTTATATATTTCTTCCTAAGAGTATAACTGGGACTTGTTTGGCTACGTGGTTGCTACTTATATTACAATATTCCCTGAAACGGCAGTCTATCAATCACCGCCACCTTCAAAAAGGTATCGACAGTTGCAGAGGCAGCCAGGTATGATCTTATGTCGAGCTGCTTTTACCAGCTGCTTTTTAGCTATGTAGCGTGTGTGAGGTAGAAGTCACTTCAACACCCAATATAGTGAGACCTTCAATGTCCGGTGATCTTTGACTTGACATTCATCATAAATAGTTTCTATATCAGCCTTTGATCAACCTTCGTCGAAACTAAATCTGCATTCTCTTTGAACCGCAAAACATATTCAATCAGCAGTACTTGAAAGTATCTCAGTGATCCAGGCCATGTTTTCCAGATCGCTTGGCTTCCCTACGTGTACCAATGCTCGCTAATGGAGTCCTTGCTTCATCTTCTCCCCGAAGGCTCAGATGGCCCACAGGATGATCTAGATACTCATATTCATCGTACCATGAAGGCAGCATTTGTACTTCATTACATTTGAACCTGAAGTCCGAGATATTCTTCCTAAGTTCAGCCTTAGCCTATATTGCTACGCTATCTAGTCTCACTACGCCCTAGGTTCTGCGTGGTACAAGACTTTTAATCCCGACGTCACTATATTCGTTGGACCTAGCTATAGCCATCAGACCATTATTTGTCGTGTTTGAAGCCAATGTGCAAGCAGACCTGGCAGGGTGGCGGCACTAGCAAAGGAGTTGCTTCGGATAAGAAGAATAAGCATTGAGTTGGACAATATGGGCCCTGTGGGCCATGTGGGTCCTATACTTGCCACTATCGCCACCTAGAACGGCGACCATCCCCACATACCTCTATTACGAGAAATGTGGCGAGGATAGAACATTCCCTACTTATCTATATGCTTCTACAACTTGTCTGAATTAATCAGCAAGTCTACCATTCATTGACTATATAAGAACCCTTTTGTTTCCATACATAGACCCTCGAAGAGAGGACCAGAGTTAGCTACAATACATACAGGTTAGGCATATGTGCCCTCCTTTTGCTCCTTCAACGGGAACATCAAATCCAAGTCATTGCTATAGTTGAGTAGTCGAAAATGACAACAGTATCGGGCAAAACATTTCAAGCCTCAAATGTCGAGCCCCAAATGATCGAGGAAGCTGAAGCCTCTAAAATAGAAGTTACAGAAATTCGTTGGATAAGCACGACCGGGGCGAAGCACCTCACCCCTGCTGGTTAATAAAGGAAGTGATGTCATTGGGGAGGGATAAACTACATAAATTGAGGCCAGCGTACCTCAGCTCTCGTGTAGCGTAGGTAAGACCGCAGGCTATATTTGTGGTACATGTCACTACTACATCCTCTGGAGTACTAGTTTGAGAAAGGCATATATTGCTGAATCTACCATCTAAAGCATTCTACTATAGTTAAACACAAAAAAAACAGCGGAATCCAAATTGCTAGTTGATGGAATGCGACTTTTTGTTTTTTAATCTTGTGGGTGTGGTCAGACTCACTATTCAGATTTTTGTGGGTGTTAGTCGGATGCGAGAGGCTGACCAGTGTTTCTGACTCTCTGATAGCCCTTCAAAACCAGGAGGCGGAATCTTGCCTCGGCCAGAGCGAGCTTTGTGAAACAGGTCCAGCTCGCTTTTAGGCATTTCCCACATCTTTTCCACGGTCATCTCCATTATTACTCCAGTGCTGACTCCTGCCGACAAGCGAAGCAAGGCCAGCGCATTCTTACCCAGCACCAGGTATGCCTTCCTTCGCCCAACCAAAACTAGACAATGCCGCTACCGCAAAACACTTGACTTAGCTATAATTAGGTTCATGAAATGAAGACGTGGAACCCCCCATTTCCTTACTTAGCTCACTTCAGAAACTTCCCCTGGTCTGTCAAAAACAGCCACGCGTTGGAAACAAAAGGTATTGTGTCCCAGAGGTGCGGCGGCTCCTTGGATTCTGGGGGCCATGCTCGGAAAGCAGTTATTGCCGCTAGCGATAAGATGAGAAACGATGATGATGATGGAGCCAAAGGCTGCAGTAGTCCCTGGAGCTGGGATCGGGTGCTGTTAATGGCCTCTGTAACGGCTCATATCTGGTCGAATGTGAGAATCGAGTGTTGAAGGGATTTGGAATTTTCAGGGGAGCCAAATCTCTATTAATCTAGGTTCCTAGTTATGTTGCAAGCATTGGAATGCTCCTCATACCCCTCTTAGGTTCCTCGCCTTGTCAAATCACCTGACCTGATCGTATAAGCGGGAAGTGCGGCCGCTAAATACAACATAACTTTGTGTATCAAAACAGTATGCCACCGAGATAAGTTTGGGCCAGTTGCGTCGATCGATCTGGTAACGCTTCGACTGCCTCATATTCATGTAACTATCGTATGGATAAGTGTGGGGATGAGGCGTTGGATACGCGGGCACTATCTGATTATAAGACCTAATAAACGACTTGTGGTAGCCGGCCAACTAGTCGGTTTGCTATTTGACATTGAACATATCATGTATGGGCTTGCCGAAGTATGTTAGACGTGAAATGGCCAAGAAACACCTATGATTATAAATATTGGCATTCTCAGTCTGCGGGTAATGCAAAGGCTTTCTTTATAACTCCTTGCTAAAACGAGGACTTAAAGTAAGCCGAGCTGGGCTGGACAAGGGGGTATTCCTACTTACTATATTAGTCACACAACAGGGCCTATTGTAGAAGGACAACCCGTTAGAGACAACAAGGAGTCCGAGCAGTAGACTTGACACCAAGATTTGTTAGGTTTATGCTTTTAAGGGATAATTATTTCGAAACACCATGTCAGGAAAGCATGCACTATTCAATCTATTTTATTCCTAATGAAAAAGATTGCTAGTTCAAGTCGACCAAGCCAGGCATAGTGATGTTCATGGATGCCCCTAGAGAAAGTACCTTGAAGGGTTACTCTACTACGAAGTATCAGAATACAGCTATCTTAGCTCACTTGGTCTACCCCACATGGATCAACTAATATGCATATCCTCATAATACGAAGTAATAGGTTGGCTCAAGGTGGGAAGGAGGTGAAACTGAGGATTTCTCAGCCGAAAAGGAACATCATTGCCAGACTTTTGGAAATATGACTATATTGATACGATCCAGAATTCCCGAGATATGGTTACCGGGGAGCTGCGATAAGATGCTAGCATTGTAGTTGTTAGTCTTCCAAGTTTGGCGCCCTTCCTTAGATGGCAATGCAAACATGATGGCAGCACCCTGTAGCAACTAAGGGGATACCGGACAAAACGCTCTAGAAGGTTAATCGCAAAATCAGCTCCAAACAATAGCGTATGTGAGCAAGTTTACTAGACAGCAGGTACCAAAAGAGTAGGACTAATGAAGGTGAATTAAGCAGTGATGGTTAGCCTCAATTCGTCGAGGTTGGTGAAATAAGCCGAACTCTCATCTAGTGTGATGCTGTCGCGGAGGATGCACTTGCCTTGCCGCCTTAAGGTCGATAGTTTGAAGCTTTGAGCGAGTTGTTCTGATTCACGAAAATTGGGGAAGTTCCGACGAACGAGCTCTGCCCTCACGTATTCCTTCCGCTTTGTCTGTGTTGAAGTATGGCAACTCCGAAGAACTCAAGACGTCAACTCTTCCAAGCTCGCGGCCGAAATCCGAAAGTCCTCGTCCACATGGACATCTTAGATCGCCTCGTCTCGCCTGTCTAATAGTTGGATCGTGGTACACCAGGTGGTCCATCAATCTGAAAATACCAGAGCCGCACATGCGAATCATGATTGTGCTTAAAATAGCAGATATGCAACGCCAGGCCCATTGACCATTGACCAACAGATGGTGACATCACGCTCAAGGATGGACCCTAGCCAGGACCTGCATGTAGTGGTATTTGATTGGCTGCGAGTAATTAAGCGGAAACACGAAAATTCGCGTCGTGTTTGACTTTCCCCCAACTACGCTTCGCCAGGCGCGTGTCTCGTTCCCATCCGGGAATCGCGTAAAGTGGTCCACACCCGCAGAAAACCATCCATGGTGAAGAATCGGCATACAAAACAAGCAGAAGCTGCATAGCATCGATCCTTGGTTCGAGTCAGTTATATACATAGGGACTCCATCCAGTCGCATGCCATGCCATGCCAGGGTTAGTTCCAAACATCCCAAAACAAGGTAAACAGAAGGACGCTTGCCATGCGTGTGCAGAAAATGACACCTTGACCAATGAACTCACTCAACGCTTTATGCTGTGTCGTGTTGTACGGCGAGGCAGCGCGCAAGAATCGGCCGAAAGAATCTAAACAAACAAGTGTTGCGGAGAATGGGTGAGAAGCGGGTCTCGGTGGATTGCAGTGTGGTGGTCGTACAGAGGCATCATATTCATTTAAGGAATTTGGCGGTGGAAGGGATGAGGTGCCCAGAATAGGCTTCTTCATGCCCGAGGTACAAGTGTAGAAAAGTTTGCCTGGAGTTGTAGTTTCATGTCAGGCCGTGTAAAGGTTCATCAAAGGTCAGCCTTCGTCTGGCCACGCTCATGGGTGTCTTGGCCGACGGTAGGGCCACCGGCGTCTTCCAGGGCTTTTGCGCCGGGCTCGGCGTGATATTGACAAAGTCGGAGAAATCGAATGGTTGGCCAGGTGTCGTTGGGAACAAGTTGCCTCCTCCGGGTGTAGTCATCATGGACGAAGGCAATGCAAGCTCCTTTCTAGGGGGCGGTGTAGACGGAGGCTCCATCCTGGTCTTGGTCGATGGCACTGCAGGAGATGGGGATGCCGCCAGATATAGCAACAAATCTGCTCCTTCCTCGCCTGTTTTGCTTCCATTCACCGTACTTCTCTCCTTCCTGCGTAGACCTCTGTTGCGCATTGGTGGTGTTCGTGGCGGTGATGCTCGGTTGTGATCGACTTGGAAAGAGTGCGCTGGGAGGAGATCGTCCTCATCGTCTGACGGAGGTGCAGCAAAATTGGGCGATGTGAGGCACTGCGAGACTCGGCGGCCGCCCTGAAAAAATGATACGTCAGGGCCATTTGAAGTTGTAAAATGCTGCTGCCGTCGTGCCTTGATCGGCGAAGACTTGCCCAGCGAGCGATGTTCTTTCCAGGAGGTGGTGTTGCCCAATTGGAACGACTTGCGTGCGGTTGGGGAGGTGCGGAACCGCTTCGTCGGGCTTGACATCGGCATGTCAAATGTGTCCATATATGTTCGCTTGCGATGGCCGGTACTGCCATTACTGGACCCAATTGCGTCGGAAAAGAAGGGGGCTTTGAGCGGAGAGCTCATCAGTACGGTGGAGGAGGGATAGGGTAGTTCCGAGGTACTTGAGGACGAGTCGGACATGACTTCGCCGTCATATTGCCGTTTTCGTCGGATTTGCTCCTCGAACTTGGGCTCGATGGTGTCGAGAGTTAGATCTTCCCAGCCGTGCTTGGTCTTGAATTGCGCAAGAGCTAGACGACCTTGGAGTCTTCGGGCAATCTGCAGGTCGAAGTATGCTGTTTAATGCCTTTGTTCTCATGTGCGGGCTTCGGATGCATCCTTCCTTACCTTGCTGACCTCGACTCGCTTGAGGACTTTGTCTGCCACAGCCTCTGGCTGCTTTTTGAGTGGCGATGACATGATCCGCTGTTTCTGCTTGGACATTCCACGGGCCTGTCGTGATGGTATCTGAAGTGTCTCTCAAAGGTTTAACCAAGGGAAGGGCGATTGGGTGAGGGCAGTGGTCCGGCGTACACTATAAGGGGCCCTGGGAGATGAGGTGATGGGCCGATGCGGCGCAGCTTGGCCGTGAAAAGACAACGAGGGGCTTAGTTGACGACAGGAGCACAAGTGCAGTTTGGGGATGTAGTAGAAGGAGAAGTCGTTGCCGTGACAAAAATAAGTGCTGTGAATTGTGGAGTGACTTTGTAAAGTTCTTTTTACTATTACTAGTCAGCTCAGGGTGAACTTTGCATTCCTGTTCTGTCCAACGGGCACCTGGCCTGGCTGAAGCAGCTCGGTGCGCTACCCCAATTAATCGTCCCGGGCGGGTTGCTCAGCAGCTTCTAGGCAAAATCCCCACCCGCGGCAAAAAAAGCTGGCCATCTTATAGGGCGGAAGGTACGACGCACGGCACGCCCTGCAGCATGGCCATGGGCATGCGCTGGCCACTAATTTACCGGTAGCTTTACAAGAGGCCAATACTATTTGCTACAGGGGCCAGGGGCGCCTTGATGGTGCCAGCATCTGGGTTAGTTTTAACGACTCGACAGTCTTAAATGCTCCGTCTACGATATCTGATGCCAAGCTGGTCAGGCTATTACACCAACAGCGTGATTGTGCAGGAGGTACTTCCACGTCGGGCGCTACACTTGCGCCTGAGGCCTTGCATTCAGTATGCGATCCTAACTTATCACCAGGAACCAACAAGCCTGGTTACGAGTGAACAAAGTCGGTCAAAGAAGCAGTCTTGACCAAAAGCGGGATGACAATGCCACCACCTCTTTTTGAAGTGCGGCTTCAATAAGCAGCTCTGATCCAATATCGGAAAGTTGAAGATCGGAGCATTTACTTGTGACGATTGGCACTTGGTTTGCCATTGTCGCTTGGACCTCGTGGCATTTGAGCCTCAATCAAGAAGGCGGCGGCTGCTTGCTAGATAGCGGTAGACCTTGATTTTAAACATGCTAGAGCTAGCATTCGACTGGATTCTAATGTTGGGACGCAAGTTTCGGGAACTGCAATGCGCTTCCGCTCATCCTATTATTGGGCAACCGCAACTTTCCGTGACTCCTACTCTTGATCTAGACGCTTTGCATTGCCTGGATGCGTGGGAACCAGGCTGATGCCTCGGATCGGAATTCACGAAGCCGTCTGCGCAACTCGCAGGTTCTAGCCACGTTTCAGTTTAGCGAAACGTCTGATTGACGGAAAGTTCGATGCGTGGTTCTTGGAGAGGCCCTGGAGCTTAGCCTAGCATCTGTGTCCCTGAGAAGTTGAGCCTCATATGGTCGATCTCGTGGCTCAATTTTCGGCTACCTGAGTTAGAAGTCGCAGAAACGAGCCAACGCACTTGTAGACGCACTTGCGCTGGCAGCTGGTCATGAAGAGCGTTTATGATCGAGTGAAGCCATGGCTTGGGGCATCTCCTTGCTGATCTACCGCTTTAGACCCTTGTACTACCGGCAAGTCCGGGCAGATTTTGAGAGACGCCAACGTCCTGCAAGCTCTTTAAAGTCAGTTTCCCCACCAACCTAATCAGGAAAGACTGCATTCGTTATCTTGGTTCGTGAAAACGGCCATGGTCTAATGCCGATTCAACTCGTCTCTTAGATCACTCGTGCCAAGCCCATCAATGTCGAACAAAACCGGCATGGCACCACGCCTCGAGGCGCCTCGTTCTCATCTGACGTTGCGCATTTATCTAGATGGGCAGCGGATTCAAAGACGGGGCCAACAAATGTGCGACTTTGGACTCCGTACGTATGCATCCAGGCATCCGTGAATCAGGATTTCGGCCGGTGCATCCTCATCTCTTTATCAGGCGACTCCTGCAGCACGACGTTCAACATCTGACGGGAGCATAACTTGTTTCGCTCAAAACAGCACAAGTCCGACCAGGTGTTCAAGGAGTTCAGCATCTCTGGCGATTTGAACTCTAACCGGAGACATATTTCGCCGTATGCTGTATGACAGATTCCAGCCGGAATCTTGCTGATCGTCAACCGAGCTTCCACGGGCGCAGTTCGTATGAGGCGAAGTAATAATAGAGCTCATAGGTAACCCAGACCTACGTGAGATGTGATAGGGAGGGGAGAAAACGTAGTTGATAAGTTGATATGTTTTCCCCTCCTCCATCGAATATTGAGATGTCTTATTCCCGTCCAATCTAGCTGCCGATCCCCCGTTATGTGTCTAACTTCTACACGGATAGGTCGGCTTTTCATTCGCCTGCTCAACAACAGCTATTCGTTGAATTGGCATCTGATCTGCCCTCTGCATACATAGGTTGTACGATATCTGGGCCTTTCCTGCTCAACTCGGACTGGCCGTTTTGATCGTGTTGCTCGAGCTCGATTCAACGGGACATCTGTTCCATCTGCCGGTATCACTCCGAGAAGCTTAAGTTTTGCTGCGGTTCATGCCTCATGCCTCATTCCCTACGAAAGGAGTCGGCTTATTACACTTGGTCACGGCGCCCGGCGGTTGCAATTTGGCATATCAGCAACCCTGCAGCAAACCACATGCAGCCCATCTAAGATCCCGCCATCTTGATCACTCTTGTCAATCTCCGGCTGTTCTTAAGCAACAATATTCCCTTTCACAAACCTTGCTTTCCCGTAGGTTGCTTTTGTTGTGGGTTGCCTTAAAGAAAATCCCTGGCCTTCTTTACTCTATAAATGGAAGACCCGCTTCGATACGAAACAGACTACGTCATCGCACGAGCTCCCCCCATTCTTCGTCTCGTTTGAACTGACTCTCGTCTTTGCTCCTGAGTAATAACCAAGCAGGGTTTTCGAAGCATAAACTGGAGGTAGAGGTTCTCTTCACAGCCTCGTAGTCCGCTGCCGACTGCCAACAAGAAATAGTCTGCTCAGCTTAGAACTGAGAATCGATCGCGACTTTTCTCTATCTTGTGGTTCAACAACTTCGGAAGCTTGCCCAGAGAATGTCCAGCACCTGTCATCAAATTTAGAGCGAATGCAAGGCAATCCTGCCGCTAGACAAGGTCTGTCAATTGCATATCCACCGGCCCAGTCCACCGCAATTAAGCGCGGCCCAGTTCTAGATTTGTTCAGCAGTTGCAGCACAAGCACCAAGTTCTCAACCGTCGATATTCGTTTCCTCCATTCCCACAACAATTGCTGGAACGATAGAGCAAGGTAAAGGCATACGTCCAGTAGCGCTGCATCTCTTGGGGCATCCTCTTGATTGATGACGACTCGGCTTCCCGGCTGCGCTTGCCCTGTCCGCTTCTGACCGGCTTCTAGGCGCCAAGCCTGGCTGTTCTGCAATTGTGGTAGCTGCATGCTCCCCGCGGGACACCGTGAAACATCCATCTCGAGCTCCCCAAGTCGCCGCTGAATAGCCATATTGAACACTCAATTCTTCTGACGACTGCGACTGGCCAATTGGAAGCTTACAACTCATCAGACCCGACCAGCTTCTGGCCAGGCAGTAAGCTGCAATGGCGCCGTCGTTTCTCAGCTTTAAGGAGCTGCGGAGACGGTCGCGAGCGAGCTTCAGGACGGATCGATCGACCGAGAACACGGATACCTCGAGCAACGATGACAACCAGAACACTGAGAACACCACCCCCACGACAGGGTCCATCACGCCGCCGTCCATCACGCCGCCGTCGATTGCAGCCCTGTCCGACCCTGCCCACAGCTTTCAAACGAAGGATCCTTCGCAGCTTAGTCTGCCCCTCGTGCCCCCGAGACCACCTCTGCAGACTACAACCAACACCAACAGATTTAGTGTCTCTGGCATGACTGGATTGGGATCTCCGACGGTCGTTGGCAGAACTAAGTCGCTTCCCGTGTCGCAATACGCTCCGCGCATATCGAATATTGTCGAAAACAGCTGGGTATGGTTCATAACTCCTTGCTTCCAGTCTACAGGTGTCGGGTGGAGGTGTAGTGGTCACTGGCGCTCTGGGAATCTGGGACAAACCATGTCAACCAATGCGCGGTGAAACTTAACTGTGTGGTGCTAACGGCTTTACAGGTTTCCCAGAAGATCATCCTGGTCAATGGCACTATTGGTGAAGTTTCCCAGAGCTCTCTTGAAGGAACCGTCACAGTATGCCGGTTGGACGACAACTTCCCACCCACCTACTGGCCTGTATGCGACTCGCACTTCAAGACAATGGTCTACCTCATGCCTGGAGCTAACAGACTGCGCTTCGACTTTTCGAGCCCCAAGCTGGCCAATAGTGGTTCATCCAACCCCATCCATTCCTCTTACATCACAGTGCACATGGTCCCTCCCATGAACTCGCCCCCCTTGCAATTGGCTATCTTGCTCGCAAAGGACTCCCCGGGAACCTTCGACGCCGTGCCCGCGCGAATCGAGAGGGAAGGGAATGGCTTGGACACGGCTATTCGCAAGTTTCGCATGGCCGCCTACTTGTGGCAAGCTTTCACGGCCGAGCAGATGTTTAGAAACAAACTGGGCCGACGGGCCTTCCGTTTCGAGGAAGAGTGGACGACCGGAACCTGCAACCAGCGTGACCGAGAGATGGGTACGATGCGGTCAGAAGCGCGAGTCCACGTCATACGGTCTGACAAAACCCTCGCCGAGATACGCGATATGGAACGGGCCCAACAGAACCCCAATGCTACCAAGAAAGGAGAACTCTACGACATTGCCGCCGAAGCTGTCAAGAACTACTTTCAAACCCTCCCTGGGCAGAAGCAATACGTTTCGGTGCTGATAATGGACTCGCATTGGGATGCCGCGGCCAAGACAGTGGTTGGCCATGCTGCTTTGGGTGGCAATGCGGGTGATCTCCAATTGGCCATTTTTGGCTCCCATTGCCTGCAGAGTTATCCTACAAGTTTTGAGGAGATTGCCCCGGCATTTACCGACTGCACACCAACCGACACGAACTGGGTCGCTAATGACTGCAACGAGGCTGGAAGCTCTTGGGAAGCGGCGAACATCGGTATTGGTGCACATCTTCACGAGACGGGCCATTTGTTTGGATGCCCGCACCAGGAGAGTGGTGTTATGCTGAGGGACTATGTGCGACTCAACCGATCCTTCGTGGCTCGAGAAGCATACAGTACGCGAACCAAGTCGAAAGGGGGGCTGGTCTTGGAGGCGGACGAGTGCACTTGGCACAGACTGGACTGCCTGCGCTTCAAAAGTCATCCATGCTTCCGACTGCCCAACGATCCTCTACTAAACCCCGACGCCAGCCTCCAGGCTTGGCCTGTGGAAGATGGGAAAGTCCAAATCATCGCTCCTACCGGTGTTTCGTATCTGGAAATCTTCCCAGAAGGCGATGATGTGTGCCACACTTGGATCGAATACCCGGCCGAGAAAGGCACGCTGCAGCGAATTATCGTGCTGACTGAGAAGGAGCTGTTGAACCGATTGCCCGAGAACAAGCGACAATCATCCAAGATGCAGATCAGCATCAAGTCGCATGGTGGGGGCAATCTGGACATTGCGGACTTCCGTACCTTATGCTCCAAGGCATCTGCGCTGAAGCTATCCTTCGGCCCAGGTCCTCTTGGCCAAACGGCTTTCCGCAGCTACAAGCTTGGCCTGTCGCAGATGGAGGGTAGCGAGCCCCATGAATTCGTCTTCACCAGCTTCAAGGAGAAGAACAGGGTTCTCTCCAAGATTGTATTCTACCATGGACTTGCATTCGACGGCATGGAGTTCTTCTACGACGATAATTCGAGCCAACTGTTTGGAAAGCGTGGAGGCAAAGCCGGCGGTGATACCTTTGACATGGGTAAGTTGGTAACATCTTCCAATTCTTGGGGCCATCGCTAATGATAGATAGATATTCGACGTGGCGAGTGCATCACTGGCTTTCTCGTGCGTTCCGGTTTCTGGATCGACGCTGTTCAAGTTTTGACCAGTCTCGGAAGAAAGTCGCCCATTTATGGCAACGCTCATGGAGGATCTCCGTAAGTTTAAGCAAACTTCTATTCCAAACTATGACTAATTTGTGTTAGCCACACGCTGCTGCCTCCCCGAGGCTACAACCTCGTTGGCGTTTCCGGATCGTGTGCCGCCTGGGTAGATGGGTTCTCGGTTCTCATCACCAAGTAATTCGCCCCTGGCATATTCTTGTACAACCACAGCATATTGAACTACAATCGTAATTATGGACGGCAACTTTCGACGTATTGCATCGCATTCTTTTAACCCGCCCTTTGGAAGGTGTACGTCAGAAAGCAAGCAAGCTTCGGCTGAACATTCCCTCTTGCCACTTTTTTCCCGAAGCATCTGGAACCAACACACCGGGAACAGTTATTTACCAGACACAGTTTGTTTCTCTCTGTCACAGCATGGGCTTGCTTCCAGCATACCATCAGGATTCGTTTGGCATTTTTGGACCGTAACACGCATGCATACACATTGAACCCTTGCGACCGGAATGGGGAAACAAGGAGGGAGAGGGGATTAGGGAAATCACACAGGACACTATTGTCGAGGCCAAATTCGACGGCGGCAAATCATCATTATAATAATACCGGCACAGAGGAACACAGCGACGGAGGCCGGAACAACAACACAAAGCGGCGGCTGCCTGGCAAAGGAGGCGTATTCAGACCATACGTCTTTCCTGTCTATCTGCACTGCAGAAGAGGCTAGCAAAGCAACACTGGCTTTGGTGAGAGCAAATATCAATCATGCCTTGCGAGGCTTGCATGGAGAAACAGCATGGACGGCTGTGGGCCTGCCCACATTTCAGGGATAGGATGTGGGATGTAAAGTGAGAGAGTGAGTGAGGGAAGTGGATCTGACATAATGCAGTCTAGATGGATCATGCACTGGACGGATGGAGGGAAGGGAGAGGTATCGATTGAACATAGTGTATACATGGCTACTTGAGCACCATGGTGAATAATACTCCTTTGCGTAGGGGCAAGAAACTCTGAGGGTTTTTGTGATATGTGATTGTGCTTGAGTGAACGATGAGTTGGGGATGGGAGGATGCGGTCAACTGGATGCTGACTCTGTTCCTCGAGACATAATTAGGTACAGATAATGTGCTTGATGTAAACTTATCGAGAAACCGTGTTCGTTTTCCACACTCACCTCACCCCTGTCTCTTCCACACAGAAAATGCAGCTTGTGCGTGTAATGACTCCAACCACACTTCTCTCGGCATACGTGGGAGCCGCCCCATTGCCCTAATAATGCATGCAGGCTTCCTACTACATCCTCTCCCCCCCTCAGAATTTACCACTTGTCTAACTAACCACCTTGAATACTTACAATCGAGGTGACTTCGGCTTTCCGGCACGACGTATCGATTCGCACTCACTGATGTGGATATCCATGCCGCAGGCAAAGCCAAGCAGCTCCATTTGTGCGTAAAGCTTTTTCCACGTCGCAGTTCTCGAGAGGACAGAATGAATGAACGAACAGCGTGTACGTCGCGTTGAAGCTTACTTACATGGGAAGGAGAACACGGTATTCCAGTCTCATAGATAGGCAATGAATGGTAAATAGCGGGTGCTTAAATACGCTAAGACTTTCAGCCTGGCTGGCCCTGTCATAGACGCGTACAACATATACATGCACAGATGTATGTGATACTAGACACTAATAGTAGGTAATCTCTGCTCACGACCACACGCATTTCCACACTCCCGTTGTGATGATGCTAGGCAATGCTATGTACCGTCTCAGCGAACATTCTCCACCCGTTCGTCTCGCTCACCCTCCCTTCAAGCTATCGACCTCTCCCTGCTCCAACCCATCCCATTTCATTCCATTCCCCTCCCACCCTTTCTTGAAGAAGTACAAGTGATGGTATAGGTTAGTACGGTATGGCTATGTGTCCCAGGTATTAAAAACGAACGCCCCTGGACTCCGCCATCGTCGTTGAACAGCATCACCCGTCACCCAACCACGCCACGCTGACCGAACCCCTTCCCAAGCTTTTGGTATAACCATGACACGTGCAGTCTGAAATTTCGTAATTCGGACGTATATATATAGACAGGAACAAAGACACACTCATTCAACCCGATATGTAACCAGCCCCAGTCATCCATTTTCGACATATACCCACCCAGGGTAAACACTACTAATAAGAATATCCTACAAAGCCTTTCCAACACTCCCCTGACTAGAAGCGCTCTTGCGATGCAATCCCGGTCCCAGCCACAGCGGCACAGTCCTCTCCCCTGTGGGAGTAGGGCTATCCCACCTTGTACTCGCGGGCCCGACGTCAGGCCCTGGATCACTCCATTCGCTCACGCTCTCCATGCCGCTCGAGTATTTGCTGCTGTAACTCGATGTGCGGACGTGAGCACGAGGCGGGGGGTTCTGTCCCTCTAAGTCGCCGAAAAACCGTTCGTTGGATTCGGCGGACGAGGACAGCAGCTCGGGACGGTCGAGGTCGAAGGGGTCGGAGCGAAACTTGTTTCGCCGCGTAGCAAAGGAGTCGACGGATGTTGCTGAGTCGCGGTACAGGCTGTCCATGCGGGCACCGTTGCCGTTAGTGTTCGTACTCGGCGGGCGCGAAGTGGCTCCGCCCACAGACTGGCCGCGCGATTGGCGCATGTTTTGCACGTAAGTGGCAGGCCCGACGGGTCGCGTTGCTCGCGGTTGTCGGATGGCGTTCATATCCGAGAAGGGGTTATTTTGCCCGGGGACGATTAAGGGTGATGGCCGGGCCGAGTCGTGCAGCATCGAGTTGGAGTCCGCAAAGGGGTTCGAGTCGAAGTTGAGTCCCAGAGAGCCTAGGAAGTGATCACCAGCTCCAGGTATGGTGGAACGACGCTTGCCAATTTTCCTGTTGCTGCCCTGGTTTTCTTGTGCTTCCAGCTGCTGGTCGTCCATGCTGAGTAACGTCAGGAAGTCTGGTTGTCCTCCTGCCTTGGTCTTGGTCTTCGACATGCCCCGTGTGGCAGTGTAGGAGTCGTTGTTGGCGCGTTTCGGTCCTCCTCGTATCCTCCAGTTGAACTTGGCGTCTTCGTTGAAGCGGCTCCACCAATTGAGGTATCGGTCTTTTCTCGTGAGTGTGCCACCCACTACACCGACCGTCGAGTTCTCACGACTATGCGTTGGCACTTCCATGAACTGAGAGTTGCCCCTGTTCAGGTTGATGCCACGCGAACTAGACCGTCCCACGATGCTCCCGAGCCCGTCCTGGATCCTCTTCATGTTCTCTCCCAATGCGGCCTTGATCTTGACAAATACCGGCGTCGGTCCAATGGAGTCCTGGCTAATCGCGTATGTTCTCTTCTCATCCGCACCGAATCCTGGTCCTGGTGTCAGAGGCGTCAACGAGGTGCTCCTCCGCTTCTTAATCATCTTCTTCTTCCAGAGCCACACAAAGAATACTATCAGCGAGACGGCGACCAACCCTCCAATGACACCTCCTGCTACCGCCACCGTCCTTCGCGTGCTGGCGGCATTGCTGCCGATATTGGCTATGGCACCAGAATTTGTGGATGAAGTCTCACCGGAGCCGGCTGTAGCTGTTCCTGTTGAATCCGTTATTGTCGCAGTCCCTGTCGTTGTTATAAATCCGTTGCCTGCCGTAGCCGTATCAGCAGTGGCATCAGGGGTGACAATAGATTCTGGAGGTAGTGATGTTGCTAGCACGGCCACCGACGTTGTCGGTGTTGGTGTTGGAGTTGGCGCTAGAGTGGCATCAGTCTGCTGCACTGAACTTGCTGGCTGTTGCGTATCTGCAGGTGGCACGATAGTGTTTGTGGCCGCAGATGTTGAGAGTACAGGGTCGTTTGCAGCGCCCAGTGCTGAGGTTAAGGGTGAGGGTGAGGGTGAAGGAGAAGGTGAAGGTGAGGGTGCGGAAGTATCCGGTAATTGTGTATCAGATGGTAAAGCAGTCGGGCTTGATACCAGCGCAGGAGCCGCGAGTGGTGTCGTTGTCGTCTGCTCTGGAGGGGCTTGAGTCTCTGGTGCTTGTGGGACAAGTTCGGGGATGGGAGTAGAGCTCGTCGTACTGGTAGTAACATCCGGAGCTGGCGGCGCGATGGTTTCCTGGACTGGGACTGAGGCTGGCGGAGCTTGGACTTGTGTGGTCGTTGTTGGTTGTGCCTCCGTTAAAGCGGAGCTCGTACTGGTAGAAAATGAAATTGAGTTCGATGTTGAGCTTGATGTTGAACTAGATGTTGAACTACTAGATGTTGACGTCGTCTGTTCAGTTTGCAGAGCCTGCCCGTTCCCCGTCGCCAGGCCCTGCACCTTTGCCTTGGGCACTGCCGTACATTGCTTCCCGTTGATGGTTGTGATTGAAGCCCCCTCCGGTAGGTTTGTTGGTATCGACATCGTTTCAAACGGTCGAGTCAAGGCGATTCCAGTCGCGGCGGTGAATTAAAAGGCAGTCGCTTCAAACAAACAACACGAAGGAAACAAAAGGCCGTACGGCCGATCAAGAACACGAAAAGACCATGAATCAAAGATATGGGAGATAAACGATAAAGACGTCCCTTTCCTCTTGGAAATGGAAACAGTGAGTGCACGGCTAAGCGCACGACACACTGGGTGAAGAGAATGAATTCACGAGAAGCATAACTGGTGACCTGCCAGAATAGGAGTGGAAAGCTGTGAGACGTGAAGCAGGAAAGACATCATAGTCAAGCGGCACTAAGGGCAGTCTTCTTCCAGGGCAAGGCATGCTGGCCTAGCCCGAAAAAGGGCAAATGGGCCATGGTATCGTTGTCACGAGCATCGGGCACGGGATTGAACATTTGTCGCAGCATTAATGCGGCCCTGTATAGTTTGTTTGACAGCTTCGAACCCGGCCACGGGATTGGCTCCTTGGCGGTCGAGATTGATTGTGGTGTTAGAGATTCGTCAAGAGGGACTGGGTAGGGAGCCTCAGAATCCTAGGGTGGTGAGGGCCTTGCCGTTGGCTGGTGGGGGCTAATCCCTGTTCTGCGACGATTCTGAAGCACGTTATCCGTCAACCGGCCTGCCCCTTGGCGGCTATACCCAACTCGGACAAGAGCTCTATAAGTCAGCACTTTTGACCGTGGGTGTCCATCGTGAAGATCAGCAGGGAGATGCGGGATAACCAGCTTAAACTTTGAGAGCCAGAATGACATGCGTCGAAACTGGTAGATATCCACGAGATATGCTTTGCGTCCCGAAGGAATGCATTGGCTCCCGAAAGTTAGGTATTGCTGATGAACTGACGGCATCGTTCGCGCATAACGAACGACACGCAAATAACGCTAACAACGGGCAGATGGTACCATCAACCTTCCGAGACCGAAACCTCAGGTTGAGTGAATGACGAGTAAGCAGCTGGAGCAGTGTGGATAACTGCTACACACGTAATACTCCGACCCTCAACTCTGGATCAACAGATCGGCAACGCCGACAACGGGGGAGACAAGAGGACTGGCCAAGAGATACTACCCGTATTGAGTAACAAGCAACACCCTGCGTTTCCACGTTGTGGAACGAGGGTGGCATGAATGTAGAAAAGGCGTTATCCCAGTCTCGTGACTAAAGGTCGTTGAGTTGCCCGTTGCGAACACGACCGAACTTTTGGTCTTGGCCACATGTTGTTGCACTTGCATCAAGGCTTCACGCCGACCGTATCAACGCGAGCAAGTCAGGGTTGACATGAGCTCCGGGCCAGTCATGCTACCCTTGACGATAACGGCGCAAGTTGGAGTCAATAGGGAGAAGTGAGCTCCGAGGTCACGGCTGCCGAGTGTTGTAATGCTCCAGATGGTTAAGCGAGCCCAAGGTCCACCAGCAGGGCAAGACGGGCAGGAAGCAAAATGGGAAGATGTGAAGTTTCAAGAGACGGAAGGGGCAATTTTTTGAAGATCCGGAGTAATTTTCAAGCTTAAGTGAATAAAGACTCCATTATTGGGGCGGGATCAGGGGACTTGGGGGGGCATTCGGATTGCCAGGGTGCGGCTTGCCGACCAATGTTTGTTTCCTGACTGCTGGATCTCCAGAGCATCAAGCATCAAACGTACGGGACCAAGTCTCTCTGCTGGGCCGCACCGCCAATGCTTGGCCCAAACTGCGAAGCAGAGCGGTGGCGTCATTTCTGCAAGCATGTGTCGGCGATACCAAAAGAGCAGTGGTAACAGAGTCTGTCGAGGGAATGAGGTTGGCATCGCAGATTGAGACTGCATAGACAGAAGGCGACTTGAAAATTCCAAAATAGCCAACAAAAACGGTGACCGGCACCGTGACAGTTGTGAGCGCAAGATCTGACATCGATTGCTGTTTACACGGGAATCCCTATGACGAGTTTGGATGCGTGCACTGTTGCTGGCCTCTCGAGATACTCGACGCGCTGATTGAGGATGGACGGAGATGGCAGCGATGGCAGCTGTTTCGTGTTCGGAATCCGGATGGATGCTTCAAGGTAAGCGCACGGACGCCCACATTCCCTACGCCTTGCCTCCTTGTCCACATGTTCCTTTCCTCCAACGGCTGTTGCCTCAACTCTCCAACAGTTCGGACTTAACGTCAAAATCATCCAGCCTGTCAAGTCCGAAACTCTATTATTGCTTGCAGGTGTTTTGTGACTCTTTTTTGCCTAAGGGTTAGAGGTGCTATGTAAGTTGGGCTGTATCCTCGAGATTGTCCTTGCCGTGACGAAATCTCACCGCGGCCTTGTTTGCCAACAGCTTATTAAAGCTCAGCAATCACTTGTGGTGCTCTTCGGAGCGATGTCCTGTTTCAACGTTATCCCTTATGCCGATCACCGTCGTTGCACTTCATCATGTTCATCTGCGACGCTCATCACAACACCTAGCCAGACCACGGCAGCCTTCAGGGATGATGGTGGGCGGAAGTTCGATAGATGTGCTCCAATCTCTCCTTTTTGCTGTCATAGCGAATTTCTTGTCGCTTGAACGATCCCAATGTTACCAACTCGCCAGCATGTGGAGAAATTCTATCGGATAGACGGTAGCCGAGGGGAATTAAATTAATCTAGACCGTCGCTCATTTCTGTTCAAATGGAAGCATCGTCGTATGGTCACTATGGTCCCATGGATGCCAAGGCGTAGTCATTTCTGCGTTTGATTAAGTCGATTCAAGCAAACGAACATTTCATGGGTTCTCATATTCACGCATAGCTTGTTCCTGTCGGTAGGGAACCTAGCACTCCACAAGTGTTGCGGATCCTTCCCATCACACACCTCCGGTTGGTGTATCAGTGCGTTGTCTAGACCATTTCCATCATGGATTCAACCACAATCGCTCACTGTTGCTCAAAAAATCTTTCTCGAAGCCATACACGGTCCAGCAGTGCCAAAGCTGATGTTCACTAAAGTATTGGCAGCGGCGTGGCGAGAGGGATAGTGATATGAAGATCATTAATGTAGTTATAGATGCTGACCTTACCAACAAGCCGTCAACCTTTAGGTGACATCTCGCCTGCCAAAGTAGTATCCAGGGTTGCGTTGAAATAGGCTTCTCCATTAGCAGTGGTCGTCCAAGTGGAACGCTGCCAATGCTTCGCGAAGCATCGACTATGTGTAGTGGATATGTCCTGCCGCTCATAGTACCGCAGGGAAAGTATTTGCCGCCGTTTATACATCATGTCCATCTTTTACCTGGGATTGGTTTGACCTTTTGGCGACTTCGAGGAGAAACTATAGATCCCGAGCATTTGACGAGATGTCGAGGTGCCTGTTCGTAACATTAGACTACCATTGCTATCACTTCACCATTTACTAACTTTCTCCGACAATGAGGAAGTATCACGTGATGATGGACTGTCATACTACTGTACGACATGTTGAGGGAAATCCACAGCCCCGCCCTTCCGGCTGTTCAGAGAAGTTCAGGTGAATTGCTGGTCAAATCAAGTACATTATGTGTTTATCTCTCAGAGAAGACTGAAGCTTTACTGTGCGTTCGACCATTTCAACGGCCTCTTTAAAATATATCTGTGCGACCTTTTGAGGTCTCAGTTATTTCTTGAGGCGGCTCAACTCGACATCGTCTCTCAGAAGCTGGAGCGATAAGTTGGTTCCTAGAGCTGATCTCATATTCGTAATGATCTACTTCTTCTTCCTGTGGTCGAACAGTATCACCACTTTCAGGCTTTAATAAGATACCTCTAGTTTTATCTACATACATTCATGGTCAGTTTGAGCAAGTTCATGCACAGTGGTTGCAAGCCAGTCTTAAGCTAAATCATAGCTAGGTTCTGCCAGATACACGACTTAGGCCCTATTTGGAAAGGGCGTCAGGCATACTTGACGGGACACGACTGATGACCATCCAATATCCTCCAACACCCTGGGAGACTTTCTCAACGGCAGGAATGACTCATTTTGCTACTCCGAGGGTTTATAGCAGGGCGTTGAGTAGATGTAGTGCGTGGAGCAGCTTCTCGATTGCCGCAACCGAATCTGGATTGCAGATTTCATCATACCCCTGGCGTAGCTTAAGTAGAACAGGTGGATGCGTGGAGAGGAGGTCTTTCACGAGTGGTCCAGGAGATAACCGTGGTAGTGGTGTCTTGGTCATCGAACAGAAGTAACTTGATTTCCGAGTACGTATTCCATAAAATGGGGGCTTGGGCTGGTCCCTTTTCCACCCGATGGTTCATTACTAAATTCAAATTCTTTTGCAGAGAGCATATAGCGAAGCATGAGCTCTGTTCAGCCGTAGATAAATGCCAGCATGCTCGAGAGTCTCCGGTAACTTTTAATCTAGAATATCTGGCGTTATAATGCCCTTCAGTCGCACTCACCAGGACCATGTACGCGAACCGGCTCCTATTGTTCGTTGCCCGCCTAACTCCAAGCAAAGAACTCATTCGGCCAGAACACGGTTTTTATGCTTTCATCGCCGCCTGCCCACCTCACCGATGGTATTGATGTACCATCGCGTTCTTCACTGATGACCTCAAACCCCTTTTTGGCTAAGAGGTCAAGTGCAAGAAGTGATTCTGCATCGGGAGTCCACACAACCACATTCGGCAAACCCCAGGTCCTGGCTTCGATCACAGCGGCAAGGAAAAGACTGGCAAGGCACAATGTAGTCGCCTGTGCTTTCCCAACTCTGACCCGCTGAAGAACTAATTTTTGCTTACGAAAGTCGTGAAACCAGTAAACCCATGAGTCTTCATGCTCGCAGATAGCGCCCTAAGTATCGGGGATCCTGCCAAGGATCTTGGAGCCCGTGAACTCAGCTCGGTCATGCAACCAGCTCACCAGATCTGCGGTAGGTAGGACAGACATGAGTGTCTCCGTGGGCTGGAGTTCAATTTCTTTGATTTCAGTCTTGAGACACTCCAGATCATGCGAACACAGTCTAGGAATATCAATCTTCGTCAAGGGTCGGGTCGGGAAGAAGCCGGCACATTCCGTAGAGACGGAGGGGCTGATAGACAGAACGGACTGAAATGCTGGCAACATTCTCCATCCTCTTCTGGCGTAGAACTAAGATAACGTGAATAGGCGCGCATATATGGTGCTTGTTACTCTACCTTTCCAATGCTCGTGTATAACATACTCGCGGCCCCGCTGCTCTGCCCATCCATCCATTTAGCAACGTTTTTCATGAGACACGATGCCAATCCCAGCCGACGATATCGCGCGTCAGTGACGACGGACGAAACACAGTATCCCACATCTTGGCAGGTTGCGTGGATGTCCCGGATGATTAGATCTCTGCGGATTGTCTTGCAAGTAGCAACGACCACGTTCGGGTTGTCGGCTCTTGCTAGGCACCATAATCGACATCCCGAACCACGAGTGAGCGGGTGTTGTCCGAGGAAGTCCTCCCTCGCTAGGTAATCTGTTTCTGAAAGTGGCAAGCGGAAGTGGGTGGCGAGCTGATGACAGTGCGGCCGTTGCTCAGTTGTTGCCTCGCCAAATACCACAGTCATGGGACCGTCTTGTGCTTCGATTTTCAGGGTTTTCGTACAATCCGTCATGAAACAGTCGTATGAAACAGTCGTCTCAAGAATGTGTAGAGATTGGGGGAACATAGGATGTCGTCGGGGCCGAGACTTGAATATCTCGCCGCGGGGGAAACTGTGCCTTTGGCCAATTACTGAATGGGTAGTGGAGTCATAGAAGCGTCGACATTAACCCCGAGTAGCCCCATTAGGTACTTCCTGCGGGAAGCTGTGGCCTCAGTCCTGGAGGGGTACGAGGCAGACAGGCACAGATTGTAGTATTTAGAGACCCCTCGGGGCCAACTTGGGATTGGTCCCTCACGCACCTTCGTAATACGAACACAGCCCCCAATACTCGGAATCCGATACTTCATACATAAAAGCTGCTCAAAGCTAATTGTGAATTTTAAGTGCGTATATAAATTCATTTAATACACGATCGATGTTTGCAGGCATGTATCCGTTCTTCGTATCCTGAATGAATGTGGTCAAAAACTTCTTTGCATTCGCGGCGGATCTCTCCAAACTCATGGGAAACCTAAGATGAAGAGGCCCTTCGCTTTATTTTCTTCATTTTCAGAATGCAGAAGTATCAATGACCCCCTGATACCACCCGCCAATCTTTGAAACCATCGCGATTATCCTAGCTACTTTATTGGTGTCTCATGGTACAAAAGTTTCCCTGGCTCGCCACTAGGCCTAGTTTCTTTAAGAAACTCGACCTAATCTTAGAGTCTTAGAGTCTGGGGGCTGCACTTTCGGTGTTGTTCTTGCCCAATACATCAGCGGTAACCAGACCGATCGAGCTATAATCCAGCTCTGATGGATAATCACTGAAACTATCGAAGCCGGTTGGGTACTTATCAATCAATCGCTGCATCTCTTCTTTGACTCTATGGTTTTGATCAGTACTTAGAATTACGAATTGGGGTTCGGAGCACCTCACTGTTGTCGAAGATACGCTCGATGCTCGTGGAGTCCCGCATTGATGATGTTGTCTCGCCTATACAGTCAGACCGCAGCATCAACTTCCCTCACCCTTGGCGTGACTTACATGGCGTACAAGGAGTTCCTGTCATCAAAATCTTCCTTGGGTTCCGAAGGTTGCATGACCTCTTTGTACTTGCTGATGTAGTCGCCTGTAAACCGGTAGCGCGGTTCTCGCATCATGTGTAGTTCCACTGCGTGTGTATTAGCAATAGCGATCTCTTGCCTGCTCATTTAGGAACCTACACTCATTATGGGCATAACAGCAGCAGGAATCAAACAGAATGACCTCTTCAGTCGTCATATCGATCTGGGCATTGCCATGCCAAAGATCGCCGTGCACCAGTGTAGGTTTGATACTCCTCCCTCCTGTCTGAAGTGGTCGTAATAGCCTCGGAACGACTTTCTGGAAAAATTCATCTGAAACTTTGTCAAAGTCACTATCTGGGCCACGAATGCTCTGTTCCCACCTGATGTCGGATTGGAACTGGCGGCTGAAATACTCTTCCCAGGTATCGCACCACTCGTTTATTATTGGCACCACACCATTGAAAGTCGAAACGTGAAACCCAAATTTGCCCGTCGGTGACGATGAAAGTGTATGCAATTTCTCCAGAACATGGACAAGCTTCGACGGATCAGGCGTCTTGTCCCTCAGCTCCCGGAAAATTGTCAAGAAGAAGGACTTTGGCTCATGCTCGAACGTGCCGTACGCCAAAGGGATCGACACGTTGTTAGGGATATATTGGAACATGGCCTTTTGACTCTCTGTCAGGGTACGGCTAGGCCGAAGGCAATAGTACACAGTGATGGGGAGTAACGGGCGTCCCTCCTACGTAGCACCGGGTGGTCACTGGCGGTCTCAGGTAGGGGTGCCCACGGTGATGCATTGATCTCTGCTCCTTCCCTATCCTACTTCGAGATGGTCCTTATATAGATAGCTAGGCCGCCGCTTGGACCCGGCATAACAGCAGGGTCGGCGATGCCAAGGATCTTGACTCTCGTCATCCCAAAGCTTCACATAGATTGTAATCATGACTCGGGAGTCTTTTGTCCGAAACACCCCTCCGGCGCCCCACCGGTGTCTTGCGTTCAGTGTCCTGACACCCACTGGTGCCTATGGCATTCTGTTCTCTGACACTCTCGAATTCACCCAGCGCCATCTCTGCATGATTTGGCCGGTGAATTACCTTGAGGAAGTACTCTTTCTCTTCGCCATCTACTTCCACGTCAATTTTGTAGCCTGACGACCAGCTTGCGCTTCCATGATGATTGACCGCGATGACCTCGCAGCCTTCTGGCAGTGCTGGGTGTGTCAATAGGCAGAGGATTGATATCATTGATCGTGGAGTTCTTACCAGTCATAATGCTTGGGTCGAGTGTGGTATTCTCCATTCTTTCCAGCAAGATATGGTGGGACTACAGCACGAGCACAACACCCCAACTTGACGAGCACACTTGCACAAACTCTTTTTACTGAAGGTCGAATAATATTGTTTTCGTTTCCTCCGGGGAGGGGACAATATCAAATGAAGTCTAGAAATATATTCGAGCAATGCTCACTGAAGTCTGAAATCCGGAACACCGCGGTGATCTGGCGGGGATCTGGAGGATTAAATGAGCAGCAGTATTATGAATGGTAATGCTGAGCACTTGAGTGACCAACATGTGCGTTTCCGTCCTCGGCGGCTTGTTGACTTGCCCACCTATCACTTCCCAGTCTAAGCGCCGACGGCTGGTAGCCTGTAATAGGACACCGTGAAAGAGCCAATCATGTTGAGCTAATTTCTCTCGTATACCCGCTCATCACACCAGCAGGGCGTGCGGGGTGTGCAGACCGGGGGTAGAGCCTTATAGAAGCAATTCCGGGCCAGGTGAGAGATGTGGTCCGTTACTTGAACTTCATGTACATGGCGCCTATGTGAAAGTGCCGAAGAAATGGTCATGGTACGAAGAAGCTTTGCTCCACTCCCAAAGGTAGGATGCGCTGACCTGCTTGTTCGCAGTCCCCAAAACATCATCTTCCAAGCCAGCGGCTTGCGAAGAGGCCAGCGGTGGAAAGCAGCTCACTGCATTTCGCCGACTCACAGGCTGAAACCGTCACATCCGGTTCCTCTGAGCTTCAACAAGATGCTAGTCGGCGCGCGAGTGATACATCAACTTCGTCTTCGTTTCTCCGTCGTCGATTTAGCTCAGCATGGGTGCAACGGCGACGTTCCGGGGACGAGGAGGGTACAAGAGGACCCCTTGGTCTTCATTTGTTATTCTCCTCACCAGAGCCTCTGATCGACGTTATATTCGTTCATGGACTTCGCGGTGGCTCGATCAAATCATGGCGAAAGGGGACGGACCCGAGGTTCTTTTGGCCTCAATGCTGGCTTCCGGTCGAACCAGGCTTCCGGCACGCCAATATTCACAGCTTTGGGTACGACTCTGACTGGGGCAGTACGAAACCCAGTATCTTAAACGTCCACGATTTCGGGCGTTCACTATACGAGGAGATGCGAGTATCACCTCACTTGAGAGATCGCACGACAGTATGTGGGCTCCCTATCATCTCATCCTGGACTGAGAGGCTGAGAGCTCAAACTTCAAGCAGAATCCAATAATCCTGGTCGGTCATTCGATGGGTGGCCTTGTCATCAAGAAGGCAAGTTTTCTTTGTCCTGTGAGCTAATTTGATGCCAAAAATAGATTACCTTTACAATGACTTGAGCTTTTGCTAAGGGGTTCGCATTGTGCTTCATAGGCATACACCTTGGCTCATCGAGACAAAGCGAAAGACCAGTTTTCTCAGCGAATTCGGTGCCTTTTCTTCTTGGCCACACCGCATCGGGGGTCCGACTACGCCGCGGTCTTGAATCAGGTGCTGAGAGTCTCAGGAATCATGGTGCCACGCGAATATATAAACGACCTTACAAGTGGCTCTACATCAACACAAATTATTAACGACGATTTTGGGAGGTACGCTAATGAGCTACTCGTTTATTCATTCTACGAAACATTACAGACAAGCCTTGGCGGGGTCTCATCAGTTATGATAGTGGAAAAAAATTCCGCGATTCTCGGTGAGCCCGTTACTACTAGTGGTCTTTCATGCAAGCTAACAGGCTACATAGGTCCCGGTTTTAGCGGCGAGCGCGTGCAGTACCTCAGTGCAAACCATCGAGATATTTGCAAGTTCGACAGTCTGGAGGATTCAAACTACATCACCTTGAAGAATGCTCTTGAGACCGCTGTGCATGACTTACTAAAGGATGGTGAGTCCTTACGCGCCTGTCAAGCTTATAAGAAGAGGCCGAACTGAAACCTGTATAGTTTTCGTATCAAATGAACAGAAGTTCAAAGCACAGTTGCGAGTCCTGCAGACATTTCTAGGTGTATCGGGGATTCCTGATGAGCAATATGAGAAACTCGAAGGGTCGTGCCGGTGGATTGAAGACCGTGATGACTTCAAGGAGTGGAGAGACTCTCCTGATAGCTTTGACGATGACCAAGTTCAGAGCCCGTTGATATACTGGGTCAACGCAAACCCAGGTGCAGGTAAAACTGTCCTGGCTGGCCATGTGGTATCACAGCTTAAAGAGTTTCGCATGCAGCATGCTTCATATTACTTCCATTTTGGAAAGAAGGCCTCTCAATCTCTGGCCGGGATGTTACGGTCGATTGCGTACCAGATGGCCAGTGGCAATGCAGCCATACGGGATGCCCTTCTCAAGATCAACGACGAGGGGTCATCTTTTGACCAAGACGATGCTCGTGCGATCTGGTCTAAGATCTTCCGTGCCGGGCTTTTTCAGGTAATAATAGCATATTCACCGTGTAACGTATACGCGTAGTCATCTGGTTAACTTATCATCTACAGACCTCCGTAATCACTCCCCAGTATTGGGTTGTAGATGCTATCGATGAATGCGTCAAGTACACAGAGTTCTTCACTTTGCTCAGAAGCACCCAAACCCGGTTCCCACTTCGGATCTTCATCACCAGTCGGAAGGTGGCTGAGATGCCTAGGGTATTGAAGCAGATGGAGGGGCTCGTAATGTCGCTCGTCGAGATACCAATACCTGACACGATGAGAGACATTCAATCATATGTGGAAGCCCGGATGGACCTCCTCCCAATTGACAGTGTCGATGAGAAGAATAGACTTTCCGGCATGATCCTTGGGAAGTCAGGCGCATCTTTTCTATGGGTTCGGCTTGTCTTGGATGAACTCCAGGGTGTCTATGGGTACGAAAGCATCTTGCAGGTCCTACAGGAGATTCCTGAAGGCATGGTACCATACTATCAGAGGACAGTCGGGGAGATGGCCGATAACAAGCGAGAGAAGCACATCGCTAAAGCCATGCTCATGTGGGTGGTCACAGCTGCTCGACCGTTATCTATTTCTGAGTTATCTGAGGGACTGAAGCTTGACATCAACGTACATCTGCCCAGTGCAAGGTCTGCCATTGAAGGGCTGTGTGGACAGCTTGTCACGGTTGATGAACAAACTGGCATGGTGCATCTGGTGCATTCCACCGCAAGAGAATTTCTCTTATCGCCTGCCGCTGGTGAATTTTTCATCTCAAGACCCGAGGCGCACGAAAGAATGGCTTTGAATTGCCTTCGGCTTCTTTCGAGTGCCGAGATGCAGCCTCCGCGAAATAGGAGGTTACTTGGTCAACACCGCCCTGGGCAAATCAAGCGGCCGGAGTCGAAATTGATGGACTACGCAATCAGCCAGTTCTCCGAGCATGTGTTTGGCGCTTCGGCAGAAAATGATGAAGTCCTAGCTGCCCTGGACCGCTTCTTTGCCACAACGGTTCTTTCATGGATTGAAAAGGTTGCGACCAAGAAGGATATCCATCTTTTGATACGAGCGTCAAGGAACCTCAGGGCCTACCTCGACCGAAGTTTGAAATATCGCTCACCGTTAAATCGGCAAGTCAACAATGTCGAAAGGTGGGCCACAGACTTGAGCAGGTTGACGGCCAAGTTTAGCAGTGCTCTCATGGCGAGCCCCCAGTCGATTCATTTCCTAATACCACCGATGTGTCCCACTGAATCGGCAATCTGTCGACACTTTGGGCGATCGCCAGATGGTCATGGCCTGGTATTAGCAGGTCTAAATAACTCTCAGTGGGACGACTGCATCGCGAATATTAGCTTCGACCAAGAAACATCAGCGGCGGTAGCTTGTGGCAATAATCTAATCGCTGTCGGGTTTGAGTCTGGCAGCGTCCATTTGTATAACCAACGCAGTTTCCAACAGGAACAAGTCATCTACCACGAATTTCCCGTGGACCTTATACATTTTGATCCACTCGGATCATTTGTCGCTTCATGCAGCACAAAGTTCGTTGCCTTGTGGGATATGAAGGGAAACTTACTCTGGAAGACAAGACTACGAACTCGTTGCATTTTACTCTCCTCTTCTCCAAACTTCATCCTTGGAGTCACACAGCAAGGCACATCCTTTAAGTGGGACATTGCCTCTGGTAGTCTCCTTGAGAAGCAATCCTATACTTATCAGCCTCCAGACCCAGACGCAGCACTGCAGTCGGACCTTGTTAAAGCACCGTATGCGGCTTCGGTGTCGCCTGATCTTGAGACGCTCGCGCTTGCCTACCGAAATGGGCCAATATGCATGTTCGACTTGCAGAGTGAGGATTTTATTGGGTGGGTGATGGATGGTTACAATCGTGCCCCTGCTCAGCTGATGTTCAATCCAAACCCGGATGTTGGTCTCCTGCTTGTGGCGTACAACGAATCACACCTCGGACTCTACGACTCTTGGTCGGGCGGCATGATACATAGCTTGGAGCCTGAGAAACCTGCAGCCTTCATATCGGTGGCATCTTCACCCGATGGTCGAACTCTTGCGACTGTGGATATTCTTGGAAATTTGCGCATCTTGGATTTCAAATCCCTCACCATCCTGTACCATGTAATGACCCACACTCCTTCATTTCGGATCTTGGAGTTCACATCCGACGCATTCAATCTAGTCGATGTCGTGGGTTCCGAAATGAGAGTTTGGTCCCCATCGGCGCTTGTGAGAAAAACAGTTGAGGAAGAAGCTAGCATGAGCGAGCAAGCAGCCGTGCTACCGATAGCAGAGGGCCAACATGACCTAACGCAGTCCTCCAGGATCAGGCATGTCGTGGCTCATGAGCTTTTGCCTGCGGCATTCGCGGGAAAGCACAGCGGCGAGGTATGGGTATACAATACCAAGAGCGGTCGGCAAGCCGATGCCCGGGTTCTATATTCGCATCAGCCAGGCGCCTCTATCAAGTGTCTTGCGGTGAGCCAAGCAGACTTGATGGCCTCGGCGGATATCAACGGCGTGGTCCAAGTTTGGCAGCTCTGTGTGGTGCAGCCAACGGCAATTACGACCTCGAAGCTACGATTCCGGGTTCAGTTAACAAGGCCAGTTCGCCAAATACTCTTCGACAAGTCGGGGGGTTTTCTTCTCATTTCAACCACTAACTCCGATGCTGTATACGCAACAGCAGATGGGAGTCCTGTTGGTTCGATAAAATTCACCGCACAAGAGCGATCGGTGTGGAAATGGTTGCCCGGAACGGGTGCCCAATACAACCAGTGTTTTATTCTTATTGTCGATCGCAGACTGATCATTTACTCGGCTGAAGCCTTCCCCAACCCTATTGATATAGGGACATTGTCTCTCGACTATCCGGTAGAAACAGGTTTTGCGGAGACTGAGATCGAGACTGCCGCCATGCAACCCGAGACTTCACTGTTGATCATCAATATTCGCCAACAATGTGGGTATATGACAAATTCGATGGTTTTTCTCTTCCGGATGCCAGCTTCGGTCCCAGTGACAAGTGATAGCACTCTCAGCCCTATCATCAAACTCCCTGCTCGTTGCGATCATTTTATCGGTATCAGCAAACAGGAGAAGCGACTATTGTTCCTCCAGCACAAGTGTTGGGTGTCATCGATTGATGTGCGCAGGCCGAACCCGAGGCAGTATTCGCGGCACTTCTTCGTACCTAATGAGTTTACCTCGACCAGCAGCGAAGTGCTCCCCGTACGCACGGTCGATGATGATATTGTATTCTGCTTACATGGTAACTTGGCCTATGTGAAGAATGGACTAAAATTTGAAGAGCTCAGACCGTTAGAACCTTGAACTGGGAGGGGATGATATTAGTATGGTGTTGGTGCATTCAAGCGAAACCCTCATATCTTGAGAGAGCGTTGTACGATAGATTGACCAACTGGAGGTCGACTACGGTTGTCTGGCTGCACAAAGAGGCTTCAAGTATATATCCCTAAAAACTAGTTGCATTTAGGTAGCCTCCCAGTCAAATTTGATGGAATTTCATCGCCTGCGACCAGCTCCTCTGTTTCGATTGGGTTCGTCCCTTGGACCAGAGCCAGGTCACAAAGGACCAATCCGAATCCTGACCTCATGACTTATTAGAAACGAGCGCGGATGTAGTTGCTTCGCGACAGTCAGGGAATGCCGCTCTCCTTTCCGAAGCCATGTCATATGCTGCCGTACGAAGTAAAAACGCTTTTTCGTTAGTTGGTCTTCGCATAGTTACCTCGGTATTCCGGAGTTTGGGGAATTGGCAATAGCTGACTGCAGTTGCTGAGACGCAGTTGGTATTGGCCTGCCGTTCGACCAATCCAGGTTTGTGCCTATCTGGCAAGTGATGCATTGCGTACTGGGTGTGCAAACATGGCCATTTGATAAATGATGACATTCCTACGTTGAAGAATACTTAGGTAGTATTGACGCAATTCATTGATCGTCCAAACCTGGAAAATGCAAGGCCGGGGTTCAGACTCCGTCCAAAAGCTTGGCTCAACATGCGAGCATGTCCCGCACTCAGAAGCAGCTTCCCCTGAGGTTGCCTAGCCAATCCAGGCCTAGCCGCGGCCACGGGGTCACCCAAATGACGGCATTCAACTGCCAGCTCCATGTCCCTCTCCAAGCCTGCTTGCATTGGTCATTTTGCTTGCATCGTTCCTGTCACCATCTGCTACCGACAAACAAACAACCACGACGCTTTAAAAGGTCTTCCGTCGCGCGGTTCGTCTGAAATCTATGTCTTGGCTCTCCCAAGAAATAACCTCCTACACACATTCCGCAAGGCACTGTACGAAGCAACGACCGACGCAACTCAGAAGTCGCGCAAGAAAAGACGGTGTACCGATCCCTCCTCCAGACAATAGCATCAATATGTCGAAACGCACGTCCTCCAGCAACGGCGTCGCCGCCAACACTAAAGGAACCTCGCATACGTTCGAGTCGCCCTACGATAAGCAAAAGGTGCTCCTCGAGTTGACGACGGGCCACTTCTCACTCGTCCGGGCGCTGCACATGGCCGACTACATCACCGAGATGAACGGCTTCTGCGGCATCATGTCCGTTTTCAGCTCGCTGCGCTACTGTCTGGGCGACCCCGCAGATAAGGGGAACCTGTACCTCGCGCTCGCTTTTTTACCGTTCGGCTTGTTCTTTGATTTCATGGATGGGCGCGTGGCGAGGTGGCGCAAGAAGAGTAGTATGATGGGGCAGGAGTTGGATAGTTTGGCTGATTTGGTAGGTCCTCTTCATGTCACTGGTTTCGACATGATGTTTCCCCTCTCGACTGTGGTTATATCAGTGCTGACCATTGTGCTTCTACAGATCTCCTTCGGTCTAGCCCCCGCCTGCGTAGCCTTCTGCCTCGGCCTCCGCACGCCCCTCGACCACGTTCTGCTGACCATTTTCGTGCTGTGCGGCCTGACCCGCCTGGCGCGCTTCAACGTGACGGCCGCTAACATCCCGCACGACGCCTCGGGCAAGGCTTCGTACTTTGAGGGTACCCCCATCCCGACCACGCTGGGGCTCGACGCCATGATGGCCTTCTGGGTCAGCAAGGGCTGGATCCTCGACCAAGTGCCCGGTGGCGTCTGGTTCCAAGGAACTGCGCTTGAGGTCCACCCTGTTGTTGCGATCTTCATTGTTCACGGTTGCTTGATGTGCAGCAAGAGTCTGCATGTGCCCAAGCCTTAAGCCTTGAGGTGGGTAAACAGTGTGTTGAGATGCTTGATTGGGAGTCACGACGATGGCAAGCTCTCCTTTAGCTGGGAGATGAGGACTCGAGACATAAATTGCATAAATTGACGGCATTTCTTTTTATGATGAATACACGCCTTTCAGCTGATTCAAGCTCCTCCAGGTCTTTTAGCTCTTACATGGTCGGGTTATGGGCAATGAAAAAAAAGACAAAAAAAGATCCTATATCATTTCCTCCTTGACCCTTACAGTGGCCAATAGGGATTTGATATTCGAGAATTTATTGCGTTTCCGTGGAATCGGAAGCAGAGGAATACCCCCCTTCATCCCCAATGCATGACACCTCGCGTGAGACATAGATATCATGAGAAGTGTATGAATACCGGATCACGGTTTCTTGGCTTGCTTGAAACCTTGAAAAGATACATACTGAACGCCGGACTCTAGGAAAGAGGAAAACACGCGGAGCATAAATACCAACCTTCATCTATTCGATCAGTGGAGTTCAAGCTGATACTCCGTCCATGTTGATCACCGCCCTCTTCACCATCGCATGTAACTAGCCCATCACCAAAGCTTTCGGTTTGGCCAATATCCCCAACTTCATAAACTTCCACCTAGACCTAGCCCACCGATTTGATCAACCCTTTCAGCACTCCTGCCTGGGATAGTAGTCGCACCCACGTATGAATCAACGGAGTATAGTCTCGCTGCCTCCCCTGAATTTTGGCAATCGCCTCATCGTGGTTGGCGAGCTCCTCCGCGTAATCGGTCTCGATGCTCTGCTGTTCCAAAGACAGCTCGTTCATCATCCTTTGCGCCTGCTCCACGCTGAAGTCGCCGCCCCTAGTCTTCGCAACGAACGATTCGGGCAGAGGCTTCGAATCGACCTGGGCGCGGGTGAGATTAAATTCCGACAGCTTGGGGTCGGTGAATATAGTGAACGGGGAAGGCAGAGTCCAGGCTGGGTTGAGCCGGAAGAGCGTGTCGAGGTTTTGGGCGCAGGCAACGTTGGTGGCCAGTTTGTCGACTAGCGAGACTTGTGGTGATTGGCATAGGGCTAGGATATTGTAAGTCAGGTTCTCGTAGACGGCCATGCGGGTCTGGATTGCTTCCGTGGCGCGGCCAAGCCAGTTGCCTTCTTCGTGTTCGCCGAGACAGAGGGGATTTGCTTCCAGTCCATCCAGCTCCCAGACTTTGCCGTTGAGGGGCACGTAGGCAATATAGTGATTACAAGCGTCGGGGTCTACCTTCTTCGGCTTTTTATTCGTGGTGGAGGCCTTCTTCGATGTCTTCTTGTTGCCTTTCATGCTTCGCTTGTTTCTCTGCAGGCTCTTATGTTGGTCCTCATACTTGCTTTGTAGAATTAGGTCCTCCGAGAGCAGGTCAAGTCGTCGCGCGACCGAATTGTGAACGCCACGTATAAAATCGTTCGTGTCCAGCATGTGTCCTCGACGAGGCGGCAGCGCATCGTTAGTTTCATCCTTGAATTGCTGCATTTCATTTCCGAACCGCGGATCTGGGGTATTCATCAGAATGTTCATGAGCGCAACCGTGGCACAGGCGTTAGCCGTCGTCTGGTTAGCAAACCAGAGGTCTTCGGGGCAGCCGGCGCGTTTTTCTCCCAAACTCTCCTCGGTGGTGTACTGGGAGAGAAACACTAAACCAAACACTGGATTAGGTAGCATGTCTAGCAACTCATCATCCAGGCCAAAAACTTCGTTAATCTTGAATTCTCGCGCTCCCAGCATATGGAGCATGGCGTTGAAGAATGCTGGATCGGATTCTAGCTCAACCCAGCCGGCCCATTCCTTGTGCTCGCCAGGTTTCATACGTTCGATAACTTCATCAAGTATCCTATCACTGTTGGCCGCAATGGTCTTCTCCGCCATATCAGCAGCTTTCCGCTTGGGACGGGAGCTTCTGCTTGGGGTTAGGAGGCTAGCCTTGGGACCGGAAATGATGATCCCAGCTTCATAGTTTGCTGGGACCTTCTTGGATCTGGCCGACCGACGAACCGGGCCGGTGGGAGGATCATTTGAGGTTTCCGTGGTTGGCAAATCTTCAGCAGCTAAAGGGTCGGGCGATGTGTCGTTTTTGACACTATTTCCCTTGGGGGAGGTCATGGCGCGATACACACCCAAACGCCGCATATGATGTGTTGCTTCTCGTAGGACTTGCTCTGCGATCAACAATTCGGCAGCGGCGTTGTCTCACGATGGATGCAGTGAGCTGGCGGTGAAATTTCCAGGAGCAGCTTAAGTAGCTTCAATAGGCGAGATGGGATTGAGCCTGGGATCAAAAATCGGGTTCTGTTGCCTTAATTAAGTGGAGAAGGTGTTCAGGTTGAATGAATCGCAGGAATGGGTAACCCTGAGGAACTGATTTGAGGAGGTTGGATTTTGGTCCATCATTGATCGTGAATCTATAAGTGGTCAGTTCTGAGCCCAATGGCGGACTGGGTTATGAGGAAGAAAAGAGAAGGAAGGAGCGATGATTCTCAGTCGAGTAAGACATGTTGTATGAGCTGCGACTGATGGGATCGGATAGAGAGCATACCAATTCTGGGGGTCATTCATCGACCAGGGCCAATCTATCGGCGCCTGAGAATACTAGTGTTTCGTGAAGGATGGTGTTCTAGCAACAGATAATGCAGAGCTGGATGGTAAGGTGTGTAAGTGCTCTGGAGGTGAGGTAAAACGGGCTTGACTGTCTAACCTAACAAAGAGCTAATCAAGCTGGTAACGATGATGATCTCAAGGTTCATCATATTCTGGTATCTTGAAGATCAAAGACGATATACTAACAAGGATGAACTGTTAGAGAGCTCCTCCTCATATCTCCCAGCAGCTTGAGCTCAATGTCGTTGGTCAAGCTCTGGTGGGGCTGTTTGATCGCACAGTGTGTCATAATGCAGAAGGCTTGAGCAGATGCAAAAACAAAAAATCAGACCTTAACATGACATCTTCATTATACTTAATGGTCATGGATTCATTCCATCTTTATTATGCGCAGTTTGCCAATATTGAAGCTATGGCAGCCCTGAGATTTAATCAGACAATATAGGTGAGAGTTATTACCCAATTACCTACCCATGCAGTTAGGTCCTTTTATTTTCCGCAGTTTTCCCTTGCCTTCACAGTGTTCAACACAGTAATCGCAAGTGCCCCATCCACGGATTGATTTGGGTGACGCGCTTCTGGACGTGACTGGTAATGAAATTTTGGATCGCATTGTAAACAGGCAGACCAGACTGGATTGCTTCACAACCCGCAGGTTCGCCCCCCCCCTGCACAAATAAAGAAGTCTGTCAAACCCAAGTGGCTGCCTGCAACTATCTCTTTTTCAATCTTTGAAGTGATCAAGCGACTGACCGAGAGCTTGCTCGAGTTCCAGACCAACACACTCACCTCGATTTGTGCCTCTAATGGTTGTTCACCACCATTACGGAATGCCATGAATGCGACACCGCGCATGCGGGCTGGGGCTTTCCCACCAACCCCAGGAACATTAGCTCGAGGTCGAAGGGATCCTTCGCCCCCTCCCAGACAACAGAGACAAACAAGAACATTACCACCCGCACCCGAAAACGTGGCTGCTATACCCCCCGATAGACAACCTCTAATACCCCTCGACGTGATCGATGCTCCGAGCCAGAGGTTGTATGCCGTGGCTTTCTATCTGGCCTTGTTCGCATGGCGCATTTGGGATTGGCTGCAGCTGGTCGAGGATGATGTTGGTTCGTTGGTGCAATTCTTGAAATGGGTGGGCATCGACTTTGTCTTCCTCTTCATGGGGTTGCCTTCACTGAGGATACCATGGCTAGACATGTCACAACCAGTCATCACTGGCCTATTCTTCGTTCAGTTCTGCCTAAACTGGGTCTTGATGTTTAATATCCAAGTCCCCTGGATGGCATGGCTGCTAGGATTTGCCAAGGTGTTCTACGATCGCGAGCTTTCCATTTCCGAGCACAGCGTCAGGGTGTCAAGCATCTTGCACAACCACTCCCTGATCATGGGAAAGCAGATCATCAACATTCTGCCCGAGGGGTCAGCTTTGCTCAACCCTGAAAAGACACCATACTGCATATCAGACCGCAAAGGGCAGCAATTTGCTACGCTACCTATGTACTTCAATGCGACCGTACCTGCCGCAGTCGAGCTCCTTCGAATCGATCTCGAGACCAACAACGAGGAGATTATAAAGTTCACTAAGTACCAGCTCAAGGAACTAGGCAGGCAGGCTAAACGCATCACCGAGGAGGGGACTGTGACATCTTACAAATACGAATACCCGGTTAAGAAAGTGGGTGCATATCGGCTGTACAAGGTCCTCGACGAATACAACCTGGAGGTCCAAAGAGACACTGGTCCTACATATGTCGTTTCGTGCCCCAAGGCGCGTGTACGTCCATCCGAATTATCCTCCAGATGCGTCAACGATCTATCAAATCTGTCGTTGGAAGTGGTGGGGACACCCCCTCTGAAGATCGTATACAGCCGGACCATCAATGGTAAAGACCATAGCTTCCACTTCCAGAGTTTGCAGCCCGACGACTTCTCGTCTCCTCTGTTTAGCTCAGGGCGGTCTTCTGCCTTGGTGCCCCAAGAAGGTGAGGACTTCACATGGGCAAGATCGCAGGTGGTCCAGGTTTCATTGAATGAGTCGATGAGCCAGGCTGGCGAATGGCAATACACAATCGACGAGGTCCACGATGGTTTCGGAAACATTGGCCTGTACCGGGAAACCGGCGACGAGAACGAGCTAAAGCCAAAGCCAAAGGATCAGCTTCAAAACTTTGTTGTCAGGGAGCGACCTCGGGCGACTCTTGTTGGTTGCGACATCCGAAACCCTTTGAAGGTTGCCAAGAGGGACAGCGTCCAGCTCCCTTTGAAATTTGGTCTACCGGATCGGGCACCAGATGGCGCTCCTCACACCATCACCTGGCAATTTTCGCCTATCGATACTCTTAGTAAGAGTGGCGAACATGGCGATGTTGTCGAGATCGGATCGTTCACGGCGAAGAATGCGGAACATCTACCGACTGTGTCTGCGCCAGGTCTCTACACGCTCAAGTCGATTTCGTGCGAATCCTGTGAGGGTGAGATCGAAGAACCTTCTTCGTGCCTCCTGCTCAACCCGCTAGAGCCCAAGCTGAAGATCTCTCACGAGGAGATCCCAGACAAGTGCGCCGGCAACTCCATCGGTTTGAGAGTAGACCTGGATCTCATTGGAACACCGCCGTTCAACGTTCGCTATGATGTCATCAGCGATAACGAGCGACCGAGGACTGAAAAGGTTATAGTCAATGGACTACGACAACAAATCGAACTCCTGCCAAGGGAGGCTGGTCGATATCAGTACAGGTTCAGGAGACTGCAAGATGCCATATACGAAGTTCCATTGCCTTTGACGGATGAATACTACCTCGAACAGAACGTCAAACCTCCTGCGTCTGCGCACTTCTTGAACCCTGAAGTCATCAGCGCCTGTCTGGACGAACCGGTCAAGGTCGACGTAAAACTCAATGGAGATGGGCCCTTTACACTCGAGTATGAAATGGTCCATAATGGTAAGAGAAAGTCACAGAAGGTCTCGGACGTCACGTCGACTACTTATAGTATTGAGACGGCTCCTCTGTCCCAAGGTGGCGAATACACGCTTGCTTTGACCAGCATCACGGACAAGACTGGCTGCCGCATCTTCTTGAAGGAGGAAACCAAGATTTCCGTCAGAAGGCAGCGACCCCGGGCTGCGTTTGGTCTGATTGAGAACAAGAGGCTCGCTACGGTTGTGGAGGACGCCAAGCTCAACATTCCCCTACGTCTCTCAGGCGACGGGCCGTTCCGAATAACCTACCGCAACGTGGATGGAAACAAAGGCGATCAGGTCTACGTGGCTCGATCGTCAAACGATTTCATCGAGACGAGCGAGCGGGGGACGTTTGAAATTACGGATGTGATGGACAATCAATGCCACGGACAGGTCGATCCAAAGGCGTCTATGTTTGATGTGCGCTGGTTCCCCCGACCAGAGCTGTCACTGTTGCCGGACGATCGCATCACAGAGAGGGGCAGCGTATTTGTGAAACAAGAGGTCTGCGAAGGCGACGTCGACGGGTTTGAAGTCGCACTCAAAGGTAAGTTCAAGGTCCATAGTACCAGAGAGGATTTATTTGTTAATGTTTTCCAGGTGCCCCTCCCTACCATGTTTCCTATGAGGTCAGACACAAGCCGAGTTCGGGTTCTGGATCAGTTGCCCGCAAAGATTTCGATGCCGCTCTTCCCAAGGCGTCGGTTCCTATGGACACGGCCAAGGCAGGACTTTACACGTACAAGTTCTCGGCCCTGGCCGACAACCTGTACAACAACGACCAGAGAAATCTCCGGCCGCTCACACTCGAGCAGACTGTCAACGCCAAACCGTCTGCTTCCTTTGTCAAGCCGGGCCAGACATTCAAGTTCTGTAGTGCTGAACCGGGTTCCGAGGAGCCGATTCCCATCACCCTTCAAGGCGTTGCGCCCTTCTATGTGGAGATTGAGATCCGCCATCACACCAACAGTTTCCCTGAAATATTCCGCATCCCTAATATTCCGACCAACTCGTACGACATTCGAATTCCTCAGAATCACCTCAATCTTGGAAATCAGGCCATCCGCATCCGCAAGGTCCGAGATGCACGAGGGTGCCAGCACAAGACCGATTCGGGCGGGCCTTTTGTTCAGGTTCAACTCTTCGATGCGCCAGCCATCTATCCATCCGAGACTCGGACCGACTACTGTGTTGGGGAACGTATTGCGTACACCCTTTCCGGTACGCCGCCGTTCGAGGTGCAGTACTCGTTTGGTGGGTACCAAAAGAAGGCCAAATCGCAAGGGATGCACTTCCGTCGCATCGCCGAGTCACCCGGTGACTTTGCCATCACATCGATCAGTGACAAGGCTTCCGAGTGCCGCAGGCCCATTGACATCACCAAGACCATCCATCCCTTGCCATCAGTCAGGATATCTCGCGGAAAGGTAATCCAAGTCGATATTCACGAGGGTAGCGAGGTGGAAATCTTGTTCGAATTCTGGGGCACGCCGCCGTTTGACTTCACCTACACGCGAAGCACGAATGCGCGGAAGGGACAGAAGAGCGTTGTGCTAGAGACGAAACACGACGTCTCATATGAACATAGCAAGATCATCGTTGCCAACCTTGAGGGTACGTACGAGGTGGTGGCCATCAAGGATAAATTCTGCGCATTCAGCACGCTGAATGTAGAGACGGACAATGCGCAGAAGAGGCTTCAGTAGTTGGGTAGTTGGTTGTTGAGGACGAAAAGAAATGTCGGAATCATCTAACTGCGAAAACGAAGCATTGTGGAGAAGGATGGCATTGCATGAGCACGGCGTTTATTCATGGGTTTGGTATGTAATAGTCAAGTGTCACGTAGATTATGAACATGACAAGAAACTGGAACGGATTTGATTTCCTACGGACACACTCTCATAGTCCTCCCTTCTATCGGATAGACATGGATGTGATGTTGATTTGGGCGTGAAGATACGCCGTTCCGGGACCGGTGCGGAGATCTGTGCGATTGCTGAGAGCCGATCGCACTCCAGAGCTCTCGATACAGCCATGACCTGGACAAACTTGTCCTTGTCAACGTCAATTCACTCAAATCCCGAAGCACCATTAGACCATCCCATCTGTGCTTACTCCAATTTACACAACACGCAATGTCCGCCCTGCCAATAACAGACGGCGCCGAGCGTCTCAAAAACCGCAAGCCGGTTCCCAAGATGCCGCCGGCGTACCTGGCCACGTCGGCTGATTCGCCGCTCAAGGTAGACAAAGAATTGTACGCCGCTGCGCAGGGAGCACCGAGGGTTTTGGTGGAACAATTTACGCTGCCGATCCGGAGCGGGAGGGCGTGGAAGGTGCCCGCCGGGGGGATTGTGAGGATTAGCACGCCGGACGGGGGACAGGTTGGTATGTATTGATTTCTGGGTTACAAGGAGACTGAGAGGCAGGATGGTTGTGGTATTTTTGGTTTTGCTAGATTCGAATTCGGTCGTGGGGTCTGAGGATTGGAAAGCCTACGCATTCAATGAGGTTCATCGACCCAGCTTGATACCCAGATTTGGAAAATTGGTACCTTGGAAGTCATGCAGGAATTTGCACGTCGCTATCGGGTTATACTTTGTGTGAAAGAAGGTAGCTGACATAGAAGTCCCCAGGCGACCTCAATATCTGGAATGCTCACAACCCACGCGAGCGCTTTTGGACATCCCGCACAAAACAACTCCACGCCTCCCATGTCTCTACTTACGACCGTCTGTGGTCCTGCCTGCCTTACATGCGGCCGCTAGCCACCATCATCGCCGACTCTCTGTCGTGGTACGGCGTCGACGAGCACGGGGGAAGGGTGCATGATCTGTTGGGGACGCGGTGCGATCCTTACATCAACGCTGTGCTTTCCGGTGCCGATCTTAAGGCAACAGGAGAAGTTGTGGGAGAAGGCGGAGGGTACGATTTTCACTGTCATTCCAATCTGGTTAGAGCGGTCTTGCCGTTTGGCCTCGAGGAGAGGGACGTACATGATGTGATTAATCTCTTCCAGGTCACGGGGCTGGATGAGGCAGGGAGGTATTTCATGAATCCTTGCCCGGCGGAGAGGGGGGATTATATCGAGTTTTTGGCCGAGGGCGATTTGTTGATGGCTCTGAGTGAGTTGGCGTCTTTTACTCCTTTTCCACTCTTTTCCTCTTTGAATAAAACTGACACCCCTGGGTTAGGCACCTGTCCCGGCGGGGACTTGTCTTTATGGGGATTTGGAAGTGATAGTGAGAAGGAGATGATGAAGTGCTGTCGGCCGCTGAAAGTCGAGGTTTTCCGGCTCGAGGACGAGGACTTGTTACGGAAGGGCGGGTGGAAGCCGGCTGAGATGGCTCCGTATAAGGGGGTACATGGAATGGCGATTCCGCGGGGCGAGCATGAGAAGAAGACTTGATCATCGCTCCTTTTTGTAGCTTGTGGTCTGTAATTGTCACCACAGTATAGGTAGAAGCCGGATGAAGAAGTACCATGGTTCCATTGTAAGCCTGGGACGAGACTACCCGACCTACTTCCGGGGACCAGTTTCGCAGAAGAAAATTGTAAGTGCAAGCTGCCTATACTGTTGATATTCTTCATGAAAGCTCCTGCATATTAGACTGTATATGTCTTTTACATTACGTGTAGTCCAAGGAGAAGGTCCCGATCGATTCAGGTTAGCATACCAAGTTATGCCCATGCTGAACTAGGAGATGGAAGTCATAATCCAAGAAATCCACATGCAAATACCTCACCGGTGATTTTTAGTATGATATACGACTACAGCATCTTGAAATAGTAAGGGCGTTTGCTATGTTCAGTCCGGAACTGGCATCCTGATACATGAAATTACGCAGAACAGCCGGCCTTGCGCACACGTATCAGGCTACTTAACATTACCCGCCTTTAGGTGCCAAGGTGTCATGATGTAAGACGCAAGAGTGGTGAAAGCGGCGGTGGCTAGCCTGAGGGGTTCTGCGGTAGATGTGCCGGAGGTCTTTGACAGCTCAAGTCGAGGTAGGATGAGTTTGATACTTGGATCCTCCTAATTCCGCGGATTTTAGGAGAATCCCGTCACCGACGCAGTAGTATTGGGCGAAACATCTAGAAGGAAGATCTAGAAAAGCTGTGAGAATTCCTTGGCGCATCTCTCGATTGCCCTTCTGTAGATCCCCTAGTCTATTCAGTGAGTAAAAGAAAACATAGACATATTCTCTCGTATCAAGTGTCAGGGGTTGAGTAATCCCCCACGCCCGTGACGCTGCTGCATGTTTCTCATTCCCGACGAAGCCTCGTATTCGTGTCCTCCAGCAAACAAATGTGTATTCTCGGGTCACCATTTTGTCCTTTTACCCGTGCAGTAAAACTCATGACTGTTCCCCAGAGCGAATACGACGCACACCACAATAAGCTTGATATGAAATCATTCACAGCTTGTCGACGGAAGGACTTGGTTGCGTCCCCTGGTGCTTCGATGGTCAGTCGGCATATCTTAGGATGATTTGCCCCCCTCAGCAGGTCTGTGGTATGTGTGGTACAATTATACCCTGCTTCCTGGCCTCCAGGTCGTCTACGATAACTTCCAAGCTCGACCTTTCCCCCACGTTGGGTAGCACCGAGAGTACAACGCAGCTTTCACCATTGGTTGAAGTTTCGAATAGTGACACTCATATTGACCTGTAATAGGACCGAAACTGCATATGAGAGGCCATTAAGATACTATGACTTGTGATAATGATGGTATGTTTGGTGTGGTGCGGTGATCACTCGGGCGAGTAAGACTCTGGACTCAGTTCCCAGACAGGATGCTACAGGGGCCGACGCCCTCGAGAGCCGGATACGAAAGAGACTAACTGACCCTGTCCTTGTCGAACGGTGCGCGTTCCTGAAACGATTCGATGGAGAAAGTTCTTGGCCACACCGGATGGCTGAATGAGGTTAGACACGATTATCCATCTCGGGGAATCCTGGTTCACCCTGGGGACGATATCGAACCACTCTGCATTGTGGTCGGGTCGAGTACTCTACCGCATAGTAAGTGACCGTCGTCGATAGTCCGTTCCGTCGTGTAGGTTTTGCTACGTCCTAATCAGGTAACAAGTGAGGTTGTCAATTTGATGTGCTCTATTGGTGGTGTCATGATCCAGACCTGTGCTTGGATCCGAGCGGTGCCGAGGCCGCTTCCGTATCTATCTGCAGCATCCCGACTTTGGCCGTCTTATCGCCTCCTTGGCTTCAATTTAGGTGAAAGGCCTGGGACTTGCGAACAGATAGTCATGGACGTCGAGGGTTTCCTGGCTAGTTGCCCGTTACACAACATGGAAGGCTCGGAACTCCTGGAAAACGTGGCCAAGGACCCCTTTCGAGAAGGAAATGACGAGATGTCTTCGCATCATGCACAATTCCAAATCGACATGTCGGAACACCCACGTATGATAAATGTTTCTTTTACCCCCCACTTGAAACTAGTTATAGCAGCAGAGGAGCAGGCACGTAACCGCAGGTGCAACCACACAAGACCTGTCGGTAAACAACGACAGGTATACGCGACCTTCATAGTATGAGGGGAATGTTGTTGGTCGAGATCGCAGGTCGAGATCTCAAGCGCCCTACTGTGCACGAGATTATGATAGCCGGAGATCCAATTCGGGATAAGGCGCTGTCAATCCCTGGGGCTTAATGCCGGACGTATACCCGCCTCAGGCTGCCGATCGGCCGAGGCTGGACGATTACAGGCAATGAATCCTTCGGTTATCTTAAATGTGAGATCGAGGGAAAAGAAGCTGTTTCGTACTCAGGTCGGTGCCGCGGTTTCCATACAAGCCGTTTTGACAGGGTAATTGATTGGCGTAGATGTGTGAATGATTGGATCCTGGTTGTGTTGACCACACCGGTATAGGCCATGTAAGCACGATCCTGCAGCCAGCCGTCACGGTCAAGATACATCTCTCGTTGACATCCCCGCGCGGGAGATCGCCTCGTCTCATCAAAGTCGGCGAATGATGAAAGGCAAGAAAAGCTCTGGAAAATAGGAAAAAATCCGAGCTTGCAATCATCAGCAGAATTTACGACTGAAGTCATTGGCCAAATGAGGGATGGCATTTCGTGATGTCTCTTGCATGTGTCGGCGGTAAGATGAGATCCCTTACCTCAACACAGCGAACCTGTGCAGGACTCGTGGAAAAGAGGGTCTTCATGTGACATTCCAGACGGCCACTTGAAAGCATGTCAAAGGCCGTACGAGCCCTGGCCCCAAGCAGGTGAAGGGCTGCTCACAGTGCTCACAGTCCACGTTAGTATCGGCTTGCACATACATTGATAAGCCTGCACCGTCACCTCCAAAGGTTGATCTGTCTGGTCCAACGCCCAGTTGGTTCGGCTGCGAGCTGTCTAATTATGTCTCGACAAGGCATGAGGCTAACGAAACTAACTGTGAGCTTATCTCAACGTGGCTACGGAAGGCAACCTCGGCGTGCTGACGATTGGACTTGTCAAATCCAGACTTTCCTAGTGCGTTAGTGCGTGCCAAGCAGCCAGGTAGTAAGTATACTGAAGCACACCAGCCATACCTAGAACGGTCGGCTTGAGAGGGCCCTGCGTTCAAGCTTGAGAGTTGAGTTCCCGCCGTCATCAAAGTTTGTTAGTATGGCTTCAACGGAGCCATGCGAGTCAGACAATAGGGGGTCGGTTCGGCGCGCAGAAGTGGCTGGCCCGTTGGTTTATTAGCCCCCCATCAATCTAATGCGGCCCGTTCGAGTTACGCGGTCCCGGTTCTCTGGTCGGAGATTGTGCAACCTCACCGGTTGACATGACTTGGATTTGGGTCGATTCCCAGCCAAGGCGGTTTAGCAACCAAGACCTTGGGTAAAGGTACAGAGCATTGATTGGATACTGGCACATGAGGATGTTATGTCAACTATAATTGCCCAACCATGGTGCATCTCACCCAGTTTAGACCGCTTACAAAGAGAGAGGGGCGGCGATTGTCAGTTACGAACAGACCCTTGCTGAAGTAGTCACTGTCACCAGCTTGGCTCCCCTGCCACACTCTAGACCTGCCGTCAAAGCGTTATGCCATACATTCGTGAGAGGTTCTCTGCGATTTGACCTCGCATATAGTCACGTTCATTTAGGACGCCAGACGAGGGGAACTACGGTCTGCACATCAATTGAGGAGCTGCAACTGTGAAGTCCGTTTTGCCTTTCCAATCACTCAGGCGGACGACATGCTATCCTTCGCCTCGTCTGAGTGCTCAATGTCAGGGCAAAACCCGGATACACTGTTCGTCTCCTCTCCTTTGGCTGCAGGGCCGGCCATCGACCAGGTATATCCTAGATTGAAGTATGCCAGGCAATCCTACCGAGCCCAAACTCTGCGTCCGCCGCCGCCCGCCCAAGCAAACAAATCTCAAACAGAGAGCTCGGTGGCTGTGGCAGCCCAAGTTATAATGCATCTGCCCACCTGATCGGCCTAGTCGCAGTTTCAGCCAATGGCACCCCACACAATCCCTAATCGCCGACTCCAGCAACCTAGAGTAACGAATTGCAGGGTAACCCATCGTCCACTGCCCAGTATATGGCCGAGGATCTGAGGCGATCGGCCGACAAAGTCGCCAAGCTTGAATTCTCCGAGTCCACAGATTATCTGGGTCATCCTGATCATCCTCACTCCAACCCTTCGATCGTCTGGAGATTGTTGCCCGTTTTCAACTTTTGCCTACTCTTTACTAGTCTACCGATTTCATTTCCTCGGATACGTTGCAGTCCAACGGCCTGAGAAACTGTTCCCTTCATTTTTCACAGTTCTGTCGACGACCTCCTCAACGTCGTGTTCCGTCCTCCGCTAGTTTCACCTACTGCACGTCAACTCGAGCTTAAATGGTCCTCTTGCATCTCGTACGTGATCGTCCATAGTAACTGGACCAACCCCGGGGGGATCTCCGGTCAACTATTGAACCACCAAGTCCACTGCCGAAAGTCTTGATATATTGTTGGCGAGGGAGCTGCTCAAAAGAACCTGAACAACTGAAACTAACGTGGATCTCCGCCCTCACACCAATTTGCCGACTTGTTACTCTCTTTTCTATCCTAGCCAACATGGTGTACTGCGGGAAGCCCTCGAGGGGCTGTCAGATGTGCAGGACGAGGAGAATAAAGGTTGGTCATGTCTTGGGTGGCAAGTCACTAACACACACACTCTCAACTGATCATGACAACATAGTGTGATGAGACAAAGCCCACATGCAACCAGTGTGCCAAGTCTCGAAGACAATGTCCTGGATACAAGGACGAGTTCGACCTAGTGTTCCGGAACGAAACCCAGGCCACCGAACGGAGGGCTCGCAAGGCCAATAAGAAGGCCTTGGCACAGAAGATGGGCAAGACGGGATCGGGAGACGACTCGGGCGATTTGGTGTCGCCCACTGGATCATGTAAGAACGCCATCAAGTCGCCCATGGAGCAAGCCCTCATCCCGGCCTTGAATGTGCCCTTGGAGACCCAAGCCACCTGCCACTTCGTGTCCAATTTCGTTCTGGTGCCGCAGCAAGGAAGCACCCGAGGCTTCCTCGACTTCCTGATCCCCATGCTGAAGTCGGAGGGCGCCAACAGTCATCTGCAGAAGGCCTTCAATGCGTGCTCCATGGCTCTTCTCAACAATCGAGCAGCGGGGAGAAACAACTTCGCCGACAAGGCGCTAAACGAGTATACGCAAGCGCTTATGGGAACCAATGCTGCGTTACGAGATCCTGAGGCGCAGAAAGCCGATTCGACGTTAGCGGCTGTATTACTACTTGGACTATTCGAAAATATCACGGCCAAACAGCTGGGTATGCTGGCGTGGGGCTCTCACATCGAAGGAGCAATCCAACTGGTCAAGCAACGGGGCAGAAAGCAGTTGCGCACTCGAATCGGACTACTACTGTTTATTGCCGTCCGGACGCAAATGGTATGCCGCAATGCCGAGGACCACTTCCACGGGATTGCTACTGACAAGACCTAGATTATCCACACACTCACATCAGGCAAAGCGCCCATCATGGGTGCAGAATGGTGGATAGACGACGCCGTCAAAGACGAAACGGCGGCAGGCTGCCAGCGCGTTTTGGTCAAAACAGCCGAGCTGCGAGCCGAAGTAACGCGGCTGATGAACTGCATGATCCGGACCCCCGACAACATAGAGATCATGCTCAACATGATACGGCGGGCGCAGGTGGTGGACCAGATGGCCGTCAGCTGGATGAAGAACGCGCCCGAGATCTGGCAGTACAAGACGGTCGCCTGGGAGGACCACGTTCCCAACGGCGACTACGCCAAGGCCGAGGTGTTCCCCGGCCGCGTCGACCTCTATACCGACTTCTGGATTGCTAGCGTCTGGAATATGGCGAGGACGTCGCGGCTTATCCTTGCCTCTATCATTGTGCGGTGCGCCGCATGGGTGTGTTCGCCTGTCGATTACCGGACGACGCCCGAGTACGCGACCGCCGCGCGGACCTGTGTCGATACTATTACGGATATCGTGGCTTCGGTGCCCTATCATCTGGGTTGGCACTTGAACAAGCAGCGTATTCTCCAAAAGGCGAACCTCGGTCGGTTCGCCTGTGGCCACGAAGATTCGCAGAAGGGGTTGGCAGGGTATTTCCTAACTTGGCCCTTGGCTGTCATGAACAACCAGGATTACACGACTGATGCCCAGCGCCAATGGGTCCACGGGAGACTAAAGTATATTGCTGACGAGCTGGGCGTCAAGTACGCGCATATTCTGGCCCAAGTAAGCTGTTCCATCTCCGCTCCCTCCCCAAAACAGAAACCCCGGCTGACCCAAATTCACTCCAGCTCTCGGTCCGCATCCCCTCCATGCTGATCCGCCGCGACGGCCTCATGGCCTCGCCTTACGGTGCGGCCCAAAATTTCGAGAAGCTCCTTAATGCCCGTTACGCCCCGCCTTCGGCTGGCTACTCCATGAACCCCCTGCAGCAGCGCGAGGCCATGCAGAAGGAGTACTTCGAGCAACGGAAAGCCGAGCTCATCACGAAAGCTTCGGGCAGTCAGACGGCGGGGCCAGAGACGAGATGGGCGGCGCAGCAGTGGCTTACGGTATGTTGCCTTCGGGTGTTTAATTGGCGCTGTTCGTTTTTGGCTAATATATTGTTGTTGGGTTTGAAGCTATCGGACGCGGAGGATCAAACGAATCCGCATGCGCTTGTCATTGGGCAGGAGCAGCAGGTGCCTAGTGCTGGGCAGTGATCAGTCGACCTGTATCACGATGTGCTGAATGAACTTCCAATGTCCAATGTCGGGTATCCCCGTTTTCCATTTGGAAGAGATCTCATGAGGATTGTATGTCTGTTTATATCTGCCCAGGCGGGTAGAGAACGTTTGCTATCACACCACACACTATGCCATACCAGGGGTGAAACTTTTAGGTTGAACTGGACGGGCAAATCGCAGCGAAAAAGAGGAAGAAACGGTGGCGGGCGTTGAGGCGGTTGATTCAAGGATGGCTGGATGGCTTTGTGACGATGCATATGAATGCGGGCATTGGAGATCAAAACCTGTCGGCAGGCAGGCAGGCAGGCAGGCAGAGCATCGTAAATAAGGCATCCTGTTGTTTCTAGCCTGGAGGGTTGCCGTACAGAGTGAGCGAGCGGCTTTCGTCTCGTTGAGATCAGCATGGCGGGTGAATTGATTTAAGGTGTCCAGGCTAGGCTGCATGGTCAGCGTCGGGATTTGTAGTGGCACAGTTGCTCAACTCGCTGTTGGGTAAACTCAAGGTTAGAATACACTGAAATTGTATTCACATCACAATCAATGAGTTGTTTTCACCCATCTCTTTTTCAGGTACGCAAAAAAGTGGCAGTGACAGGGCCATGCCAAAGAACGCAAATTGGTATAAGAATTTCCTGAGCTTAACAGCCAACACTCCATATTAGCCAGTCCCACATTACACGATGACAGAGCCTCATTCCGGTTTCTCTTAGTCCTCGATTTCTCTCATCATCCAGCAGGGGTATCGTTATTCAATCGTAGCTCGTCGTATCATGCCACCCCTCCCCCCCAACACTCTGTATGTTGGCTGGCCTTCATTCCGGACCCAGTTCCTTGCATGTCCGCCTCCCAGTTACTGTGTACACTAGGAAATCCCACGTTCCTTACATCTTACAATCTTTCATCTTCCAGCTTTCTCCCTTTCATTTCCCCTTCTTGTCCGTCGTCGACCCACCGGACCCGGACCCCAAATTCCACGCCTTGACGACCCAGCTTTGCGTCCTGTCGACGTACTTCTCCTCTTCGACGTGTTTGACGCTAACGCGCATCCCGTCCTTGGTGAAGACGACATTCTTTTTCGCCATGTGGTCCGATGCCTGCTGCTCGATCTTCTTGACGCCTAGCCAGATCTGGTAGATGACCCAGGCGGTGCCGCCGAGGAAGAGGAGGACAGTTACGAGGGGAAGGATGGTGCTGGATGGGGAGAAAGGAATGCGTCAGCAATGTTCAAAGGGTGGTTGTTGTGTCAATGCCACAGGGGAGTCGATGGACTGTCTGCTGATATGCGCGGGGATATGCGATTGAGACATGCAGCTAGGAATGCTCTCACCTTAAAGTCGAGGGGCGCGCATCGGTTTTGGACTTTCCCCAGGCCATGGTTAGCGATCGGCAATTCAAAATCGAGCCTAGAGTGCGATGGGATCTGATCTAAAATATAACGAGCTGTGATGCTTTCGCGACTCGATATTTCGCATTTGAAGTTGACCAGGAGTTAACTCAAGAAGGGCAAAGGAGGTCACTTGTGTCAGGTTGACCCGACGAACTTGAACAGGTTATTGACAATAAGTGAATGCGATTAAAGGATTGCTATGTACTGGAGGAGCTGCAAAGGAGTGCGCCGGGCGCCGTATTATGTCGTAAAAATGGATGAATTGAGTTGAACTTCTGCTGATCAAGTTCAGCTGGTCAGGGTCCCGTAGGCCAATTTCAATGGAACTTGTGTATTGTTCCACTGTGTTAAATCCTATGCAGCAACCTAAAGAGGAACATGGAAATGTGTGGTTGGTTGGAGCAGGGTGAAGTTTGACGCATAAAATTAAAATGTTGGAAGTACTACGCTGTCGGAATGACTGTTGTAGATTCGCTTTCAAATGTTCTGAAAACGACGTCAACATGACCAAATCCCCATACTTTGCGATCAACAACCCCGCGTCCCAGCCCAGAAGTTATCCCAAGTTTGGGCAAGTTTGGGGACCTGGGTGGAAATTGCGGGCACATGTGAGCAGCAGTTGACGGAGGGGTAGCTGCTAGCTGGCGATAAGATAACGGTCACATGATCTTACATCCCCACGCTCAGCTCAAGTCGTTCTCCAAGAGGCCAGCTGGAGGACAGCTGGGCTAATGATAATGTCCTGTTGGCCCGTTCTTTCTCAAGCAGCCCGTCAACCCGCCCAAAACAGCAGCTGGGCGATTGTGGACAACTCGCCTCGAGATACCGGTACCAGGCTTGTGAATATGAGCACCAGGCACAGTTGAATATTTAATCTGCTTCCAAGCTCTATTTTCGTCTTTCTGTGACTCTCTCATCGGCACAGTCACAGTCAGAGACCTGGTCATTCGTAAATCCATTCCTGTCCACCACCGTGGCCACAAACAAGAAAAGGCCACACTCAACTATAGCTCGCACTGCGCAATCCCACTTTCGAGCTCTTCATCGACGACATCCCTAGACGACACCACGCCCAAACTCGCGCATCCATTTCGATACTTTGGCCACCCAAGCCGCACCCAGTATTCATCTGCTTAGTCGGCATATCGTCACGACCCAGCTGGTAAATACTCAATTGCGCCGCGATGGCTGCCCCCAACGATGGCTACGGCCAGTTCCCACCTGGCCAACAATACGATCATCCCGAGCTAGGCACTCCAGGATTTGAAGGTCAAGCAGCATCGCCTCCACCCCAAGCTGCAGCCCAGGCCATCGATGCTGGCAAGAAGAAGAAGAGGGGTTATGCGACGCAGGCGTTCGAATTTGGTGCCGGTGGGAATGCGGCTGTTGGCGGTCAAGGTCCCGGCGGCATGCCCCCGATGCCTGGCGCAGGAGTCCCTGGTGCGGTCCCTCAGCAATCCCCCGGTTATGGTGGCTACCCAGGCCAAGACTTCCAAGGCGGATATGGTGGTAGTCCTGCACCGGCAGCATACGGCGCTCCTATGGGAACTCATCAACCCGCCGCGGCAGGCGGTTACCAAGCACCGGAAGCCTACTACCAAGGAGGGGTTGTGCCTGGCGCACCTCAAGGGGTCTCTGGTATCACGGCCGGTATGGCTGGCATGAACATGGGATCTGGAGCACAACCGTCGCCGCAGCAGGGCGGACAGCAACCACCCCGAGTTGCCTTGAACCAACTCTATCCTACTGACTTACTGAACCAGCCGTTCAATGTTTCCGAGCTGGATCTTCCCCCTCCTCCGATCATCCTACCCCCTAATGTAAGTATGAGCATACCGAACTGGCTTCCTCTTTACCGTTACGCCCTGCTGATCTTTGTTCGACCCTAGGCCAGCGTGACGCAATCGCCCGACTCCAACTGTCCGCCCAAGTATATCCGATCTACTCTCAACGCCGTTCCGACTACCCATTCTCTTCTAAAGAAGTCGAAACTGCCTTTTGCGCTTGTTATTCAGCCCTATGCGGCGCTGCATGACCTCGACGATCCCGTCCCCGTTGTTCAAGACCAGGTCATTGCTAGGTGCCGAAGATGCAGGACGTATATCAACCCCTATGTCATCTTCTTGGATCAAGGTCACAGATGGCGATGCAACATGTGCAACCTTACCAACGATGTCCCCCAAGCCTTCGACTGGGATGCGGCTACGCAGAAGAGCGTCAACAGATGGGATCGATATGAGCTCAACCATTCCGTTGTCGAGTTTGTGGCTCCCCAGGAGTACATGGTCCGCCCCCCTCAGCCTCTTGTCTACTTGTTCCTCTTCGACGTCAGTTATGCCTCCGTCAGCACCGGTCTTTTGGCCACCAGCGCCCGCACCATTCTGGACAGTCTCAACAGGATACCGAATGCAGACCGCCGCACTCGCCTTGGATTCATCGCTGTTGACTCGAGCCTTCACTACTTTTCGATCCCCAAGGACGGCGACGAGAATACCGAGACGAGCATGTTGGTTGTTAGTGACTTGGAGGAGCCGTTCATGCCGGTTCCTCAAGATCTTTTGGTGCCGCTGAACGAGAGCCGAGCAAGCGTTGAGAACTTCCTCTCGAAGCTCCCAGAAATGTTCCAGAACAACCAAAGCAACGGCTCGTGCATGGGATCCGCCTTGAGAGCTGGCCACAAGCTGATTTCACCTCTCGGGGGCAAGATTGTCGTTCTCAGCGCTTCTTTGCCCAACTTGGGCGTAGGTAAACTTGACATGCGAGAAGACAAGAAACTTCTGGGTACGTCAAAAGAGAGTGGACTGCTGCAAACGGCAAGCAGCTTTTACAAGTCGTTTGCGGTCGAATGCTCCAAAAACCAGGTGTCCATCGACATGTTTCTATTCTCCTCTCAGTACCAGGATGTGGCCTCGCTTAGCAATCTCCCTCGCTATACTGGCGGACAGACGTGGTTTTACCCAGGCTGGAACGCGGGACGGGCCGAGGACGCCATTAAGTTCGCTACAGAGTTCAGCGACTTCTTGTCGTCAGAAATCGGATTGGAAGCCGTTCTGCGAGTCCGCGCGACTACTGGCCTGCGCATGAACACGTTCTACGGTAACTTCTTCAACCGGAGTTCGGACCTGTGTGCTTTCCCGGCGTTCCCCCGTGACCAATGTTACGTGGTCGAGGTGGCCATCGACGAGACTTTGCAGAAGAACGTGGTCTGTCTGCAAGCCGGTGTGCTGTACACGACTTGCAATGGCGAGCGCCGCATTCGCGTAATGACCCTGGCGTTGCCTACGACCACAAACTTGGCAGACATATATGCGTCGGCGGACCAGTGCGCGCTCACAACTTACTTCAGCCACAAGGCTGTCGAGAGAGCGTTGAGCAGTAGCGGACTGGACGGTGCTCGGGATGCTCTCCAAAGCAAGCTTACCGAGCTCCTTCAGACCTTCAAGAAGGAGCTCGGAGGTGGAAGCATGGGCGGTGGTGGCCTTCAATTCCCAGCCAATTTGCGTGGTCTCCCTGTTCTGTTCCTAGGCCTGATTAAAAACATTGGTCTCAGGAAGTCGGCGCAAATTCCTTCGGATCTGCGGTCTGCTGCGCTCTGCCAGCTCTCTACGTTACCGCTACCGCTGCTGATGCAGTACATCTACCCGAGGCTCTACTCGTTACACGACATGCCCGATAATGCAGGTGTACCGGATGGGGAGACCAATCAGATCGTGCTGCCGCCACCTTTGAACCTCTCGTCCGAGCGATTCGTGAGTTACGGTCTCTACTTGATTGACGACGGGCAGACGCAATTCCTGTGGATTGGCAGAGATGCGGTGCCGCAGCTGTTGACGGACGTGTTCGGCTTCGGGGAGCGCACACAATTGCGCGTGGGCAAGGGTTCCATCCCTGAGTTGGACAATGATTTCAATGAACGCGTTCGGGCTGTGATCCAGAAGAGCCGTGACCATCTATCGCGGGGTGTTGGCAGCATCATTGTGCCGCATCTCTATATTATACGTGAGGATGGCGAGCCCAGCTTGAAGCTCTGGGCTCAGACTCTACTGGTGGAGGATCGTGCAGACCAAGGAATGTCGTTTGGTCAATGGATGGGCATGCTGAGAGAGAAGGTGAGTAGCTGATTATGCTGCGTCATGGGAGTATTCTAGTTTCTGACGATGGCTTTTTTCATCAGGTTGTGCAGTAACGATGGTTGTTTGTGGAATATGGCTTAGAAGCATACTTGTATAGACAGACAAGCAAATGACTCTATGCTATGAGGACAGGCGATTGATAAATAATTGAACAATCAATACCAACCGGCTTGGCTTTGCGGTACCCAAGACCATGTTCTGTGATGTGTGTCAGACTGCCCGCCAGTTACTACTTCTATCCTGCGCGTGCAATTAAAGCATCCGCTTCCAGCCTCCCACTTGCCTGAGGAGACACTTACCCGAGTGGGTCGAACACTCTGCCCGTCGTGGAATTATACGTGCATATGTGTCGACCAATGCGGATTGTGGATATCAGTGTCCTTTTGATCGAAGGTCTGGAACCCACCACACGCATCTGCCGTTGTTGCGTAATATGGCATGGCCCGCATATGAGTGACTCCATAATATTACTATAGGAAATGCTCGTTCGGAGAATATGGGACGAGCCGGTGTGATCGTCGGCCGCTGAGTCATGCGTTTGGGAAATATTTGGGATGACACATTGGAGATCAAGTCCAGCTCGGCTGGGCGGTATAGTAGAGGGATGGGTAGGTATATAAAGTTGCGTTTAGGTCTTATCTGCGAGGAAGAAGGTACCTGGCTAGGGCTTGTGGGACGTGGAGAGCAAGTGGGAAAGCGCTTTGCTGGCCAGCTATGCCCATAGCCAGATCTAGATAGGCCCCAAAAATGGTGTCTCAGTTGCGCAAACACACCATTGATACTAGTGTCTGCCAGTGCGGAATGTCAACTCGGAAGACCTTGTTCGTTTCATTTATCCCTCGATTTCACATCATGGATACGAACCGAGAGGAACTCGTTTGGTTCTTTACCAAACAACCGTTGGAGAAGTGCCGAAACAAACTGTGACGATAGTCTGGATATTGGGACGCCTTAACGGGCGAGATATCTACAATAGTATATCCAACGACGCCACATAAATCCTACGGCCTGGGCTGTCTCGATCGCGACCGTCTCGGACCGATAACGAGCAGGCTATTTAGTTTTATTTTTGGAGTCTGGCTGCAAGTATACACTTGTAGGGTGCTTTCGACTACTTGTGTGACTGGCAGGCAGCTTGATCACTATTGAGTTGCACTTCCACCTCTTTGCATGACTCCTCCCGGAAAATGCAACGAGGAGATTGGCCACGGAAGTGAACATGCACACTAGAGGCTGGCAGAATACAGCCGTCACAACTGGTCTCGACCAGTCATGAAACGAGGCAGCACGGTGCCGACTTGAAACACGCGCCCGTGAGACGGTGAATTCGATATGGGCGCTTACGAAGTGTGCTGATTGGAGGCTCAAGCGTGTCGGTTCAGATTTGGATCTTGTTGAAAGAGCAAGGAGACCTGGGTCGGCGCGAATGCTAGCCGGCGTTTATGTGGTACTGGCGGTTAGGCACTTGACTTTCTTGTGTGATAAGGGGCGGCCAGGAAGGTGTCATGAGGGGGGTTCTGTGTGTTTTAAGAGGTTGGCGTCGGCAAGTTCTGATACACGACGTTGCCATTGATTGAGTCGCTATAACGACAACTGTGTGAGCGCCCCCTGCTAACAGCGATACACTGTTGTGGGCGTTGGTGTGAGATCAGATGAAGTACCTGTGATAGAGAACCCCGCCAAATCCAGACCAACCAACCAACCAACCCCCCCATGACGATGAACCTCGTCGTTCGTGGATTTTAGAATTCAACCGTCTGGTGGCTTTCACACTTGCGAGTCAAGAGAAAAGAGCTTCACTCATATTTAGACCCAACGTGGGACAGACAAGCAATTTGGAACTCGGAGGCTAGAAATAGAATTCGTGCAGAAGCCACCGCCCGGGCATCAACGAAAGGCAATGGCGAGATGCAGCATCGCTCTTGCTACCGCAAGGCCAAGACGTGATAGATTCCAATCCGGTTATGTGGGTATTGGAATGCCTATGCCAATTGATGCGACGATATTAAAGACTGGTTCAGAACCCACCTCGATAGCCTTAATCTTGATACTCGAACAACCCTTGTCTCACCTTCACGCCGAACACGCCCCTTTCCCAGCTTCCCTCCACTCTGCGATTTGACTTCCGCGAGTCCCGTCCGTGAACACGGGCAGCCCCGCTACCGCTACACCTCGAGGCTAGTCGTGCCGTTGTTTTAGAGCTGTCGTCGAAGCCAGGTTGACCCGGCGGTTTTCTCTGTGGAAGGAGGGCAATGATATCGGGATTCCATCCGTAGCTCTGTTGCATTGGATGCAACCAGCAGGCAGGGCCAAAGCCAAACAAGCCAGACCAACAGCAGCTTGTGTATGTGCATGAATGAATCGGAAGACGGGCAACGGACACTGGTTGACTAGTTGAAGCAGCCAGGCTTGCCAACCTCTAGGCTGCAAACCAGGCACAAGTGATAGTTAAAATCGAAGCTCTAGTCCTCTGGTGGTGGTGCCAGGTCCCTTCTCTGGGCGTCAAATGCTCGTTTCTGTGCCGGCCGCCCGATCTCCATTCAAACTTGGCCCGGTCCACATTCTCGCAACCCCAAGCTCCATCATCCCATTGTCACCTACCCTACCTGACCTGAAAACTTCCCGCAACTCCATTTCGACAACGACATTCTTTTCCCGTTTGCCAATATTGTGGCAATTCGCGACTAAAGTTGCTCGGCCTTTCCTCTTGTTCCTCTCTCTCTCTCATTCACAAAATTCGCGCCTGACAATTGACTTGTCGACCCGACGACTGCTTTCTCCCGCAACAACGCCACTCAATCCATCTGCGGGGCAACCACACAGCGCACTGTCACGAACCCAAGGTGAGCACGAGTATTTTCCTATTACCCCTCACGAAGATCACACAGGAGCGCGCATCTTCAGCCTGCCCGCCGAAACAGCTCCTCTGCCACTGGCCTACCTCCCTCGTCGCCTGCGGATCATCGTGCGTTCGATTTTCCCCTCTCTCGTGCAGCGCGGAGAGAAGACCAGACGAAGAAGACGTCTGAAGTTCTGTCACAAGGGGGTTTGGGCGCGTTGCATTCAGCAACCCCTGGTCACCCGACGGATTGCCGTGGACAACGAGCACGACGCATTTGCACGAGCCGGCGTTCGAGTCGCCTTCTGGAAGCCTCCTGTCATTGTTTGTCCACCGCTTGACTCGTACCGGCAGCGCACATACACACTTCCCATTGCCGGGATTCAGTCGCATCAGGAGCGGATCGCGCTGCGAGTGCATCGACCTGCGCTATCCCTCAATTCCCCTTCCATCCTCGGCCGCACAGACGATCCGGCAAGAAGCAGAACAAGCTGCCGCTTTGGTTCCCGTTAGATATTTGAAGCGCTGCCAACTGCGGCTGACCCTCTTCTCATTCGTCAGAGCTACCTTGCCCCTGTCTATTTGATATCTTCTGGTCTTTGTTGGCCAGATTCTTGGACAACTCGGCTAATCATTTAATTTGCTTCCCAGTTCAGACAACCGTCATAAGCTGAGAGCAGCCTTTACACACAAAGAAGCAAACCTCCATCTGACTCGTACCGGTCATTAGCTGAAAGAAGAAATCGCGTTGAGGACGGGAACAAAAGCACCGTCCGACCTACCAGCACACCAGTCTTTGCGACATCATCGCAAGGTCCGAGCGGAAGGAACGACGTTTCTACTGCCTACTGTCTGCTCCGAGTCCCACCTACGACGGGCATTACTGTACACTTGGCAACAGCGTCAAGACCCCAGTTCTACAGCAGTGCAATTGTCATCGAACTAAGGCCCCAAGTCTTTTCTGACCCAAGGCCTTGAGTTCAGTTTCGACGACCTCTTTCCTTCCTCACACCACCTCACCATGTCTCGATCCAACCCGCCCAACCCTGCGGGGTCCCGGAAGATCTCCTTCAATGTCAGCGAGCAGTACGATATTCAGGATGTCGTCGGCGAGGGAGCGTACGGTGTTGTCTGGTATGCTGGCAAACCACATCCCAAGCTTGCATGGAAGACTGACGAGTTTGATGCAGTTCGGCAATACATAAGCCCTCGGGCCAAAAAGTTGCCATCAAGAAGATCACCCCCTTCGACCACTCCATGTTCTGTTTAAGAACACTGCGAGAAATGAAGCTTCTTCGATACTTCAACCACGAGAACATCATCTCGATCCTCGACATCCAGAAGCCCCGCAACTACGAGACATTCCAGGAAGTCTACTTGATCCAGGTATGTCACCGCAAACAGGTGCTTGCCATCTGTTGACGCATGTTACTAACGCGCCTCGCTCACAGGAACTGATGGAGACGGATATGCACCGTGTCATTCGTACCCAGGATCTTTCCGACGACCACTGCCAATACTTCATCTACCAGACCCTCCGCGCGCTCAAGGCCATGCACTCGGCAAACGTGCTGCACCGAGATCTGAAGCCCAGCAATCTGCTGCTGAACGCTAACTGCGATCTCAAAGTGTGCGATTTCGGTCTGGCACGTTCTGCCGCCTCACAGGAGGATAACTCGGGTTTCATGACGGAATACGTGGCAACGCGTTGGTACCGTGCGCCTGAGATCATGTTGACCTTCAAGGAATACACTAAGGCTATTGACGTCTGGTCTGTGGGTTGTATCTTGGCCGAGATGCTCAGCGGCAAGCCCCTGTTCCCCGGAAAGGACTGTATGTTCCCACTAGTCTTGTGATGATGCATATCGAAAGCTAATTGGCTATAGACCACCACCAACTGACCCTCATCCTGGACGTTCTGGGCACGCCGACCATGGAGGACTACTACGGAATTAAGTCGCGTCGAGCTCGCGAATACATCCGATCCCTGCCCTTCAAAAAGAAGGTGCCGTTCCGAACCCTGTTCCCCAAGACGTCCGATTTGGCATTGGATCTTCTCGAGAAGCTGCTTGCCTTCAACCCCGTCAAGCGTATTACAGTGGAGGAAGCGCTCAAGCACCCCTACCTGGAGCCGTACCACGACCCCGAAGACGAGCCGACGGCACCGCCGATTCCCGAGGAGTTCTTCGACTTTGACAAGCACAAGGACAATCTGAGCAAGGAGCAGCTCAAGCAGCTTATCTACCAAGAGATCATGCGGTAGGACGTACGTGAGCTCGAGTTAAGTGTAGGGGGGTTGGCTATTGCATAGGATTCAAGAGCGATCCACGCTCTGGGGGACGTGCTTTTGGGAGGCGGTTGTGGTTGGACGCAGCTGGGCAGTCGGATGCTCGGTTGGCTTGGCATAGCGAGCAGAAGTATCTTGAGAGAAGCGGCGGCAGCGGAACACGACGACGAATCGGCCGCTGGTGAGCAACAACAGCGAAAGCATGAGCATGAGTACGAAACGCGAATGTTCACGCTTGATGTGCCCGAAACCAAATCTGAGAAATGGTGATGAGAAAACAGAAAAAGAGGCGTGTGTATGATTTCCAGGCCGTGTATGTCGGCCACAGCGGAAAGCGAGATTTTGGCCCAGACTTGAGTGGGAGAAGTTGGATGGTGGATGTTAGGATGGATATGGACATCTCCTTTTCTTCTCCTCCCTCCCGACCTTTTTAGCCGTCTTCTTTAAACTAAAAGCGGCCGGTTCTTCTCTAGTCTATTGATCAGTGGAACTTAGCATACTGTGGTGTGATATTCGGGGCGTGATGTGATGTGAGATCGGGACTAACCCTGGTGGTGATCCAGAATGGCTGCTTGTGATTGTGAGGCAGTGATGCGGACTGTGTGAATCTGTGTTTGATACCAAAGACGCAAAATGAAAATAAAACTAAGCTTGTAATGACTACATGGCAGCCCAGGAAAGAGAGGTATGGCTGATTCATGGAATGAGTCAAGGTGGTCCAGCACATCGTCGCTCTGTCGCATGCGTGCGCCCTCTTAATCACGAAGTTATGTGCCGATTATGAAACTTTAGATATGATTTCCCATTTGCTTGACTGTGTCGCTGTATCTAGTGGCTAAACAAGACCGACCATTCCTGCAATACCAACGCTGGTCAGATCTGGTCTTATGATGGGTATAGGCCACACATTCTGACTCGAAAATGCTGTTTCCCTATTTTGGTGCTCCTCTGACCTCCTTTGATCCCTGCCCTTTCGGTCGACATGAACGACATTGCCTAATCATGGAAGACTGTTAGTTGCCCCCAAACACATCAACTCCATGCCAGTTTCGCCGACAAAGCTGAGTTGAGCCGAGTACCTGTTGCTGCTTACACGCCTTGCCTCGACGGGCCTCAGGCATTGATTGTCCGGTAACCAATTATTCTAGATCCTGAGTTTCTCCCTTTGATCTAGAGCAGAAGGGAGGATCAAACGCCTCTGCTCGCTTCGCACAACCTTGGATATCATGGTACGCCTCTCTCAACCCCGCTTGCACTTGCTGATGTGCCCTCATGTTCTCCATTACTTCATCTCATGCAAGAAACGCCTCCATTACCACCTCCTCCCCTTCAACCCGCTCCAATAACCCACAATTCCACCCCCAACACATCAAACTTCTCCCCCTCATCACTTAGAGGCTGGTTCCCAAACGTATCGCACTCCCCGCTATGTCCGCGGCTGAAACTATCATCAAGCCAAAGTCCAAACCGCGACGTGCCGCTACCACCGCCCACGCTCAGGAACTTGGTTTCGCAGAATATGCAGTAGTCGTTTGCACCCGTGTAGGCAAAGTTCTGGAACCGGATGGAGTGGTTTTGGGCCTGGGCCTGGGTCTGCGACAATTTGTTCGTCGTCGGGTCGGTTGCACCTGGTGCCAGGTGGTTCTGGTTCTGGCCCGATGAGGTTGTGTGTCCGTTGGCAACGGCTGCTGGGAAGGAATCCGTTGTCGGCGAGGCTATTGTCGTACTACGGGTGAAGTTGTCCAGGTCGTCTAAGTCGGCTGACGGAGGGGGAGGTAAGGGGACGCGGGTGGAGGCGCGCCAGAGGAAACACTCGCCGGTGCCGAAGTAGGAGGATGCTGGGTGGGGGGCTTCGGTTAGGTAGGCGCCAAAGGTCTGTCTCGGTGCAGCATTCGTTAGTATATGCATCGTAGGACAAACAAACAAGCAGACAACAGCTTCCTGAAATAGAGAGATAGAGAGAAGCAGAAAAACTCACCCCCTGCTTCCCATCCCTTACCACAAGCACGAACCCCACCCTCCTTCCCCGGTACTCGTCACAAAGATCATACAACGTCTTCAAACTACTCCCATTCTGATACAGACTGTAAACCAACCGCCACTCATCCCCAATCTTCAGCCGTTCCGGCAAGAACGTCCGTATCTCCTCGGCAATGCTCTTGGACAACAACCTCTCCTGCGCCGCCGTATCGCTCCGGTACCCCGTCAGTTCCAGTGGCTCTAGACTCGGCAACCCCCTAGGCGAAGCGGTGCGTCGTGGCGGGGTGAAGGCCCCGTGGACGCCGTCTCCCGAAGAGTAGTAGGACGGGAACGTGGCGCTGAGCATGCTGGAGGAAAGGTGCGAGGCGGAGGTGTAGGAGGTATTGGGGAGAAAGGTATTGGAGTTGGTGTCGTAGGAGGAGATGCGGCGCCAGAGGCCGGTGAGGGCCGATCCCAGGCCGTAGGTGCTGCTAGATGCCGATTGGGAGACGGGGGTCGAAATGCCGGAGGAGGGAGGAGAGAGGTCGATGAGGTTCTCGGAGGCGGCGGGCGGTGGTGGTGGTGGTTGTTGGCGATTCATCGTGGACGAGAGCTGGCGGTAACGGTCTACCTAAAAGCAGTTGGATCGGTTCGGTTACGCGGAGGGGATACGCCCATGGACGGCCGACAGGCCCGGTGGGTTGTGTGCCTGCCTTGGTGGGGCGATGATGTAGACTTATCGTTATCGTATGATTTGGCGGGCCGCGTTGGATCTTGAATGTGAAAGGATCCAGATCTACGGAGTGGGAGTGCAATTGCTCGTCATTGGAGGGGTCCGAGGCTGATTTAGAGTAGTCCACAGCCGATGAGTAACATGTCCCGTAGACGCGACGGGTCTGATAACTCGGTGGCGCAATTTGTTAAAGAAGGTTGAACAATCGGCGGGGAAAGCCTTCAGAAGTCGTCCGATGTGATAGTACTTCAAAAGATTGGACGTCGTTCGTTGGTTGTCAAAGGGGATTGGGGATTGCTTGTTTGAAATAGGCTTGTCAGACGCGCTTGCTCCTCCTACGTACTTGGGATCACCCCTGTCATCGAAGAAATCCAACCCAGTTGAGCTGCTGGGTTTCAGCCTCCAATTCACAGTCAGTATCAACTATGCTATTTAGTCGTACTTTTATTGCCCACGTATCAGCGTTTCTATGGTTATTACAGTACAGCATGTGTTCCGACTGGTATCCGGGTCCCTTCCCGACTGAAACGCGGGGGACAAACTCTATATGATTATGTACATTCCCTCGAAGCTATTAGCTAGCTTAATTGACTAATGCTCTAAAAATGTACTGTACGAAGTGGTCGATCGGAATCTCCCACCACTTTATCAATCGGGAAAAAGCATGTTCGCAGCGTTATCTTGCATTCCGTAGCATCACAGCAAACCAGCGCCGCCTAGCTTATTTTGCAACGGTTGCCAAAGTGCAGTTGAGATATCCAGCAACTATACTTCAGCAATTTCTCAGCAAGCAAACGCTTCCATTCGTGCAACACAGCAATCCTTCTCAAGCACAACTTATTTGCCCAAGACTGAGGCATCGCTTAGTACACGGAGGTGTCTACTATTCAAGCATACCATGCACAAATAGTTTTGGTGGGGGGGGGGGGTCGGCGGGGGGCTGCATACATGAGCACATGGCTTCTCCGGACCGAACTCCAGTTCCGATTCTTCATCAAACCATGAACAGTAGGCCATTGCTAAGCACGTCCTAGATGTCCCCGACAGTATCCTACCACAGACATTAACCTGGCGCAATTGCAAGCATTGTTCGCAGCAACTATGCCCGAAACGGACATGTTGGAAACACCGCTTACCTGAACAGAACCATGATAGAGCAACCATACCCCCACATAGTATGTGATGAAGTATTGCTTTAGAACTTGCCAACTCTGATATTTCATTTCATTTCATTTCCTACTTTCCATAAACGTCGTAATCGCCTCCCACAACCCTTCCGGACTGGGCTTCTCAGCACACACATCCGGCTCATAGTCAAACGTTCGCTTAAGGTAATTCCTCGTCGTAGGCCCAATACTCGCGATGTATGTATTCGTCTGCTTGTCCTCTTCCCGAGGCAGGTGTCTAACTTTCCCCGTCTCCTCGTCCAACATTCCCAATCCTTTCAACATCCCATCACAGCCCGTCGGTGAAAAAATCACCAACCACCTCGTCGCACCCCGATCCGCCGTCCTCTCCAAAACCCGGTTCAAATCCCCCGGGAAGCTCTCCATGACCCCGGTACCATATACCACCATCTCGTCCACATGAATCCTGTTGTCCACAGGCAAACGCTCATCCATCAACGTTTTGGGGATGATATCTCTTCTCTGCTCCCCGACGAGAAAGAGTAGAGGCGGCTTGGGGTTGCGTCCCGCGTACAATGATCCGTAGTGCTCTTGTATATACGCCGCCAGCGCATCGCCGTTGCCCGTGTGCTCGCCGAAGATCTGTAGAGGCGGGTCTTGCGGGATGGATTTTAGGGCGCGGGTTGTTGCCGGACCGACGGAGTAGAGCGGTACGTCTTGGAGGTGTGGCCAGGTCTTACTGCCATGCTCTTCACTACTGTTGTCATTTTTCTGCAGCCCATCCTCAACCAGCGTGGCGAAGACCTCCACGGCGCGCTGAGACGTGAAGATCAGTCCCCCGTACGCGGCGTCTCGAGAGGCGCTAATGCGTTTCTGTTCGAGCAGGGCGCGGAGTTGTGACTGGCCCTGTTCTTCAAAACGATGCTGTAGTACAGGAACGAAGATGGGTTCGAAGGAGATGTTGCCGCGGCTAGGCGGGGTCGAGAAGAGGTCTTGGTAGGCGTCGGCAGGCATGGATTTGGTTTTGAGGAGAAGGATAGGCGATTTGTTTGGGTCGGTCTCGGGGGAGGCCATGGTGAATATATAATCTTGGACTGTAAAGCGAAGAAAATGATTGGTGAAGTCAACGAATGCGTTAATGAATAATTGGCATTCGTTCGAATCAGAAGTCGAGATGCCTCGGCCTGGTGGGTGAGCTTTGTCGACGGTTCGTACATGTTCCCCATGGGTAGCCCGGTCGGCGCAAGGATGCCGAACGCTGCGTAACAGCCGATTACAAATGTACAAAGCTGAATTGCGACTCGACTTTCTACATCCAACACTCGCTCTAGATCTCCTCCAATACACAACGTCATTCTCGCGGCTCGTAATTCTTTTCTTTCCTTTTGCCAACCATGGCCGCAGATGCCAGCTCTCCCGCCGGCCCAAACCTGTCCACGGACGCAGCTCGCCAGCCCCAGAAGCTCCCGTCAGGCGTCGTCCTAGGCAAGGACGGCAAGCCGTGGATGTTTTCCTTTCCGGTTCCATAGGATACTCTCAGACTGACGCGTTTCCAGCTGTCGCACCTGCTCCTCGGGCGCCGCCTTCGCCGCCTTCGCCTCCCAAGCAAAATCGACCCTCAAATCCGGCGCCTTCCCAGGCGCCTTAGTCGGCGCCGCCGTCTCCTCCTCCTCCTTGCCCCCGCCCGCCTATACCCCACCGGCCGACTGCCCCCCCGACGTCGCCGTCCTAGGCCGCTCCACCTGGACCCTTCTTCACTCCATTGCAGCAACGTACCCCACGACGCCCTCGCAACAAGAACAAAAGGAACTCAAGACATTCATGGGGTTGTTTTCGCGACTGTACCCGTGCTGGGTGTGCGCCGAGGATTTCCAGGGCTACATGGCGAAGGAGCAGATTAGAGTGGGGAGTAGGGACGAGTTTGGCAAGTGGTTGTGCGAGGCGCATAATGCGGTCAATGTCAAGGTTGGAAAGAAGACGTTTGACTGTGCGAGGTGGGAGGAGAGGTGGAGGACTGGGTGGAAGGATGGGAGGTGTGATTGACGGTTTTGATGTAGTGTGGACGGCAGTATGGTACTGCCGTCGGTGGATTCATGAGTTGCCGTGAATATCCTCATGGGTCATGCTGGAATAGTGAAAAGGGGAACATGTGATACAAGACTGTAAATTATGTGTCGAAACTCTACATGTGCATTGGAAGGCGTTGGGTAAACGGCTGGGTTTGTATCACCACTCACCATGGCGTCTATCTCGAGATGTCACTCGAAGGGCAGGATTGTCATATACAAGAGGTATGGTATATTATCAGTAATAGACAGCTCGACTCTAGATATAAACAAATCCCACAATCTTGACTAGGTCAAGAATCTGGATGCGGAACACCGTGCTGGTCCACCACTACCGACCATCAACAACTAAGCGGAGGACGAACCGAGCTAATCGTGACAAACTACTCTGTTCCGGCGGATCCTCTACTCTCGCAGGAATCTTACTAAACCCCAACTTCCCATCTAGAACCGTAATTAATTCATCCAGCTCTATCTCTGCCGAAATCCATTTATTCAAATTCCACAACTTGGCCTGAAGGACCTTCCCCCCCCCCGATAACCTCATAGACCTTGCGCTCTTCTCAAAGCCGCCCGGTCCGTCCTCCCCTTAGACCAGACGAATTCCCATTCTCGTTGGCCAGATATTTGTTCAGGTTGATGGAGCGCCTGCCCGTCTCGTCGTCCCCGAGATTTCTACCTCGAACCCGACAACACCCTACTGGTCTGGTGCTAGCACGAGGCGGAGAAATTGCCGATATGGACTTGCTTTTCCTAGGGCTGGTCCTGGTCCTGTCATCTTGATCGGATGGCATGAGATGCCAAGAGCGTGTTCACGGCTCCCACTAGGCTCATAGGGCTCATAGGGCTCATAGAGGCTGTCGATAAGCCACCTCGGGACGAAGTAGACGTATCCCGCTAGGCTCATGGCGCTCGCAGGCGCCGTTGCGATCAGTCGCCTGGGAACGAGGGAAAGGTGTCTTAGTAGGCTCATTGCGGTTGTAGGGGCCGTTGCGATTAGCCGCCTGGGGACTTGGTAAATATTTCCTAGTAGGCCCATTGTGCTTGTGCGGGACGGGAATTACAGTGGTATACTCGCAAGGACGTTGTGCCAACGAAGATCAGTTGGAACGCAGTGCAAGGCTCCAGAGAGGGTCCTGAACCAGCACCCCGAAAACGCAAATCGAACTTTCGGGTATTTAGTCATTGAAAAGAGACGCTGTCTTGCACATTTCCACGTGTCATACATGCCTCGTTGCTGTGTGGTGGAAGACTGATGTAAATAGGAGTCAAGCGGCACTTCTTGCTAAATACTGTTTAATTCCGAGCTCAAGGGTATCCTATAGATTGAGATGCATATATTATCTGCTATAACCTGACAAGTGCATTTTAGTTGCCATCCTTCACGTCAATCTCCTCTATCAAATCCCCACCAATCCTCGCGATTTCTGCCAACATAGCTTGCCTATCAAGCTCAAGCGATGCGTCGTCGCCTTTTATAGGTTTAAAAGAGCAAGGCAAGTTGACCCTTGAAGTCCTCGGATGACTCGCAAGTTCTTGGTTCCAAAGCCCCGCAATAACAGGGTCATCTTTGCCGCCATGGAAAAACACCAAAGCCGGCGAGTACATTGCATTGAGTTGCCTCAACAAGGCCTTCACCGGACGTTCAGCCAGAGGTAGAGAAGGCCTGCCAGTTTGCGGATCCAAGTTCTTGAAGTGCGAGTGCTTGATGCCATCATCCCGTAGAAGCGCTTTCACAACCTTCGGATCTAGGCGGATGACAACATCGTAGTGTCTCAGAGAGGACTGGAACAAGGATCGAGGATCAAGCTCAGCCCCCTTCGCCTTGACAAGTTCGCAAGCAGCTCTTGCTAATTTTGTCATTTGATTCGCAACAACCCGGGACGGACCTTGCCCTGTGAAGACGGTACCGCTTTGGGCATAGGATGTGGCAACGAACAGAACATTTCGATTCAGTCGGGGGTCGAGTCGGCGACATTCGTTGTAGCGGGCGAGGATAGCCGAGCGATCTGAAGAAGTCATGGGCTCCAAAGAATCCGAAGTATCGACGATCATAGGCTCTTCGTTCCATTCCCACCTGGACAGCAAATGTAAAGTTCGCAGAAATCCGGTCGACGCACTCGAAGGTGTCTGCCACGGGTACGACTTGAGGAATGCTTGGAGAACAAACAGTTCTACAAGCTCTTCGTTGAAATGACAAGACAACTTGTGTGAGTTGAACCAATGTTTGACCAACCGGATCGATGCGGAGAGAGTTGCAAACCGCATGCAATATGTCGCGACTGCCTGGTTGTGCAGGGGCAGGTATGTGTAGAGTCTCGTTGAGATGGCAAGAAGCTCGGCCGCCTCTGCCTGAACGTGACGTTCGCGGGTTTTGTCTTTGATTACCTTTTCCAGTTCGTTCTCCTCGGCATCGCTCTGCACCCGCAGTCGGAACGCGAATCCTGTGTCATAGACAATGTCAAGGAAAGCCAGATTTTGGGTGTCCCGGTCTGCATTATCCAGCCCAAGATGCGTCTTGATCGACTCGTTCGACTCTTCCAAAGAGCTCCCAATCTTAAGTAGAAATGCAATCTTGAGTCTTTGGATCGCTGCAAGGTTATCTGCCCATTTCCCCGAGGCTTCAAAGGAAATGACAATATCCATCGGCTGTGGTGGACCCTTGGCTGTAAGGGGCGGTTGTGAAGAAGTGTATCTGAGTTCGGGGCAAGTGCCAACAATCTGCCTGACATGAAGGGGTAGGTCTCGCAAGTCCCGAATCTCTCGTTCCAACGACTCCAATGCCCTTCTTGCCGCAAGAAAGTTCTGAGCGTCAGAAGATCCTATGCGAGCGATTGGCGCAAAGTCATCTGCGTAAAATTCCAAGGAATCGTCATTGATTTTCAAATGTCTTTTGCTGATATACCGAATAATTTGCTCGGGAATGCTGACTGTCGAATCCTTTTCCCATTCTAGACACTCGAGTATACTACCGTCTTGGAAACGCCGCAACTCGGCTTTCTCATCACCCCAGAAGTTACGGAATCTGGATGATTCCTCCTTTTCTTCAGCCGATGGCCCATGATCTATCCTTCGATTCACTGTTTCAGGCTTGAGTATCAATCCGACTAACAGACTGCTAGAGGTTGGCGTCGTTGTTTTCGATGCCGAAATTGGCAGTGCTGTCGACTTAGGCATGGTAATGCTCACGAGTTCAACCCGATCGCCCAGAGCCTTCTTCAAGACTTGGTAGAGTTTCTCGCTGAAGTCCCAACCAAGCCCGCGATAGTTTGACATGTCGAGAAATTCTGTAGTAGAAGGTAGCTCCACTTTCAGCAAGAGATCATACATCTGCAAAGGCTGGTCGACTTTGACGATGAATTCCGAGTCAAATTGGTCAAAGGTGTTATCCTTGGACGCATTAAGAGACCATTTAGCTTGCTGTTGAAGGAGGTTAGCAGACCAAGGTGCCATCTTCCACAATATGTTCAGCTCACGGGCCGAATCATACAGGGTTGGGTTGTTCTGCCGGATTGTACTCGGGTCGGAAGGAAGGGGTCCAATGATGAGCAGGTGCTTCTTTTGGAAATTGGTACCCGCTAGGAACTGAACAGTAGCTTTGAAAAGTTGGGTGCTATTGAGGGAAGGCGACAATACAGGCTCGCCCTTGCGACTACCGCCTTGCAAGAGAAGTGCCACAAGAACAGCAAACTCGAAGTGGCCAAACCCGCCTTCAGATATGCTGCCCCCGAAACCTCTCTGTTGAAGCCATATTCGACCCAGGATGCATGCATCCTTGAACGCACCACAAGACTTCGCAGTGCTGTTAAGCAAGCGTAGGTACGCTGTGTATTGACTTTCCGCCCTCAGCGTGGCATTGTAGAAAGGGGTGGGTTTGGGAGCACTTTTGGATTCGGCATCCGCGCCTTGTCGAACCGCATTGGTGGTTGGCAGCAGCTTTGCGGAAGGGAAGATGTCCTCTGGCGCGCAGGGTATAACTCGAATTGCGTAACTGGCTTCTCCCTTTGGCCGTGCCACGAGGACCGGAAGCAGATTGTTTCCATGCAATCCTTCGAATGTAAATTCCATGGTAGTGCCAAACGACTTCCGCATGCAGGCGGCAATATTGGCCAGATAATATGACCTCTTATAGAAGTAACGGCAATTCAGGTAATCCTTGTCTTGAAACAATTGTGCTGGCATCACCACAATCATGTCGATGGCCAGTCCGGTCTGGGACTTGATCATAGTCTTTAATTGGTAGCTACCGACGACATTGACCTGTGCTGGTTTCGCAATCGACAGTTTGTAATTCGAGTTCTTGTTTGGCCGAGGACTAGGGTAGGGGATGGGTATCCGGTTCGCCTTTTCGAATTTGGTCGAAGCATCACCAATCTTCAAAGATTAGTATATAATCTGGCGCACGGTAAATGCCACGACTTACAGGCAGGGACTCGTGGGGCTCTATAGCCTCAATGGTATCTTTGAACTGGCGTAGGATTTCGTCAACACCATCGAAGGTTTTGGCGTAGTCCAGCTTCACATCTTTTAGAAGTTCCCCTGCGGCTTCCACAAAGGCGCTGGCTCCCGATGAGCTCGAGGTACCATTGGGAAAGGGGAATACTCCTGAATGGCCCAGTTTCCGTCTCTTTGCTACAGATGATTCCATGTTGGCTTCAAATAGGCGATTTCCTGTTCGTTGACTTGCGGTGCGCAACAACTGGAAGACCTCAAGAATTTTTGGCAAGGTGGAGTGATAAGATAAGAGTTCGAAGCCACGTTGTGGCTGGTGGGGTCACCGTTGCAATTGTGCAACAATTATTCCGAGTTGATGTGGGATCCATCCGTCACAAATCTTTGAAATGACGCTACCGCAGGAGCTTGTGGTTCCCAGAGACATGGTTCCCAAAGACTTGGGTCCGCCAAAGTGAAGTTTCAATGGTCGAGTTATCAACCAAGACAGTTTTGTTCCAAATTCTTCTGAGACAACTGTCACGAGCCTTTTACTTCGTCAACTCGACCTGAAGTCGCATGCTTGATAGCTTCATATTGTCTGGGAACCACCAAGCGGAGTCTTCGCGATGCGGAGTCCTCGCGATATGGAGTCCTCGCGATATGGAGTCCTCGCGATATGGAGTCCTCGCGATGTGGCTGCACGTGTTAAACAATTATCCCCGGACGTATTCCGCAGAAGCTCACCCCAGATTTCTCAGAGTGCCAAGTGCCGCCATCTTCCGAAACCCGAGCTACAACGCCGTGGGGAACACTGGTAGCGCGGGGGTCAACCTTTACCCTGCTGTATGTGCCGAACCGCGATTCCGATTTATACTGCCGAAGCGCGGAGTAGCTTCAACATCGACGGATCCATATTATTATTCGTTGAAATCGCCGCAAGACCTTTAACTCGTAACTGCATTAGGTGTTGGGAATCCCCTCAACTTCACTTCTTCTCCAGCTTGTACGATACGACAGCAGATTCCCGACGTCACCAATTGCAGTCCGTTGCAGGCCATCGACCCCACCCCCCTCCACCATCGCATAATTCCTAGCCAAGATGTCTTCAACAGCAATGTATATGAGAACGCTGAGAGCCTATTCAAAATATGGCAACAATGTATTTAACTGACCAATGCGACCATAGAGACCCTCGTTGACGATAATGTGTACAGCATGCTCGCTTAATCGCGAGAACCTTCTCGGCAACCTCCCGCCGCCCCGAGATCAACAAAGTCTACCCATCAGCCTCGGAAGCCCTGAAGGACATGAAGTCCGACTCGACTCTGCTGTGCGGAGGCTTTGGTCTATGCGGTGTGCCGGACACCCTCATTGACGAGGTCCTAAAGAAGAAGGAGATCACTGGCCTGACGGCGGTATCGAACAATGCTGGAACAGACGACTCGGGGCTGGGGCAGTTGCTCAAGACCAAGCAGATCAAGAAGATGGTTGCAAGCTACATTGGCGAAAACAAGACCTTCGAGAATATGTACCTGACGGGGCAGGTCGAGCTGGAGCTGACGCCACAAGGGACGCTGGCTGAGCGTTGTGCCGCCGGTGGCAAGGGCATTCCGGCCTTCTACACACCTGCGGCGTTTGGTACTGTTGTGCAAACCGGCGAACTGCCGCTAAAGAACAAGAGCAACGGGACTCCAGACATTTTCTCGTATCCGAAGGACGTGAAAGTCTTCAACGGAAAATCGTACTTATTGGAAAACAGTATAGCAGGAGACTACGCGTTTGTGAAGGCCTACAAGGCTGACAAGCTTGGAAACTGTCAGTTCCGTCTGGCGGCCAACAACTTCAATGGTGCGATGGGCCGAAATGCCAAGATGACCATTGTGGAGGCCGAGCACATTGTCGAGCCAGGTGAGATCCCTCCCGAGGCGGTGCATCTGCAGGGCATCTACGTCAAGCGTGTTATCAAGAGCACGAGCGAGAAGAAAATCGAGAAGTACACCTGGACCAAGGATGAGAATGACTCGGATGCCAAGAAGGTGTTGGGCTCCGGCGACACAGCGGCCAAACGAGAGCGCATCGTTCGCAGAGCGGCTAAGGAGTTCAAGAATGGCATGTATGCCAACCTGGGAATCGGCATGCCCATGCTGGCGCCTGGCTTCGTGGGTCCTGAGGTTGAAGTTCAGCTACAATCTGAGAACGGCATCCTAGGTCTTGGTCCGTACCCGAGGCAAGGCGAGGAGGACGCGGATCTAATCAACGCTGGTAAGGAGACGGTCACTCTCAAGCCTGGCGCTGCAGTATTCGGCAGCGAGGAGAGTTTCGGCATGATCCGAAGCGGCCGCATCAACTTGACCATCCTGGGCGCTATGCAGGTCAGCGGGAATGGTGATCTTGCCAATTGGATGTTGCCCGGAAAAGTCAAGGGCTTTGGAGGAGCTATGGACCTGGTCAGCAACCCCAGCGCCACAAAGGTCGTGGTTACGATGGAGCACACGGATAAGAAAGGCAACCCCAAGATTGTCAAGCAATGCGCGTTCCCCCTGACCGGGCGGGCTTGCGTGTCCAGGATTATTACGGAGCTTGTAGGTTATCCCCTAAGAAGCTTTCTGAGTCAAGATTGCTAATAATTTCAATAGGGTGTTTTCGATGTTGACTTTTCCCGTGGTTTGACTTTGATTGAGATTGCAGACGGTGTCACGGTGGATGAAGTAAAGAGCAAGACGGAGGCGCCGTTTACTGTAGCGGAGGATCTCAAGCCCATGCTTTGAAGCCAGCTCGCTGGGATGGGAGGGCTTGGTATGTGATGTGTGTAAATATCATGTAACTTTGGGCTTTGAATTATGATTGAGACCGTGGACGGTTTGAATTCCACCTTGATTGCTTCATAATGTGTGATGCTCTCAGGAATTTTAAGAAGCTGTTGAGACTGGCACATTCTCAACTCGGCCCATCAAAGCCGAGCGGGGCTACCCGGTAGCCGCTAGCGCGCTCAACGTTATTTCCATTGAACCATGGGACGCGCCTACCTGAACGGTTTCTTCAAGAAGACATTATCTAGTTTAGATTGTCACAACCTACTTGTCTAGACACAATTTGAACTTGACTCTGTATTTTTCATGGTTTCATATGGTGTTTCAACGGCTCTTCTCGACTCTCTCCCCGTACTCCTACATGTGAATAGCATAGTCGCACTGGCGCTGTTGGCATTGGCTTGCTGTCAATCTGCCCAGTTGGCATCAACGGGCTCCTATTCATTCAGACTGTTAACAGTGGGCTCAATCTAGTATTCAGAGCCACTATAACGCCATATTGGGGCACCACATATCTCACCGACTCGTTGTCCACACCACCGTCTCTTCAGTTACACCCAATGGATGCATCACGACAATATGACCCAGACTCCGGGCAGGTATTCCGAGAATGGACTGTGAGGCCCCAGCGCCTCTCGCAAAACAAGACTGGCTGGGAGCGACAGCCTCCAAACTCCCGGAAACAACCAAAACTTGCCGGCACTAGTGCCCTACGTGGCTCAAAGGGACCAAACTCTCTCATGGACATGGCAATCAGTGTCGTCGGTGAGAACATCGAGCTCGTTGAGATGGAAACACTGCGATATTTCCCCGATGAGCTTCTCTGGTACATCTGGGATTACCTGGATGAACCTGAAAGGTATTTTACAAATCTTTGCAAAATCTGCTATTTCTGAAGACAAATGTTCCCTATCGCTTCGGACTCCTTGTTGACTCGTTGACAGAGGATTCAGCCTTCATGCCTGGAAAATTTTTGCAAGTTATCTCCCACATAAGAAATGGAAGCATCCTCGGAAGGAGCATTGGAATAGGGGGCCACGTGGCCAAACCTTTCAGAAGAAATTTGACAATCCGAATGCGCCGCTATCCTTATATACCAAACCATTAATCTCACCGTACAGCGACTTCCTCACTCGTCTCACCATAAGCGGAGGTGCCTCCTTTGGAGTCAATGAAATGCTCAACATTCCAGACTTGTGTAACCTTGTCGCTTTGGAGATTACACAGCCATTCGAGGCTACTCAAGCTGCCGTCTTTCCCCGAGTTAGCGATCGAGTTTTAAAGGAATGGGCGAGTACGCCCAACGTGTTCCCAAACTTGCGGTTTCTGACAATCTGGGGCCGAGACTTCACCACGCCCAAGTCCTTCCAGTATGTCTCCAAATTCTCGGCACTCGAGGTGTATGACGTTTTCGGTTCCGAGGGGGATTGGGTTCGGAGGGACGACTGGCATCCTGCTTGGAAATTGTGCAAGTCGGGCTCTCGAGCTCGATTACCACATGTGGAATCTCGGCCTCTTGCAAATATTGTTCTCGGCAAAGAGTTGACTTTATGTGAGGGCGGCATTCGACGTGTCTTCAAGCGAGTTAACGAACAAGAATCTCAGCCTCAGTCCTCAGATTCCAACATCGACTCAACAGTGATTGCTCGTAAACGGGTGTCCAACGCAGAGCCTGATGAGAGCAGCCGCATCCGTCCAAAGAAGCTAAGGGATGCAAAAGATGTGTTTGCACAGTTCGGGCTGTAGGAATCAAAGTTGCAGAACTCACCCGGGGATTTCCATTTGCAGAAGTATTGGAGCATATAGTGGTGTACTGGCTTGGCCTAGCAGAGGATCAATGCAGATGTAGGTTCTTCACTGCAATACTTGCGAGGATATGACTCGGTCCCAGTGTTCGGCAAAGTCGTATCGGAACTGGTCGCGCCAGAGGCGAGCCTCGCTCACCTCGGATGCATCATCTTGCAGGAACTCTCGGTGTCTTTAATGATGCATTATGTGAGTGGGTGGATGAGCTCTCCTGTCTTGGCGCAGACTTTCTTGAAGGCTCGGCCGCTGTCAGGGCAGTATGCTTTTTGGATTGCTTTCATGGCTTCGGCTCTGTGGTCGGGGGCAAAGGACTTCATTTCAAAGTGTTCTGACTTGGCTAGCTGTGCCTTGGCCCAATCCAACGCATGGGTCACTATTGGTTGCGGTTTTATTAGGCTGCCGTTCGTCATAAAGCCGATACAGAGACATTTGTAACCCACGAAGGTGATACGTCTAGCCCCATTCAAGGGAGTGGGATGGCCCAGGATCCTCGAGGTACGGCTTCTCGGCCAAGATCACTCATGAAAATATCCAGGTCTTGCAGCGAGGTACATATAGGTCCTGCCGAGCCGAGCACAATGGGTTCCGTCGAGAAACCGCCATGTAGGAAACCTTTCATAGGGAGAACATAACTCATCGCCTTAAACCCATAGATCCTACAGAACCCAGCCGGACAGCTCACACTGCCACCGAGATCCATCTCAAACCTCAGCACCGAGCCCTAAGCGCAATGAGCGCCGCCTCATCCTCCGGTCGATCCTCCGGCAGACAAGTCGATGTCATGCGGATTCAACACCCATATGCAGCTTGTTACTTACAGGCACGCCAAGAATTAGGCCTACTGGCTTGCCGTATCGTTCAAGATACTCATCCAGCTCCTTAGAACGAGCGGTGGCCTCGTCAGGGAGCCTTTCGTCCGACATAATACGAGCTAGTCGGCGATAATGGGAGCTTAGCGAAGGCAGTGGCGACGTCGACGGCGGGGATTTTCGGGTGCGCAGTATCTCGGCTTTGGCTACGGCATCGTATTGGGAAGATATTTCTGATTTCTGAGGGAGAGGATGCCGCGGGCGGAGGGATTGGGTGCGAAATCTCTGGGCAGTTTGTAAATGAGTTACTGCAGAGAGGATGTGTAGGACTGGGATATCCTTAGTGAGTTTGAATTGGATGGAGGAGACGACGGACTCGAAGGCGGGTGTCCCTCGGGAGAAGGGAGGATCATGGTGGATCCGTAATATGACATCGTGGGACTCGAGGAGTTCTGTAGACTTTTTATTCACGGATATAAGTGTGACATGCTCGAATGGGCAACCTATATACTCGCTTTATTCCACTTGGCGGCAGTGATTCACCAACATCATTATGTCCCATGAGCTGATTTGATAAGAACGATTTCCATATCACATATCTGGTCCCCACGATCGCCTAGGTCACCATGACACGGGAGCCGTTGTAAAACTCTTCTCCAGGCTACCAAGACTGCCCTGTACCGTTTTTTGCTTAGGCAGCATGTATGCGAGCATCAAACCATGTGGCACACGTATTCAGGCTTTTTGAAGGGAATGATTGGAGTGCCCTATGCAAATGGCGCTTCTCATCAGAGCCGATAGAGTTTGACGCCGGTACTTTAGTCACTTTAGTGAACCAATCTTGCGGGACCATCATTTCCTGGGTGAAGTTTCAGTCATGTGCCATTTGACGCCGGCAGTAATGTGATGCAACTTGCTTGAATGAGGCATGTGTAGGTGGGTGGACCGTTGAGGGGTAGGATCTACCATTCAATCAACGTGACTTGACGTGTCAAACCCGCCTTTAGTTACTGTCCCACATCGTACACCTTTCAGACGTCATATCCGTGTCCAGCCTGTCTGTCTAGCGGATTATCTGCTGAATGGACAAGTTGAAGGACGACTTTTCAATGTTGTTGTATACCTTTGGGATCGGGCTTCTGGATCGGGCTTCTCCGCAACGTGATATTCTGTTCCTTCAGTCAGCCAGTACCGCCGCCAAGGGCATCGTACTACGGGCCTAATATAACCCATCGGTATTGAGTCCCCCATTCTTTGATATCCCAGGGTTTGTATGATAATTTGGTGGGGGAGAACCCAATTGGCATCCAGGACTGGCCTCATCATCAACAGGTATCAGCTGTGTTGAGGTAGGCTACCCTGAACCCAAACTCAGGGGTCGAGTCAATCTTTCTTCAAGTGCTATTTGCTTGAACAGAGGAATTCTACGCTATTAAAGGCTTTATGCACATGATAAAACCAAAAGTATGTTGCAACTCTCGTTTTCCTGGTGGATCATAGCTTTAGATCACATCACTTTGTTAATCATCATTTTGCAGTTTAGTCTGTCTTGTGCCCGCATAATAGTAGATACGAAATTAGCATTGCACCGCCTGGACCGCTACATTTGATATGGCTCTCCGTTCTCTTTCAAGTTGGGAATATTCGGCTTAACATTAACGCTGGCAGGCTTTCTGCGTTTGATCCTTAAAGATGAACCTTGCTCTCTTCATTTACCACAATAATACCTCTTGATATTGGGGCAATATTAATACATCATTTCATGTGCTCTGGGATTGCTTAGAACGCCTCGCGCCTGACACAATGGATGTCAAACAGCAACATTGAATGCACAGACTGTTAATCACGACTTTCCTCATTTACTAGGAGCGAACTAGAATTTAGAGAGAGGGCTGTATTGTAATACACTGTAGTCCATAAAGATCTTCCGTACCTCGTGCTCAAGCTCGTGGGCTAGCTCTTGTGGCTCGTTACCATCTTTCTTAGAAAACTTTCGAGAAATCACCACAATTAAGTCAAAGTTCGGGATCAGAGCACGCACGGCTATATACCGAGGCGCCCTAATTTGAAAGGACTTGAATCCTTTGGGAAAAGAAAGTATTTGAGCGGTGCACGAGAAAGACAAGACGGACTGCTGCCCCGTGACAAATGTAGTGAAGTGAATAGAAGGCATGATATTGACACACTTATACGCAAAACTTTTCAATTTCGAGAACGTGAATGTGTTTGAATTATTCCTTGGAGGTCATTCCTTCGAGGTTATCTTCTGACTTATCATCAACTTCATGGCTAAATGCAACCCGCTACGATGTTCCATGCCCATGGCTTCAAGGCCACCGACTCACAAAATACGGGGAGGATCGACTCGTCAAAGACGAGCCAAGATCAAAAGAACGCGGAATTCTTTGACGAATATGTTTTACAATGAGGCAGGTATTCTGATGCAGCACACCGAGCCTCTCGCCGCTCAAAATATCAGACTGAAAAAATGGGTATCAACGAATCTACTCCTTGGTGGCCTCACCAAAGATGGTCTCCATGATGATGCCCGTGATCTGATACGGGTCAGCATTACTCGCAGGACGACGATCCTCGAAGTAGCCAAAGCCCTTAGCGGCACATTCCCGGGGGATTCGGATGGAAGCGCCACGGTTGGCGACACCGTATGTGAACTTGTCCTGTAATGGTTGTTAGTGGAATATCCAATGAGCGCTTGACGTCACAGATGACACTTACAATGGCACCCGTCTCATGGTTGCCAGTCAGGCGGAGCTCGTTGCCTTCTCCATAGACGAGAATGTGCTCCTTGTGTCGGCCTTCGAGCTTCTTGATCGCAGACTCAATGTGCTTCATACCACCCTGCACCATTCAATTAGCAGTTGGTCAGTCGGAACCGACGGGGGACGCAAAACATACCTCCTCGCGCGTCGCCTTGTAGCTAACGTTGCTGTGCACTGAAGAATCGGGAGTCAGTACTGTGCTTTTCAAGTTCGCTTGCAGGGGTATTGGAGCAAGTGGAGATCATTCTGCACAACTTGCGATCCGGCGTATATGGACCCATTTTTGACAAATGTGGAGTGGAGTAGTAAATCTTGGAAGTTCTTACGGCCAGCACCGTTCCAATCACCAGGGATAGGCTTGGGGTCTAGGGAGACCTTGGCACCGAATTCTTCAGCGACACGATGGAGGAGGAAGCGAGCCATCCAGAGGTGATCGCCCATCTCAATTCCCTGAGAGTTGTTAACTGCTGCAACCAATCCGATCAAGCCAGGTGAGAATTTCTTACCTCGCAGGGACCAACTTGAAACTCCCACTGGGCGGGCATGACCTCCGCATTGGTACCTGAGATCTTGACACCGGTGTACAAGCAGGCCTTGTAGTGGGCCTCAACGATATCACGGCATACGACCTTGCCGGCGCCAACACCGCAGTAGTAGGGGCCCTGGGGAGCAGGGAAACCAGCGCTGAGTTTGTTGAGTTAGCAATTGCCCCTTTAAAATTGAAAGAACCACATACCGAGGCCAGCCGTAGGGGCGGTCCTCCATGTCGAAAAGAGTGTACTCCTGCTCCAGACCGAACCAGGGCTCGTGGGCGGCGTGGGTCTCCATCAGCTTGGCGCATTCGTGGCGGTGGTTGTACTTGTTGGGGGTGCCATCGGCGTTCCAGCACTCGCAAAGTACCAGGATGCCTCCCTCGAGACGGAAGGGATCGGGGAAGACAGCGACAGGTCGCAGGTAGACATCGGAGTTGTCGCCAGGCGCCTGGTCGGTGGAAGAACCGTCGAAGTTCCAGACTGGTAGATCTTCAGGCTTGAACTGTCCACCCTCGGGTACCTTGGTGATGGTCTAGACGAACGGACAAGTTAGCAGCCAATCATATTGAGTTCTATTTCTGCAAATATGGGACAAAAAAGGGCCAGGCGCATTGCGCTCTCGCGACTCGGCAATGCCGTGGCTAGGCCGCCACGCGTGACGGACCATGGCAGAGGCCAAGCCACGCAAGGCCGGTCTCGGACGTGGGGGTTCTTTCGCGTGGTAGGTTCGCGGACAATTAACCCCTAGTACGTATGACACGAAGGAATCAAGTAACAATGACCGCAGTCGTTCGACAGAGATAGTTAGGGGCGAGATTTTTACGTACTCGGCTCTTGGAACGGACTCCACCGACAGCGTCGATCCAGATGTACTCCGCCATGACGTTTCCCTTCTGGTCGAGCGTCATGTACTTCATCAACTGCCAGGGGATCGTGTCAGTAACATGATCGTGGAAAGGATGGTGCCTGGGCCAATGCAGTCTGCCGGCAATGGCTCAGGAACTGATTGCGTGCTCACGTTTTGCGTGTACGAGACATGTTGGTTGGAAGCCTGGAAGGAGAAAGAGAGATTCATTAGCAAATGATCTCGTCATGGCGAAGGGTGATTGGCTGACGAAAAGCCTAGGATGGGTGGGGTTGGAGTTGTGCAGTCCAAATTTGGATGAGGCGCTCACCATGGTTGCGGAATGCGATGCGAGGTCGATCTAGGGGTCGTTGGACGAGGATAAAAGAAAGGTGCGATCTGCACGAAGAATGGTTATGGAACGAAGAAAAGGTGTTGATCAATGTGGACGGCGGGATTGGAGGAGTTGCAAGAAAACAATCCAAGTGTCGCATGGGCGGGGCTGAGGCTTTTATGAGAGGACAGTCGCAAGTGACACACAGGGACTGAGCTAGCCGCGGGGTAGTTGAGGTTTTTAGTATTACTATGTAGTGGGGGCAGCCATCTAAAATGGACGGATTAGTTGCCCACAACACTAATAGGCCAGCCAGCCACAGGCAAGCCAAAGATAAGACACGGTCCTGACCAATGGCAGGTGATGAACTAGTCTGTAGACAAAGGCCTGGAAATCCAGTGACATGGTTCACTTGAACGAGGTCTCGTGAGAAACCACCAATAATGTGAGAGATGATTTGACGGAGCCGGTTTTACTGCAATGTACCTTGAAGAGTGGGATTTCAACACGAAATCTTGTGGGCTGAGTCCAAGAGGAAGTTACAAGTGGTACAGGTTTACGTGCCGTGACAGCGGTGTCAGATCATGGCTGGATCTAGTGCACACTGCCTCATCCTGTGGCTGAAAACTTCGTGTTCATGTCCAACGTTCATTCTCGTGCTTAGCCAGGAACTCAAAGGTGTAGGCGGCTTCAGGGCAAGGATCCTGTTGATGACTGTGTTTTCCCAGAGATTCAAGGTGTCCGAGATAGGAGATTTCAATAGGCTCCCGACAGCGATCCGTGCATGCGTATCCTGGTCCTTGATTGGATCTGGGTATCATTGTGCGGGGTTGATAGGGGTTGGTACGAGCGGTGAATGCTTTCGGCTGGGCTCTGCTTGGCCACCATTTGCCTCGGCCACACGGCCGGTAAGCATTTATTTCCAAGAATAACAAATTACTTCTAAAGTTTGCAGCATGAAGACTAACTAATTAATATATCCACAACAGAAGCGCTTGAAAACATGAGATGTTGCATGTGCTACCTCCTTGTTCTTACAACACCTATACTTAACTCATGACTCTGTGTAATAGATAAGCCTGAGCTATATCTTTTGCGGTCCAAGGTTGTCCGTTAAGCTGACTGAATTATAGGTCCTAAATCGCTTCATCCTGGCAGTTTCGATGACAGCTTTCCCAACATCAACGACCAGCCCTCAGGCCCTTGCCACCCCCATTCTCATCGATAATTGCTGCGGGGTCCCGACGGGGGCTTGCGTATACTGTTTCTCCCGCCTTATGCAAGGGGCGAAGAAAAATTCAGTTGGAATACTGACCGGTTACGGTTACCGCCTGAACTTGGGCAGCTCAACAATTTACCTACGTCTCCTAATATTTATAAATGTTGTGTTGGCATTGGTGCTGAAAACAATCCATGCCTGGTTGGTTCGTTTCTGGAAGCGGACTTTTACCAACAAATATGACCAACCCATGTGTTGTAACTTCAACCCGTCTATGAGCAACATTTCTTCGCTTATTCTGGAATGCTCGGTATGCAGGGGAACACAAAGAAAACCAAGCAGAAAGAACAGCAGGTGCATCTCGATTAGAACACTGACCGTCATGCTATTGCTGATCATCTGATTTTGGAGAGCATATGGACATGGCATGGTGAACAGGACAAAGCAAGTCCTATAAACAATGAAGCCTCATTCTAGCACTGAAAGGTAATATAATTTGAACCTGGATATTCTCAATGGTCAGAGATGTACGAAATGCAAAGAAATGAACCCTGAAGAAGGTTATGGGTGTTAGGATATCCGTCATATGCTGAGTGAAAATCCTGACAGGAGCACATGCACATGAGCATGGTGAGAATGGTCAGGCTTCACTGCAAGGGATACTATGCTGCATATGAACCACCCCATATTACGTCTTCTTTCCACCAAGACAGACACGTCAGACCAACAAGCACACTGTTTACACCCCTCAAAGGAGTCCACCAAGTTACTCATAGTCAATCAATTTGACAAGTAGTGAGATTTGGATTAGACTGGTCAATCCTTGCTGGTCCTCTCACCAGCACATGCATAAGATGCATCAACCACGACAAGTTTGCTTTGCAACCCCATAACCAGAACCGTAAGAGATTGCTTTTGTTCCCCTTTAGATGGATGCTGATCTTTCGACAAGTTCCTTTGATCGGCGCCGGAGTGGCGAGACTGGGGATTGTACGAAGAAGGGGGCAAGGATTCGGTGTTAATGCTCAGGTCTGGACACCTTTGGCATTGGGGATTGCCGTTCTTGCAAGGGAATAATCACCAGAATACATCAGAAGACGAGGACACTGGTTGTCTGAAGGACGAGTGGCGAAATTCGTTTAGTGGAAGAAAACCACAAGCCTGGAAGCTTGCTATGGGATCCTGGAAAGTCGACGATCAAGAAAAGACCAAAAAATTGAAGTATTACAAAGCTCAAAACCCTTAAATGACCTTCTTGGAGTACGTAACCGAGTTAATGACTTGTGGTGGAAAACGTCAAACTGTCGCAAGTGAAAGCGTGCTCAGGAGGCTTGTCCTTTCGCTCCAATGTGTATAAACAAGTCTGCCGGTTGAGACAGTTGTGGTAAAATAGTCTGAATTTCTTTGGTTTCAGACTTGAGAAGAACAAATTTGATTTGACATTTAGAGACTGCCAGGTATTCGTTGGAATCTCTCTGGCAGCAAACATACAACCGTTTAATTACCAACGTTCGACCTTCCACTAGAAAATGTGACATATTGCTCCCCTGATACTCCGGCAGGATAGGCCGGCGAAGAGGAAGCAGGCGTCGCAGCTACTCCGACCGGCAGGGTACACTATGGAGAAGGAGGCCCGGGGCTCCGAGTGGATGAGTGAGGAAAAGGAGGTCCCGGCTGCCCTCCTCGGCCACTGGAGGAAGAGATGGCTCACCGGAGCAGAGCATCACGATCGCCAGCGACGCGCTATCGCTGAGAAACCGGAGGGCCCTTCGGTGCAGATACCGAAAGGGGGCAAGTATTTCGGCCTGAACCGACTGGAGGCGTCTACGCTGTGCCAGATCAGGACGGAAAAAATAGGACTAGCAGCCTTCTTATTCAAGACAGGGGCTTTTGGCGTGTACTCGCCGCTATGCCGCTGTGGCGACGCCCCTGAGACGGCAGAGCACGCAATCCTCTTTTGCGGGCTGTTGGAAGGACCGAGGGAACGATTAAGGGCCGCTATCTCACCACGGCCATTATACTCTCGCAGAGACCTCGCAACGGCAACAGGAGAACCAGTAGTTAGTGGGACTATTGCAAGGTGGCTGCTAGGGACGGGTCGGACAGCTTCAAGGCCCAGATAGCATCGATCTTCTCAGGGGGGACTTTGTTGGTAGGTTGAGAACCAACGTAGTATGGTAGTGAACGCAACGCAGTCGCCAATAGGGCGAACCGACGACGCAGCGTATGTATTTAGTCCAGCCATTAGGGCACGGTTTGACATACGGGAGTACTGGTAGAAGTACCGGGGGCTTCGAGCCTACGGCGTATTTAATAATAATAATAATATTGCTCCCCAAAAAATGAAGTTAAGCAGCAAGTCACCTTCTGTAGTGAAATCTCTATCGCACAAGCGCTTCTGGGTGGCGAAGTCCACCTAAACATGGCAGCTGATACTAAAAAGAACCTGCGACCCACAACTGAATCACATCATGTTGACATTCACTACAGATTCCCGCTGGCCGACAATGATCTTGTGCGACGCGGACCCAAGCAGAGCAAAAGCGCCCAGCCTGATGATTAGAACCGGTAGAGGTCATTACAAAGAACAAAAGTCTAACGTGATCCACAAGTCATTTTCGCACACAAGTCACTTTCGCACTTTTCTTGGCACCTTCAAGTAATTCAGTAATATCCTATGCATAACCCGCATTTTATCCTTTAAATTACTCAAAATCTTCTTCATTATCAGTTTCTACTTCTATTGAACAAGTCCTTGCATTATGTCCAGTCCCTCCGCAAATACCACAGCGCCTTATACCGGTCTGCCGGCGCTTTACAGGACGACTGCTTTCCCCTTCTTCCTCCTCCATAACCTTGATATCACCCCTCAAGGCCCGTAAAACTTGTGCATCACCTATACTAAGTGCTCCTCCATATTGGATTTGCTTATTTTTCGTCCTACGACGCTTACTTAGTATATGGTTCGTCTCACGAAGCTCTTCGTTCTCCCGACGTAATAATGCATTCTCATGCATCATTGCATGCGTAGCCTTCGTAGTCGAGTTAATTGAGTTCAAAATATGCGTCGGCGAGCTGTCTTGATGCCTCTGGACGCTACTTTTAATCAAAGTTGACTGCGATTCGGCTTCGAGGGTGTTGGTAGGCGTCTTAGAAACCCAGACGGAGGGAGGCAATTGGGGGTCGAGTGTCGGTGTTCGTACTACTTTTGCGATATCCAACGTAGATATGACCCTATCCGGGTTAAAAGGAACAAGTCCAGCTGCTTCGAATCCTGATCTGATGTTTTTTTTTGTGAAAAGCACCAATGAAAGCTTCTAAAAATCCAGCTAAGAAATCCTGCTTCTCAATATGGGTTTGATGCCTTCGCATTAAACCCTCCACGAACGCACCGTACAGCCGTTTCAACACACTAAAAGGTACCAAATACAAAGGCTGGAGCTTGTGGGATGAATGGGAAGGCATACACAATGTAATTACGCCGTGCGCCGCGAGGTAAGTCTCAAAATCCATCGAGTGGTGGCTCTCGTGACCATCCAATATTAAGAGACTTTTCGCACCCTTACGACGGCTAATAATATGTTGAACAAAGTGTTTTGCCCATTCCACACCAATATTATTAGTAGTACAACCGTTATGGGAAAGGTCGACCTTCCAGTTGGCCGGTAGGTCGTTACCGCGATACCACGAAGCAAGATGAACCTTGCCCGCGAAGATGATGTACGGCGGTACCGCCCAACCTTGCGAATTAATAGCCTGGATCACCGTAACCCATTCCCGACCTCCTTGTGTAGCCTGTCTAGGCCGTCTGTGTCTTTCTGCACTCGTTACAACCATACCGGTTGTGATTATGCCCATTAGGAAGCCCGTCTCGTCAAAGTTGTAGATATCCTCCGGTAGGATACCGTATTTAGCGATTGTGTCCCTAACAAGCTCAAACCACGCGTAATACGCGATAGGATCTTCGCTAAATACCCTCTGGTAATCAATTCGACGGTTTAAACGCGTTCGGAGGTCTTGTCGGCGGTTAACGAAGTTCGTGGTCCAGTTCTTGCCGACGGGGGGCGCGTCGCGTATGCGTCGTAGGATATTCGCCATTTCTTCAACGTATCGAAGCCGAGGAGGAAATGCTCGCGCATCTAGCTCAATTATACGTCGGGCAATCGTATCCTCTTCGGTTTGAGTTAGATTTCGTTTTAACATATTAGCTTCGTGTCGCGTTTGGTCGCCGTCGAATCGATTCTTTAGTGTACGGTCGCAAACGTTGTAGATACGGCCAAGCTTAAGGGACATGGGTATTACAGACCCTGCTCCTAACGCCATGGCCTATCTCTTAGGTCGTCATGTTTGGTACGAAATTGCACATCGTGTCTTAATGAGTGCTGTCGTAAAGAGTTCGAGTCGCTTTGTGAATTCGTACCAAGCCACCCAAACTATCTCGCCTCTGAGTTGCGTATCTATGATTTAAAGGGGCCTCTCCTTTCTTCTCTCACAATGAGGGAAAAATCCAAGCGCCCTTGAGTACTGACCAAAGGTTTCCATCTGTCTTTAGCCGAGCGATTCATCTGTACCTTCATCTATCCAGGATCAAGCCAAGCTGATCTGGCCCCTCTTATTCAAAGAGCGGTGCTTATACCAGAGACCCAAAGCCACAAATATCTGAATCAGTGCCAGCCCATACTCAGCAATCACCACCATCCACCAAATATTCAACATCCACCTCTCCACATGATAGTACCCCTCCAAACAACTCCGACACTCCACGGTCTTATCCCTCGCCAAAATCATAAACACTAAAACCAGCGTGGCCAGCACGACATCCAGCACGGCGCCAACCACGCTCCCTGTCAGAGGCGCCCACACCCCATCATCATCGTTACTATCCGCGTCGCCATACGACAAGATCTTGCGCCCGCGCACATTGACGCTAACGGGGAAGGGCAGCTGACCAGCGAGACGCTGCATGTGTGGATGCAGCGTGACGACAGCGACGCAGATGATGTTCCAAACGACGGCGACCCACGACACGATGAAGGCGGCGCGGACTTGCCAGAAGTTGAACATGGTGCCGATGTAGGTGTGACCGTTGAGGAGGGCGAAGATGCCAAAGAAGACGAGGATGCTGCGGAGGGTGGCGACCAGTTGGAATCGGGGGGCTAGTTCTGACGGCATTTTGGATGAGTCGTTGTTTTGTGAGCTCCTGGGTGGTTAAAGGTTCCGTGTACTCGCTGACTGAGCTGTCCTGACTTGATATGCGTGGAGATCTTGATATCCTGTTTGAGGGCCAAGTTGAAAAGACAAACAGTGAAACGAACGGTGAAAAGAACGAAGTTTGACGTGTTGCCGTTCTTGTAGCACCTTCCCCGCCTGCTGTTGGCGAATGACGTTCAGTGGCGGACTACAACCCTGTTCAAGACTGCCTAGAAATACCAGAATCTCCGCCTGCAGGGATTAAATCGCTTGATTCTTACCAAAGTGCATTCTGTACACTTAGACTCTGTGGCCAATGCCATTATGGTTTGGAGCCCAATAGTTTCTTCTTCTTAATGTTTCAAAAACCTGTGGATACGCGCCATATCTTTAGACGTCGTGCCTTTCCGCCAAATTGCACGATTGAGCGTCAGAAACAACCCCATTTTGATCCCGTTACCGGAATGACAAAAGTGACAAGTTTTAGGTGCTTAAGGTTGTTTCAGACTTTAAATCAATGTCCAACTCAACAATTCTAGAAAAGGTTGGCGTGATTGGAGTCTCGCGGTTTCAGTACATGTGCTGTGGCTGGTCATCGTGGGTGACCCTGAGAACGATCATTGAATATGGTCACTGGATTATTGATACAGAGGCTGGATGTTGTTAAGTTGATTTCATCGTACGAAAGGCCTGGTGCAATTTTAGGACTGTTCGTATATAAGTGGACTAGAATCCAATGTCAGAATGCTGTTCATACAATCTGGGTGGTTGCTTAGGTACCATTAGGTACTGGGAGCGGGTCACGCATTCAAACAAGTAACATGTCTATTGCAAACTTAACCATCATTATGCTCCCGAGATCATGATAAAAGACATTGTAGACAAGGGTCGGACCAACCTCACCATCCCCACCATCCCCCCTTGGTTGATTGATGATCAAATTAGTAAGCAAAACGCTGGTGATGTTGACCAACCAGAGATCCTGGTGAGGTTAGTGAATTTTTAGATGGATTTACTGCTAAGAGATGAAGCTATCGTCAACCTCGCCGGCGCGGTCCCCCGGGAACATGCTGGCGGGGCGTTGGGTATAGCCTCCTATAGCCTTGTCCGGTTCATCCAGTGAGTCATTTTCTAGCTCTCTCACCGTTAGAGCCCTAAGAAGAGTATTTAGCTGGCTTATTTCGTCGGCTCTGTACCAAATTTGCAGTGTCTGGCACACGCCTATGATAACGGCGTCAAGGCTTAGCCACTGTGAAGTGATTATTCTGCCGGCAGATGAAAAAACCGCTCAATTTATATCTTTCTGGATATCATGGTCATAGGCCCACGCCCATGATGAGACCGCCTTACCGCGTTCGGACAAAGTGAAGCCACGGAAACACTGGAAAAGGTGTTCTCGAGCCTCCGGGAGTACCGGAGTGACCTCAGCCGAGGCCTAGCGAGATGGCGATACTGCCAGAGTCGGCGTTTTAGGGGCAATGAGACCCTCCATAGCATAAGGGCGGCTTGAGAGTCAGAGGAATACCAAGATACCAGCCAAGTTTCAAAGAGCCAGATATTTTGCAGAGATTTGCAAGCTAACAAGTCTTACAGGGAGTCCCACAGGGCTGTCAGGGACCTCAAGCACGGTCAAAATAGCTCTGTAAGCCTTAGAAACTATAAGCCAAGTCGCCTAACCAGAGTTTCCGGTAAGGTTAGTATTAGCAAGCAAAGTCCGGAGAATAGTGAGCGTATAAGGGTCGGCTCAACCCAACCAACCATACCAGCACCCCCTGGTGGGTTTAGAGGCATATTATGAAGCAAAATGGCTGGTAGTTTAAGACCTAAAGCTGCTGGGCTTGGGTGCGCACTGATTGACACTAACTAATACTAGTTGATATTAAGCGTACAAAATGAGGCTGCCGACGAGCTCGTTGTCGCCCTCAAGCCCACCGCTAACGCTAGCAGCCTGACCAACATCCTCAGTAGGGTCCTTCAGCCAAGCCGTCGCTTCTATAGCGGTAAGGACCTCACAAAGTTGTTCCCCCTCGCAGATAGATACGAATAGAGGGTTAAGCTGATTGATTAAGGCGGCTGTATACTATATTCGAAGTGTCTAGAACATACTCACGATCTCTACGTGAAGACCAGTACGATAGGCTATGACCATCCTACTAGTGGATGAGAATAACTTCTCGCACTCAGCCAACATAAACTAGATCGTGAGAAATCCAGCGTACTAACGAGAGCCAAAGGTAACATAAACGCCGTTCATAATAGTATATAAGAGCGATTTTTGGTATTCTTTTCATGTTTATAATCGCCCTGAACAATATATTCATCCTTAGCAACCTTACACTTTTATTAAGTACTTGAATGGTGGCGACATCGTTCAGTAGTATCGAATAGGTTCAAGAGCTGACGTCTATTCGCCAGCGGAGAAATAGCTTTGACGTGAATACATACGCAATCGCGCTCCCAGACTTCCTTAACTAATTAATTTACACCTTAAATCCATTCAGGCCGATCCTCCAATACTGCTTCAAACCAGACCTAGCTGTAGCCAGCGTGATGGGTTAGCGCGATGTAGTAAATCGGTATATCATGGAGCTGTAGAAAACCAAGTAGTTACGGAAAAAACAAAATATTAGCTTATTCAACTTAACAGCCCCTTTAACAGCCTCTCTAGTAGCCGATTCGACGGAAAGGAAAGTACTTACTGTTATAGTATTTCCTAGCTTTTCTCAGACTAAATACCGATTCTAAACTGTTCAGGATTAGGAAAATGCGCTACTTAACGCTTATAATATTCAAGTACAGCCATGAACTTCTCGAAGGCCAGAATAACATTCCAGATGTTACCATAGAGACAATAGATCCATCTCGGCACTTAAAAATCTGGCCACCCCATTTAAGGGCCCGTATAATTATTTCAAAGTATATAAGGATGTCTTTAAGCTAAATAACGGCCTGCTAGTCGTTTTATATCAACTAAGTATTATATCGGAAGATTCTACGTATATTCATACCTGCCTGAACGGCAACGATACGTATTCCTACTTTTACTAATGGATAGCCACCTAAAGGTACTGTTTTAAGCGGATCGTTTTTCTAATTATATACAACTACGATAGCTATCGCGTATCGTTATCTAGAATTGGCTAGACTAGCCGTCGAAACCGGTTAGCGAGGATCGAGCTCTGGAATAGGTGCTCGACAGCCTCAGGACAGGCCGGAGTAGCCGGGGGGAGAGCCCAATTTTGCTCCATAAAAATAGGGTAATGTTACAGGACCGACAGGATGACAGCGAGAGATAAAACTACCACTCAATTATAAATTTTAAGCGTACGTGCCCACGCCTCAATGTCGTACACTGGGCGTCACAACTTAGCCTAATGTTCTACGGAATGGTTCTCGACCCGGGAGACCACGAAGAGCACACCTGTCACCGATAACGGACATAACCTTCAATATGAGAAGAGTGCTATCTTGCTATGGTGTTACCGTGATACGTATTCGAAAGATAGAAAAGCCCCCGTTCCAATATTACAGCTTGCGGTCAGGTTCACAACTCCCTCCCTATTTGAGGGAATCTTGGGTTCGAAGATAAGTAAAGATGAAAATGCGGAAATCAATCCATTTTAATACTTGAGCTATCATACACATTTGGGAAGTGTGGAGCTTTACAAGTCATTGTTCCCAAGCGTCTGGGAGACCCCGGTTGCCGAGAGATCAACGCTATAGCTGTACTTGCGGGATTTCCTTGGTCACCTCAAACAACATATTTGCGGCGAAATAGTACAGAGCTGATAACGACTAGCGGCTGTGTGGCGGCCGGAGTAGTAGGAGGCGAACTATGGGGGTATTTCGCTGAAGAAGTGCATGAGATGAAACGTTGATTTGGTGACGTGCCCTGGAAGCGAGCGTCTGTTCCGAAAGCGGTCAACCAGGCTTCGCATTACCTCTTTGAGCGAGGCTACCTAGAGTCATATGAGAACACCACCATAAATCCTGGTCTGATCCCACTGATAGTATCGTTTGGTCTAGAATTCCATACCCTGGAGCGTCTTTCGCCTTTGCTGAATGACGTTACTAGTGAGGTGATGGGCAAGACGCGTCAGTGGCCAGCTTCAGTAGAATCGTTGATGATTGCTGTCTTGCTGGCTGCATTCATATCAATAGGATATACACCGCTTGTCCAGGTAATATAGGAGAAAGGTATTAATATGCACCAGGAAAGAGGGAAATAGTCAATAACGGAAAAAGGTGCCGATCCAAACTTGTTATGGACGAAAAGTTGAGATCATATTTTGAGATACTTTTCGACCATAAAAGCCGGAATCTCATCAAAGATCTGGATTCCAACAACGAAAACTTCAGATTGATCTACCAGATGGCTGTATATAACTTATTATGGCAGGTTGAAAAGCTTATTGAACATGAGGGAAACATCACAATAGGGCCTCCGGTCTTTCTTTACTGTCATTCTTTGCTGCCATTGCAGTTTGCAATTACCGCTGGAAAGACTGAAGCCATCGACCTCCTGCTTAAGTACTTGAAGGGAAGCGAGTTAATCGGTAATCACCTGAGTTTGGCATGAAGACATATCTTACATCTTCTCACTGTGCTGGAACCAAGCTGGGAGATCGGCTTCTGAGATCTGGGTCGTCCAGTACCTCAAGCGATATTTTAAGGTGATTGATACGAAACGGTAGTGGGAACCACTGGTTAGGTGAATCCCATTTAATTAGATACTATAACGTTGCGCACTGCTGCATCATAGCATCTCCCCCCCTAGGTGCACGCATCAGTGATGTTTGCCAACGAAAACACAAAATCCCAGTCCAAGGGTCGGAACAACCTCACCATGCCAACTTGGTGAGCTAGGGTTAGCGTGTATATACATCAATATCCTCACCATTCTCCGGACTTGAGTTGCTAATGCTAACCTCACCGGAGGCCCTGGTTAGGCAACCTGGTTAGTTTATAGTTAATCAGGCTTATACAGATATTCTAGCTGCACTAGGGGTCCCTACTAGCCCTATAGTACTTTAAAACCTTCGCTACCCTTAGGTATACTGACGTGGGGTTAGGGTTTTTGGGTGCTCGTTTTCGTTTTTTTTGGGATATTCAGACGAGTTATGTAAGCACGTTCTTGACAGGTATTTAAGACCTTATGTACATAGTCACTCTCTTGAGAAGAAGATAAGAATTCAAGCGGCCTTTTCCACAGTAATCTGAACCAATTTCTCTTTACTTGGACAGGCATTCAATGTCTGACGTACCTGTTGAGGTACTTTTGTTGCCCCTATAGATCTGATTGTGCCTGCTGAGGCCATTGTTCCCACCTTTCACCTGTTGAGGCTCCTTTTCTTCTCTAGCCTGCTGAGGCTCCAGTTGTTAGTACCTGTTGAGGTACTTGTCGTTCCGATCAGGGCAAAGAGCTCTTGATCTTGTTAATTCTTTCCACCTCCCGGATAGTAAGGTCTTGTTGAGGATCTTGTTGTCCGTTGCTTTACCTTCTCCGAATGCGGTAAGGCCATCTTATCGTGGGCGTAGGCCTATAATTATAATATCTAGAAGGACAATAAGCGTAGGTGAGTGTGTAAACGCTGTGTTAATAATCGAGACCCCTAGCTTAGCTACTTCGCCGTTTACTAAGAAGCCGCTGTAACCCCACCCTAAAGCTAACATCTAATACCGAGTCGACGGTGATAAATATACTACTTCGAGTGCTAGTAACTATAAGAGAGGTACGGATATACGTGACCCTAATAGCTACTAGTATGAACGCCGGTTAAAGTACCCACGGCTTTCGTCATAGCACTTGATTTCCTTATGATATAGGCTATATGTAAGGTGACAGCAAGCCTAGACTATCACGTCATATAGACCAAAAGATCTAGGAATTCTGTCACTTAGTGACAGAATTGAGGCTTAACCCTGCTTATAGCTCTGTATTCCCTTACAATTATACTCCCCTCTAGAGCTACTCGTCCCGAGTAGATAAAGTAGGTAACTCTAAGGGCGAGCAAGCTCGAGAAGACCCCCAGGGATACACCCTGTGAGCAGAAACGTAAGGCCAATTCTAACTTGTTATACAGCCCGCTACACGGGTATCGCATGACCGGCGACTTTGCTCAGAGGCACATTAGGCATGTTCAGAGGTCCCGGCCTCGGAAACTTGCTCAGAGGCACAATTTTAGGCATGTCAGAGGTTCCGGTATCGGGCGGACCCCCGCAGGCGATCCGCGACACTTGGCTCCATTAGCGAATGAAAAGCCAGAACACAGGCTAGAATCGAACCCAGACCACCCACTAAGTGACAGAATTGAGGCTTAACCCTGCTTATAGCTCTGTATTCCCTTACACTATATCAGCTGAATATAAGCGTTTGTTTTCAACTGCCGGTAGAATATTTACTTTATAGCGGCTAAGCCCTGACGCTAGTATCATAGGTATGTACTAGATACTATGAAGTTGGTATAGAGCCGGCTAAATAGGCTAGCTGGATATTCTGCTTTGCGCTCTAACGGCTGATGCGGCTATAGAAAATAACTAGCTGGATAACCCGAACGAGGCTATAGCGGAGGTATTGGACCAAATTGACCGTCAAAAGACGAGGGACCCCACTCGTTGTAGAATGAGGTATTTTTGGTAGTTATAAGGTCTGACACACCCCCTCAGCTTGGAGAGATATCGTCAAGTTGTAGTAGCATCTGGCTTATGTCGTTGGTTGGCCTTGTTGGCCGTCGTACATCTTTTCATCTACGGTGTCTGCAGGGTCTTGAACATCTTTTTAATTGTCCGCCCCTCTACCTTGAGCATGAATTCTGTAATAAAACTCTTATTTTTTGACGCGGTTTGGCTACGTCTCGAACCATTGCCGATGATCTTATGCGGAATTGGAGGACTGATAATACCCGAGAAAATCTTGCAGTCTTAAGACGCAAACCCGGACTCATAACTGTTGGACCAAATTGACCGTCAAAAGATGAGGGACCCACTCGTTGTAGAATGAGATATTTTTGGTAGTTATAAGGTCTGACAGGAGGCTATAGCTAACTCCGCCAGTATGTTCCTAGGGGACGGCGCCGGCGAGGTTAGTGATAGTTTTATTTCTTAGCAGTAAATCTAACTAAAAAGTCACTAACCAACCAGGGGGAGATGGTGAGGTTGGTGAGGTTGGTCCGACCCTTGGCCCAGTGTCTCATTAGTACAGGGGCAGATTAGAAGGCCCTTGTGGCCACCTTCACTCTTTTGTCTTAAGAAAGGACCAATGCTTTATTATAGCTTTCATAAGTCTGATACGACACCGGTTGCCAACCCATAAATGGGTGATTGCAACAGAATGGAAGCAATCCATTTGGCAATGTGCTTCACCAAATTTCCTGCTCTCATCATCCACTTGGGCGCAACCACCACATTTGGATTTGTTCAACCCCTGCTCATTGAAGCACCCAAGTGGGTCGGTTTCGCAGAATATTGCACTTCGTACATGTAGAGCCTCGTTCTGACTGTCTCAAATTTTGTCTGCATCTCGATACGCATTTCCAGGATTTCGGCCACAAACCGCCCCCAACCGCCAATATCACCAGCGGGGAACCTGCTGTGTAATACAACATAAATCCTCCGGACTACTATTGGCTAGCTCAAATCCTCCACACCCTCAAGGTAAGCAATTCACATCATTTCCAACCCATACGTTTCCACGCAGTTCTTTGCAGCTGAAAACTCATATCAGCTAAAGTGCAGCACAAAGCCAAAGCACAAGGATGACGGCGAAACGGTAACATCGTCATTCCCCATTGGGTCAAGTGAAGCAGCCACTGAGCCAGCTCCCAGGGATGCGGTTAGCTACTTCAATGCTCTTCGCCCCCGCAGCTGAATGAGTCTTATTGGGAACTTGTTACAACATGGACACTCCCCATCTGCAGATATCCGCAGCCCTTTATGCCTTCTTTGTATTCCCACTCTCAGGTATGCGCTCATGAGTCTCAAACTGTCTTCCTGAAGCTGCCCAAGTACCACTTGACATTTACACCTCCGATATGGAGCAACACACCACCTGCCTAAGTGCCGAGCCACACAACAGTAACGTCAAGGAACACCTACTCCATTTTCTCGGCTGTATCGAATTTTGGGACAGGTCGGCTTTCATGAACGATGACGACCACCCTCTGTGGGAGGGTGAAAGACAGCACCTGGAGAGTATGGGCAAAACTGCTGCCGAGGCAAAAGCCCTGAGCAAAGCCAAGCGCGAGCTGTGGAAGGGCAACTGTAGAAGCGAGTTGCGCCGCATCGATTTCCTCAGGGAGAAGATCAAGGAAGATAAAGAGGACTACCACCTTGTGCAAAAGGTCGAGGAAAGTCGCATTGCTTGGAGAAACTCTGACGAATATCAAAACAATCATAAAGATGTCCAAAGGTGGCGGGATAATAACGACAAAAAGAACGGGCATCCTCCCGCTTATTATGACCCCGCTGTTGATATTTCCAAGACGACTTACGTTCCCGAAAAGGATGTAAGTGTTCCATTCATTCAATTTGAAAACGGCCAGCCAAAGGAAGAGGACGAAGATAAAAGCGTACCGGTATGGGGCAGTTTTCCAGATCAGAAAACGAATCTCGCGAGTCTTCTAGACCCGGAAAAGCATGAGAAAAGCCTCCTATCCAAGGACAAAAATCCAGATCGGATCAAGTACTTCCACCTCCCATCAAATAATATGAAAGTAAGTAATTCCTGTCCATCGCACTGCTTGCATCGTATACTCACAATTGCGTCTATAGTGGGCAGAGGTAAGATGGATGCGTTTGCGTAGGTATGGTATTGTGATCACGGCACTGATCATTGTAGGAAGCGGTTGCTCGTTACTTCAACCAAGATCGTCCCGACTTCCATGCGATTCGACGCGACATACAGAAATATGAGAAAACAGAAACTGCGTTGGTTCTAAAAGAGTCCCATTGGCGCGGCCAACTCCATGGCGAACGAGTGACGGTGAGCTCACGGTTCATGCGGCCATTTTGCGAAAGGGTCTCGTCAAGTTTGTATAATCCAGGCCCCATTGTTGTCCCCCTTACTGACCATGCGCAAGATGTTCATGAGGTCGACCACGTGCCACGGAATGTGGTATTGTTCGCAAGTACCTCCCTTTTTTTTGGCAGTTTGCATAATGGCTAACTTGAATGTAGATGCCATATCTGCATTGGGAGACCTCGCGAAATCGTGAGAGATTCTCTCAGCAGATCGAAGAAATCGTCTTCAATGACAGAAAAGCAAAGAGGAAGAAGGAGAAATTAGCAAGAGATGCACGAAAGAAAGCAAGGGCTGGCCTGACGAAACGAACGTTTCCACCACTTGAAGCTGAAAAAAAGGAGCCTTCATTCGTCAGACGTGTTGCCAAATACACAAAGGAGAATAACAAGCTGAGTGGCAACGAGTCATCAAGTGAGACAGAAAGCGGCACGGCCAACGAGGATGATTCAGAAACCGACGAGAAACAACGAGCTCCAACTCAACGTAGATTCCGTTCAACAGAGCGAATCTTGACAATGGGAACTCTGCTAAAGAAGCTTAAACTACCCCCAAGCCCTCTGAACGTTGACAATAAGCGACGCGTCGAAGCAAAGAGCGATCTTGGACAGTATCTTATCGATGCGGCACGGCTTTTCGAAGGAATGAGCCATTTTCGTGACAAGAAGCTTCTGCAATTTATTGTCACTGATCCTCCTATGCACCCGCGGAGGACACTTGACCAAGCGTACTACTGGACGCTGAATACCACGCGATCACGGGATCGAGACCAGGTAGTCTATCGAGCAACAACAGCACATGCTGCCGATTTTCACAGATGGGATCCAAAGAAAGGCTGGGAGGATCATAAATCTAATGCCCAGCGACCTTGCGATGGATGCACTGAGAGTATCAAGAAGGTATCCCGAGTTGTCATGGTCGACCAACTGTGGATGTGGATACTGGATGCTAGGACGATCATAACCTGCTTTCCAAAACGCTACGGATCTAACAAGAACGACTCTTCGGGCGTTCATAAGTCAGTGCGGCGCCGCATAGCTGAGGGTAGACATAAGCAAGTGAAATCCGTCTTCGACTTGGCCCTGATTATCCTCGAGGAGTGCTCGAATACTTTCTTTGACCGAACGAGAACTTCGGACAAGCAACCACAGGTCCTAGATGCATTCTCTGAAGCCATTGGGAACGTTGTGAGAATGTTTATCCCACAAAACCCTGGAAAGATAACTAATTGCGATCAAATGTAGATGCACAAGCAAACTATGGCCTTTGAACGCCTTTGGAGATGGACGGACGAGATCCGAAAGCATTATCGCTCACAGTCTCGTGGGTTTACGTCGGAGATCCAGTTGCCCTTGCTTGATATCAGTCCAGAGGGTGAACTCGAGAAAGAGATCAAAGACATCCTGGAAGAACTGGGTATCATGATTTACATCAACAAGACCCACCGTCATGTGGTGAAGCAGTTCATCACCAACGTTGATCATATCCTCGATCCTGCTGGCGAGTTGGGAGCCAAGCCAGGCCAGGCCGTAGACTTACGCAAAATGCTTGTCCGTGGGAGCTCATCTGCCAACGTGTCTTTATCGAAGCCCCAGTCGCCCGTGAGTGAGAAGGATGTCTCTGACAAGGATACATATCACTGGTTTAAAGTCAACGCAGACGAGTTGATGAACAGGATTAACGACCGCGTCGAGCAACTGGAAGAACTGGAACGAAGCGCAGAGATTACAGCGGAAAGTGTGAGTTTGTCCCATTATGCGATGTGTTAAATAATCATTTGTGTGACACACATGACAGGTAAAAGATTTGTTGGGGCTGAAACAGCAACAAGCTGGTGTCGTCCAAGCCTGGCAATCTGGAAAACAGAGCGACGAAGCAATCAAGCAAGGAAGATCTGTGATGATATTTACTATTGTGAGTAACAACTGGGTTCCATGGGGACCGACTTATTTCGAATCTTTATTTCTTTCGCTGTTGATCCCCGAGGGCCGTAAAACAGACGAACTCTCCTGGAAGAAGTCATGCTAACACAGAAGTCTCGCAGGTTACAATCGTCTTCGTGAGTATAATATTATATTATTTTTTCTTTCACTTTTCCGTTCTTCTAACGTTCATGTAGCTTCCATTGTCGTTCATGTCCAGTATCTTCGGTATGAATTCCATCGACTTTTCTCCAGAGGGGAATACAATGACTCTGCGAGAACAATTCAAGTACATGTGTAAGTACCATTTCTCGGTTCTAATACTGCTTCAGGTTTAATTGATGTGTTCTAGTCGCCGTCTCCGCCGGGGTTATCGTCGTCACTCTCGTGATGTCTCTCAGCAGTTGGGCTCGTGCCATATCATGGTACACTTACAAACGAGCAGTCACGTCTTTATGTGTCCACACTGGCCTGTACAAGAAGTCTCTTGATTTCAAAATACCGAGTCATGAGTTGTATACGCAGGCTATCGAGGCCACGGACAAACTGAAAAACAAGGAGATAGAGACTCGACTGAGAGAACGACGGCGCCGGCGCCGGCAGGAGGAGAAGGAAGCGCTGAAAAACAAATCTGAACTCAGCCAGGCGCAATCCAATGACATCATCGAAGGGGTTATTCAGTCCAGAAAGCGGTGGGGAAGAAAGTCTGCCACAGGCGATCCTGATGTCGAATCGGGCCGTACGGAAAGTAACGAATAATATTGCGTATTTCCACATATCACAATGCATTTCTTGTTTATTTCTCGCCATCAGCTCCGTGGCCGGGACAGAATAAAGCCAACCAAAGTAACTGGTTCTCCCAGTCGATGCTCCTGTGTATCCGGCTCCGTCCACTCGATAAACTTGACAAATCCCAACTTCTCTAACACCTTCTGACTCGCCACATTATCGATTTCCGTATTAGCATACACCTTCTCCGTCACCATATTCCCAGCCCCTATCTCAGCTCCAGCCTTAGTCACTTTGCCATCCATAGTTAACACATAGACATCAACCTCCGTTCCCTGCCTATTCAATCCCCACCATGCCCCCAAAACCGCCCCCAAAAACTCCGTCGCGTACCCTCGTCCCCAGTACTCCTTCATAAACTTATACCCAACCTCCGGCCACCCGGCCATCTCTGAGTTCAGCGTATGCATACCTCCCTCGCCGATCAGCTCACCCGTTGATAGTAAGAAGGCGCCGAATAAGAAGTGCCCAGCGAAGGAATTGGTGAAGAAAGCGAGCGTCTTTTGGGTTTCGGACAAAGAGCGGTCCGGGCGTCCGAGGCAGGTGCCTGTCATGGCTTCGGGCTGGGTTCGGAGGGTGTGAAGGGCTCAGAGATCGGAGGGTTGCAGGGGGCGGATTAGGAGGCGGGGGGTGGTGGTCTGGGCACGGGAGGGGGGAGCGGCGGGCAGAGTTGTGTGGATCTTAATTTTGGTGTTTGGGGTGAGAGGTGTCATATTGGTTTCGGAGATGTGATTTTCGGGTTTGATATAGGCAGGTGTAGTGTCTGGTTCAGTAATAAGGTGTTGGGTATCGGAAATTTGATGCTTGAATATTTATAAGCTTAGAGAACACGCTTAGAGAACACGGTACATGACTCATGCGGCCAACCGACAGCGTGTTAGTCACGTTGCATTGTGGCTGTCATTTTTGCGACTTGAAGTCAAGTAATACGCGTTGTATTACTATTTGTGTCCCAGATACTGACTTACGGGGTACAAGGGAAAGACTGTTATACCATCGACCATTTTCTCCGTTCTGCCCCTAACCCAGTTAAGGATTTAAAACACTCTAATACCCTATGAACTTCAACTATTACCTGTTGGACCCGACAAATAGGTCCACATCGTACTATCCTGATGGGTTAACTTCATGACTTTGCACGTTAAAGGCCTGTAACTCTCCTAAAAATAACATAGTCCGGTATGGGGTGATATAGTAAACTGAAGACGACTAACAGAGATAAGCGCTACATCTGCCTATAAACTCGCCGGGAGTCTATGGTTAGCTACAGTATAATAATAAAGGCACGCGGAATTTATATTAGCCCTTAAACCGTTCAAGGATCTTCAACTGCTATAACTTTAATAAATGTGAAACCGAATCTATATTATGAAAGGAGGACGTTAAGTAGATATTTAAACGCATAAAGATTATTATTATTATTAAATACGCCGTAGGCTCGAAGCCCCCGGTACCTCTACTAGTACTCCCGTATGTCAAACCGTGCCCTAATGGCTGGACTAAATACATACGCTGCGTCGTCGGTTCGCCCTATTGGCGACTGCGTTGCGTTCACTACCATACTACGTTGGTTCTCAACCTACCAACAAAGTCCCCCCTGAGAAGATCGATGCTATCTGGGCCTTGAAGCTGTCCGACCCGTCCCTAGCAGCCACCTTGCAATAGTCCCACTAACTACTGGTTCTCCTGTTGCCGTTGCGAGGTCTCTGCGAGAGTATAATGGCCGTGGTGAGATAGCGGCCCTTAATCGTTCCCTCGGTCCTTCCAACAGCCCGCAAAAGAGGATTGCGTGCTCTGCCGTCTCAGGGGCATCGCCACAGCGGCATAGCGGCGAGTACACGCCAAAAGCCCCTGTCTTGAATAAGAAGGCTGCTAGTCCTATTTTTTCCGTCCTGATCTGGCACAGCGTAGACGCCTCCAGTCGGTTCAGGCCGAAATACTTGCCCCCTTTCGGTATCTGCATCGAAGGGCCCTCCGGTTCCTCAGCGATAGCGCGTCGCTGGCGATCGTGATGCTCTGCTCCGGTGAGCCATCTCTTCCTCCAGTGGTCGAGGAGGGCAGCCGGGACCTCCTTTTCCTCACTCATCCACTCGGAGCCCCGGGCCTCCTTCTCCATAGTGTACCCTGCCGGTCGGAGTAGCTGCGACGCCTGCTTCCTCTTCGCCGGCCTATCCTGCCGGAGTATATGTGACGCTTTAGCGCTCGCGCTGCGAAGCAGATTTCTCTTCCCGCTAAGCCGTAGCCGTTCTTCAAACTTAGCAGCCCGGGCACTAAGATAGAGGTCTAGTGGCGGGATTGCTGCTTCTGCTTCCAGGTGGCGAACCGGCGTCGCTTTGTGGGCACCACAGACTACCCGGAGGCACTCGTTCTGTATCCCCATCAGGCTCTTAGCTGGCCCTGCCGGTTCCTCACTTATAGTATGCCACGCAGTCGCCCCGAAGGCAATCGCGCTACGGATAACCACCGTATATAACAGCCTCGCCCGTATAAGATCGCAGCCCCACGACATATTGACTAGCTTTGTCAGGGCTAGCTTTTGAGTTGCCATTTTTGTTTTAACACGCTCAACATGGGCGTGCCACGTCAGTTTGCGGTCGAACCAGACTCCTAGGAACCTGGCTGAGACTACCGGCGACACTGTGGCGTCCCCAAGGCGAATACTTTGCGGCAAGGGCTCTCGGGCCCTAGTAAAGTGCATTAGCTCACTCTTGTCAGGAGCGAACTCCATCCCGTGCCTCACTGCCCACCGCTGACACGTAGCCCATGCGCTCTCCAACCGGCGGCAGGTCGTGTCTGGATCGGTGCCGACGCTTAGCAGGTTCGTGTCGTCCGCGAACCCGACTACTAAAAGTAGTGGATGCTGCTCCGCTAGCTCCTCGTACAGCGTTGAAATGTATAATATAAACAGTATCGGGGATAGCGGTGACCCCTGGGGGACGCCAGCTCGTAGGGGGATTGGCTCTGACTCCTTGCCATCGAACCGGAGGCGTACCGTTCTATCCTCCACGAAGCTGCGTACCCACTCCTGAACCCACTCCGGGTAGCCTTTCCGGGCTAATATGGAAATCAGCCGTCTGTAATTGACCGTATCGAATGCCCCCTTGATGTCTAGCTGTAGCAGCGAGGCGATGCCCCCGCGTCTCCACGCCGTATAGACCACGTCCTCAACTATACGTATTGCCAGTTCGGTGGACCTCCCAGCGCGGTTACCCATTTGGCCGTTTGGTAGTAGGCCGGCCGCCTCAGCTACTTTGGTGATACGCTGGCTCATCGCCGTCTCTATTACCTTCCCTACCGTGCTAAGCAGGGCAATGGGGCGCCAGCCGCCAGGGGTCTGCTTCTGAGCTGTCGTTTTATTAGGCTGAGGGATAATAACCACCCTCGCTGAGCGGAAGCGCTCCGGGTAGTACCCCAGCCTAAAGCTAGCTGTTGCCAGATCCGCTAGGATCTCCCATAGGGGTTCACCGCAGGCCTTTAGCAGGCCAGTGGGGATCAGGTCGTCGCCGGGAGCCTTCCGAGCAGCCGTTCCTTTGATGATAGACTCGATATCCATTGTGGTCACCTCCCTAGGGACGTTCAGCTCTGGTCTCGTCTGTAATAGGCCGCGATCGAGGTCCGATAGATCTATATACGGGTCTGGGAAGAACCTCTCAGCTAGTAATTTTGCCTTCTCATCATGTGTACGTGCCGTAAGCGTGTCGCCGGCGTCCCTCCGGAGATCTGGCAAGCCGTGGGCCTCAGGGGGGCCCAGCTCCGTAGCCTAGCCCACCTCTGCAGTGCCCACAGGCTTTTGTGATCCTTCGCCGTCCCCTCGAGCTTCTCGTGCCAGCTACGCGTCTGCGCTTCGCTGATTTCGAGCCGTTGTTTTTGGCCGGCTCTTGTATATTCGTCCCAGTTGGTCTGCGACCTTGCCTGGAGGTAGTCCCGCCGTCGTCTCTTCGTCTCAGCGCAAGCCTTGCTAACCTGCGGGCACCACCACGGGACCCCAGCGCCTCGGCCAACGGTGCGTCTCGGGACCGCCACGTCGGCGATCTCTTGGAGGTTCCGGATAACCCAGTCAACAGCCTGGTCCAACTCCGTTATCGTCTCAACCGGCAAATAATTCATAAATCTCTGGCTTGATTCGGCTACGATGAGCCACTTATCCGCCATCGCCCAGTTCCACCCTTCAACACTGCGGCGGCCCTCCTTGACTGCTTCCCCGTTGGATATTACCCTAATCACTTGCGCTCTGTGGTCTGAGCCCTCTAGGCCCGGGTCCCCATCGTAATCAATCCTAGCCCCTTTCGTCACCCAGGCTAGGTCGATAGTTGAGTCTCGTTGTTTGTGCCTTTGCCGTGTGATTTCCCCGAACGGCGTAACGAGCTCTAATCGCCAGCGTCGCGCAAACTCCACTACGTTGTCGCTGCCCCGTGATGACCGTCCGTGGACGTCCCACAGCGGGTGATGTGTATTGAAGTCCCCTACGAGGACCTGTGTCCCCTCCGGCGCCCCATTAGGGAGGTCTTGGAGCGGGCTGACCCAGCGGCTCCCGGTCTGGCTTGGTGAATAGATAGACCAGATTGTAAGGGCGTCCGGGCCTGCCCCGAACGTAATACTGCTCCAGTCCATCCCGGTACGGGGTCGCAACGTAGCCACGTCGTATCGTTTATGGACGTATAGCGCAGCTCTGCCGCTGCTGTACACTACTTCGTACCTGGACGACTTCGGGCAATAAATCGCCTTCGTCTGCCGGTTGATCCATGGCTCTTGAACCGCTATTATATCATAGTCACCCCCCTTATCCAGCGCTAGCGTTGCGTTCGCCTTTGAATCTGCGATATTCCAGTAGAGAATAGAGACTACCATTAAGCTGTCGATGGTATATCTTCGTTCGTACGTCCCTTAGTGAGGAAGCTACGCATTGCTGACGCAGACCGTTCGGTTCGCTCCTGCTCCACTCGCGATCCGCCCAGGGGGCGGCCCCGGGGTCGTACAACTGTAAACCCGTCGCTGGTCAATGAGCTAGGTGGTGTGAGCCTGCCCTCACTAGATAACCCGTCCGAGTAGCTGCGGACCTCAAATTGTCGGGGGCGGTGAGCGTACGCGTAGCCGCTGCTGTTCTGCCGTAGGGCAGTCCCTGTCCCACGCCGTGTGCTTCCCTTTGCAGTTCACACAACGTTTTTTGCCGCTAGGTGCCTTCTCGGGGCAGTCTTTTTCACCCCCTGGGTGTGCCGTTGCAGCGCAGACGCCGCAACGCGCCGTCTTCTTGCAGTGTTTCGCGATATGGCCGTATTCGTAGCACTGGTAGCACTGCCGAACCCGAAGATTGCCGTCGTACGGCTCGCAATCGAATATCTGGGCACGCATAAAGAAATAACGACCCTAGGGTTAAGTAGTTAGAGTTGAAAAGGAGGATCCGACTTCTCGTGGTAGTTTGACTTTGTCGTCGTATCCTAGTGTACTATTGCAGGGCCTACTTGTACTACATAAGCCTGATTTTACCGATTAAAGAAGAACATTTCCCCCAAAGCGTAGGCTAAAGAGTTATCCAGATAGTGTGGGCAGAGTTGGAATTAAAGTTAATATCACCTGTTCTCTATAGGATCACCGCAGTGCGTACCTCCCGTGGTTAGTACACCTATTATCAAAGTATAAGCTTTATAGAAACTCTTATAGAAATCCCCAGGTTAGTTAAGTGTGAATTTGCCAATGAATAGCTGTAACGAAACCTCTAATAGTCTAGCTGCGTAAACCACTAAAGAGTCTAAGGGTTTGTGCTAGTAAGTAAGTCCTGCTGCGGAGTCCTCAAGCAATAATATCGGGGTTTGACGTATGGAGTATAGGGTTCT